CATTGACAGGAAACAGATGTTGTATACATAGTCTGTGGTCAAGTCGTGGTCTTGGCTACCCGCAAGTGACTTTGTTTTGTGCACGTGTATGGGCAGCCCAGGTTGTCAGGCTCAGATATGCCTGACCCGGGGTCACACACTAAAGGTGACTGCATATATCCGTAGTGGGTGTCTCTGGCTAGGATTAGATGGAAGATCACCAGAATTGGTTGGAAATTTTTTTTTATTAAGGTAATTAACCAAATTGGGTCCCCAAAAGGGCTAGTTTCTGCGTTGGAGGGTTAATATGACATCATAATGTTGCACAAACAGTGCATACAAACGTCTTCACCTTCATCACTCGTTGCAGTATCTTCAAAAGTAATGTCCAAATAGTATCAGCGCAGTGTTGTTGTGAGTTTGACCGCTGCATTAACTGCACATTGAGTGCAAAAGAGCAGGGGAGTAGCAAGGTAATTTTTATTGGGGGGCAAAACATTTTTGAAAAGGGTACTTGCATGTATCCGTGCTGAAATGTAGACACGTCTTTTTTCTCCGGACACTTGACCTCCGTAAAATCAAATAGTGTGTGTGTAAGCTAGGGTGCTCTTACATATTGGCACTTATGGGGTACCGGGAACAAAGGGCAACAATAGGGACAATGGTACCCCAAATGTCTGTCTTTAGAAATTAAAGTACCCCATAGCCCTAACGCTATGTATTTTGGGATTTCTAAGGGAACAAAGGAGAACAAAAGAAGGGAATTAGGGTCGAACAATAGTGGTACCCCATAAACCCCAAATGCTAAGTGTGGGGGTATGTGCGTGGGGGGAGGGGCGGGGCAGGTATCAGCTGTTGATGGGGGTGATGTCAAAACCGACGAGTGTTCACACTAACGGACAATATATGGGGCTTTTCAGGGGAGGGGCGATACATGCGCAAAAACAGCCACTCGCAAAGGCCGCTGGCAGAAAAAGGGCAAGGGGGGGGTAAGCGCTGGTGAAAAAAAGACATATCAATGGAAAAGGGCAGTCTTTACAAAATATTTGGGAAGGGGGGGGTTAAATACATCCCCCCCCCCCCTAGCTTCGCCTATGAAGAGCCCAAAGTTCTTGCAAGTACATGCCATGTTGCCTACAACCATCAGGTCATCCGGAACTAGGAAAACGGCTGTATTCTGTGTTCAAAATATCTTGGCCCCTAACGTGGCGCACTTTGGCGATTTGTCGTTTTTGCAGTGCCTTGCTAGAGCGGACATTAATTTTTACCTCTTATTTCACAGTGAGTGAAACTTTATCAAGGTCTAAACATTCCCTTTAGTTTATCTACCTTCAAGAAAGTTAACAGACAAATGTTACCTTGGCGCGAGTTTCCGAGAAAAAAAGTAAGTGCGCAGTGAACCATTTCTAAATGCGCTTACAAAAGAAGACTTAATTTGTTGACAAACGTTTTGGATATCAGGGTGGAGAGGATGTGTTATTGGAATTTGTAAACTTTAAAGACTGTTTTAATGTTTAAGCGAGAACGTGCACTTTAAGATTATTTAAAATGCGCCCAGTGGCGGCGCCAGACTCTAAAATTTGGGGGAGGGGCATGGGGGAAATAGGAGGGGGGGGGCAAGACAAGATTTTAGGGGGATAGATGACGGTAATTCAAAATCTGAGGGGAAAGTAAGTAAATTGACGTTGGCTGCACTCCATCTATGGCTGTATAAATGCATGTGAAGCGTGTTTTTCCTACCAAAGTACCAATGTTCATTAATACTGTAATACGCCCAAAATGTGTCCACAGAACTGATGATTCACTATATATTTTCAACTTGTTATGAATCTTAACAGCGAAGAAAATAAAACATAATTAATCTATTCGTGGAAAAAAAAGTTGGGGAAAACTGGGGGCAAATGGCGGGGGCAAAGAAACAACTTTGGGGGATGCCCCCATGGCGCCCCCCCCCCCCCCCTTCCCCCCATCCCCCGTAGTGCTGCCACTGAGTGTGCCACACGTGCGTTTGGAAACACTCAGCTAATTTTGTGCCCAACGTGCAGACGTTACAGTTTTGGTCTTGGTTATGGATAATTCTGAGTTTTTGACATTATAATTACTGATTTTATTTGATTCATTTGTCTTAAATCATAATGTTTATAGACACTTTATCTGTTACATAGTTATGATAAAATTGGAAAATGGAGGCCATGTTGGGCGCCATGATTTTCGGTGACTTCTAGTTATGTTATTGTTATCATATTCCTGGATCTATCCTAGCAAAAATTGTGATGAGCTATTCCAGGTGTTGGCCTGTATCATCTAATGATCTTGGCCTAGCATTTAAAAGGGGTCTAGGTATTTCAGATTTGAACAACAGCTACGCCGTCCGTAAAAGGAAATACTGGAGATGTCAAAGATTGACGACTTTAATCGTATGGTCTTTAGTTGTTAAAGAGGTCGTGTTTTTCAGGTCGACTGTCTGTCCCAGTAGTTACTTAGAAAATTACCACTGACGACTGGTGTCTATAGAAATTAGAGGTCATTAGTATACGACGATTAAATTATTGATTTAAGGCCTGATGTATTTGCAGAAGGGAGGGAGTACGACAGGTTGGAACTCAACTTTCACTTTTAAACCAGGTCATATAGAGACAATTTACGTGTCAAAAGGAAGACATTGTGAAATGAGTTTTCCAACAGTTTGTACTCAACCAATCCCCTCAGTATACAATCGGATCTAGACATTTTCCAGGAATATAAATAAGGGTCAAGGGATCTCGTTTACACCGGGGGGTTCTTGAGGTTTCCTGAAAATCCACCAATTCTGCAACAAAAACATCGAGCAGATACAGACTAAAATAATATAACAGTTTCTATTACCAAAGAGGTACATGTATCCCCTTTGTTTGTGAACAGTTCACTACGTGTCAGTGAATAGATAGCACATTTCAGTTATTTGAATTACTGAAATAGGTCGTGTATTCTAGCTAAAACAGCTGTTTCATTGTGGCTAACTTGTCCCTATTGGACGATGCAAGTAACGCATGATTGCATGCATAAATATTACAAGAGAGAACTCTCAACTGTAACTTTCTTATCAGGTCACATCGAGAGTTGAGGGGTCAAAATGACAGGCGCATTTCTTGTCAAGTAGTGTGTCCTCCTAGTCCCTTCTTTGAATTTCACATAGTTCGGTAAAGTTGTTACACATAACATTAGTAGGCTTGTATTCATCCATTGTCCTAAGATTTAACAACTCAATAGAGACCGAGAGATGAATTTACGCTACGGCCTACAGGCTGCAAGCACGCAGCCTCAATGTATCGACAATGCACTCCAAAACGTTCCGGCTGCGCACATTGTATTTACACAATAGTACAGGGTACCCATTTTTCAGGCGACTTGAATCAAGGTTATAGGATTGTAGAGCGCTGCGTAGGTATAGGGCAGCGGCGCTCTTATCCTGTAAATTTTTACTTTCGCGTGCGCGCGTATATACATGTACTCTCTCCACATGTGTGAAAGTATATGATTTATGAATTCAGGCGCGGATCCAGAGGGGGGTTTTGGGGGGTCAAAACACCACCGCCCCCAGCTCTGTCCCCCCCCCCCCTGCGAAAATTCCTGGATCCGCCCCTGGAATTGCAGGGTTTTGTCGAGCACCGCCGTTGCCCGGTGGTTAGGCGTGCTGGTTAATGATCGGAATTGTTTTAAAAGGGAAATAAAGTCCGAAATCCGTACCGAGTTGAAAAATAGTAGCCTCCACTCAAGCCTGGTTATAAAAACAAAGCCCCATAGGAAAGTGCACAAAGATAGTTGTGTAAAAAAAAATATCGCCGGCCACGATTTGACCCAGAATCCGGATTTTACATGACCTGATACTTTGCCCGGTTCAAAATGACACTTTTCCGGATCAAAACCTTCCACCCGTATATACAATGTATAGCTACTGGAGGGGAGTCATGCACTAGTCACAATGCTAGCAACATTCACAAATGCAGCAAACCGTGGAAAATGAGACTTGATGATTACTCAGAGTGTGGCTACAACAATAAAATACGAAAATTAGAAATCTCAGTCAAGCTACAGACTGCATGCAGGTACAGTAGTTGTTCAATTTTGAATTAGTTCAGTTGTTCGCATGGGGTTAAACTTTCCAGGAGATGCAGCTGTCACAGAAAGTAGGGCCTACATGTAAACAAGACACTTAATGCTTTCAATTTATGGCAGAAACGATTATCGTCTGTAAGCTGCTTGTTAATAGATCAGCTTACAGAGCTAATGACTGTATACCAGAAAACCCTGAACTTTCACTTTCGAACACGGTCATTTATTACGATTCTAGAGAATATAACTCTTCTTTTTCTTTTTTGGAGAGAACTATAAGTCCTTGGGTTCAATCTCGAGGATACCCATCACTATTGAAGCGGTGTCACCATTTCTTATCTCATGTTAGTTTCGAAAGTAGGCTTATAATGTGCATGCAACTCAGTATAGAATGATTTAACAACTATCGGAAAAGATACCTATTTATTTTTGAAGACCATTTTACTTTCTTCTTGTATTGTGTTAGCAACTTATACCAACTCATACCAAATTGCAACTTATACCAAATGATTTCCGTCATCTGCCGTTTTTCATGAGGGGTAGGGAACATGTTTTCTATTGGAAATAGAAAGGCAAAAGATTTATTGAATTGAAATTCAAAAGTTAAAGCCTACATTGTGAAAAAGGAACATGGACCAAAACAAAAACAATTGAGTAGTAAAGTTTGGCCTTATTTTGTATAACGCTTGCGTGAACTACAAGTCTGACGCAACAACTAGCAAACGAACCGGGCAGATACTGACTCAGTGATTAATTTCTTTCGTTCAGCTGACTGTGAAACTAATCAAGACACTTAATCTACTTTTGCATTTATTCAGCTGCCTCAGGTGATCTAAATTACCATTCCCAGTTTGGACTGAAATTCCATATAATGGGAGGTTTTGAAGTGTCTCTGAATCATCGTGGCTTGTGCGCAACGGGGAGCCACCATGGGCAAGACGGACGCCGGAGCATTGGCTGTTGCTGCCCTGCTTATTGGTAAATTCATTCTTTGATCTGCAATTGGTAAAATTAATCCGACTTTGTCTGAAATTGAATTTCGTTGAGGCTTTGTATGGATGGGAAGTAATGGTTGGGACAACTTTAAATTGACTACAAAACTCTTAAAGAGCAAAGCGGTTTTATGGGACTGTTAACTCTGCGGTAAGAATTGAGGAATTTAGCTGTATACGTTTAACTTTTGCAGTCAGTTCAGTTCAAAGTGCTATACTCAGCTAGTTTATCATATTGTGGCGGTCTTGTGTCGACGATGCCTTGGATATTGCTCTCTGCCGACCCGACGAGCGGCTGTGGGGAAGGCCAGGGGAACAGGTCCGTTTTGGGGCAGTCTACCGCCAGGCGCTCAGGGAACACACTCACTCGCGCTCTCACGCAAACCTCACGAACACACTCGGGGAAGGGTTAACGTCCAATGAATAGATCAGACACTCGGGTATTTAGGGCTTCACTGCTTTATTATAACCACTTGGAGACCCAATAAGATGCGTCCTACTTAGGTGCGTCCTACTTAGGTGCGTCCTACTAAGGTGTGTCCTACTTAGGTGTGTCCTACTTAGGTGTGTCCTACTTAGGTGTGTCCTGCTTAATTGTAAGAATTGGCCCCTTTCCAATAATCGTCAAGAACTGGAATGCTTCCCGTACCAACCAGATTTCCTAATCCCTACACTCACCGGAACTAAACCAGTGCTCTTCCTGAGTGAGAGACTGACCACAGCTGTACTACACACGCTCCAGCAACTCCAAGTCTCTGAGCGGGAACTGTGCTACGCTTCGCGCCACAATTAACAGCTAAAGCACACAACGTGAGCAGTGCAATGGGAGAGTTCAATCCATGGACGAGTGAAATGGAAGAGAGTGAGTGCGCGCGCGACACGCGCTTATATACCCGCGCTGGGTACCAATCAGCCACGCAACTCGCGCGCTGTACAACGGACAGAAGTCCGCGTACCAATCAAATAAACTACGGTGAACCTAGCGCGCCAATATTAACTGTTCCGCTACAATATTCACATTCTGTTATTAAGATTCTAACACGTGTTTTTCGATCTGCAGGAGAGAAATGCGGAATTGCATTAGGTGATTTTGATTCAGAAATATACATTTTTAGGGGTGCGATGTGATTGAGCTTGGGACGGTGTCTCACAACAATCATTTTGATGTTAATATTTTGTTTACTTTGTTTATGTTTGCTAAATAGTGGCATTTGCTGCAGGAGGAGTTGTAAAGGGTAAGTGAAAAACATCTTCATCTAGTTGCACAATATTTAAAATATTCGATATAGCATATCTGGTGAAAACATATCCAGTTATCGATCACTGTGCCTATGCCAGCAAATAATGGAAGGAAGGGATTTTATAGAAGAAACGCTTGGAAAAAGCACTGGCTGCAGTCTGCAGTGTTTTGTGTGATTCTTCACAGAAAAGACCATAGCATAAGATATTAATTGCTACAACGCAAGAGAAAACAAACTGCAACAAATGAGAACAGATCCCTCAGGGCAATGGTTTCTCCATTGAAGGGGGCCTCTTTTGTATACAGTGTTCGATTGCCTAGGTTTGTCTATACAAAATATCTGAATAACCTGACTTTTATGGATTTTTCTCCAGAAAAATCGACACCCGTGTCGCCTTTTGACTGTGACTTCGACAACAGCGACTTTTGTCAGTACGTCAACAGTGCGAATGATGACTTCGATTGGGCACTTGGTAGCGGCGGCACACCAAGCCCGGAAACTGGGCCTAGCGCAGACCACACTACGGGAACTTGTAAGTTATGATCAAAATTGTAATGACAGCAAAGTGGGATATGTTGGAATCAAATGGAATTCTAATGAACTTGAGCAGTGCATGTAAAAAAACATCATGGCCTTTATTCAGCGTTTATTTCTAAGTATTTTGTCCGACAGTACAATCCAACTTCGGCAAACGCCCTTTTTACCTTTTCTTGATTTTTCCCTCAGTTTTTGATCCAAATTAATGTACAACATCATTGGATAAAGTCGTTGTATAAATTCATTAAAGCAAGAGTTCGTTCTTGCCGACGAAGGCCGCCATTTTTTAAGTGGACAGCGGTATTGTACATGTATTGTTATACGTGTAATGGTACCATTAAGGAGAAACGTTATCGTAATTTCTTTCCACGATGGAGACATCGGCTATTAAAGGGAAAATACAACATTTGCAAACATCAAAAAATAAAACTTCCAAATCATTTTGAAATACCTTGCTGGACTGTTAGTGAATGACAGTGTAAAGCATCCTGTAAAATCATAGCACCTGGTATACTGTCATTTTCAAGAAAAGTGGTATTTTTGTATCAATTTCCAACGCTGATCGGCCGATCAGCGTTGGAAACAACTGACTTTTTTTCAAATACTGGCCCCAATTGACCATCACACTTGTTTGCAATCGATTACAAACCTATGAACGGGTACGAGCCAGCTAGACTGGTTCCCTGACCTTACAATTCCCCAATGTATGTAAACTGCTCTGTTTCTTCTTATATGGAGTCAGGGAACCAGACTACAGGAAAATGATCGTTTTTCTTGTTTTTATAGCATTTTCGAACCCAAAACCTCAAAAAAGTCAGTGTAACTATATTTGCTATATATTTCCAACCCCCCAATTCCATCCATTTCTGAAAATTACAGCAAAAGCCTTTTGTCTCCAAAATGTCTCCTTTAAGGAGACATTTTCAGTTCTCCTTAATGTCACAGCCCCCTGTAGAGGCACAATTTCGCTGTCGCAATTAGATTATATTTGTCGCCCGTGGCCTAATTAGTAAACATACAGAAATTCGTGGGAAAAGGACAAGGGAATATTGGGTTAGGGCACATTTAAGTTTGGAAAAATTTTGTCATTCGTAGTGAGACAAGGAAAATTAAGTAGCAGCGCAGGCACGATAAAAAAAAAACACACACACACACTTTTGGAGATAAAATCCCATAAAGCTGATATTTAAACTCATGAAATTCGTTACTAATTTAAACAGTAAACAAATGTAGTGCATTTGTATTTCAAAGTATTGCTTAATTTGATGTTATTCAACAAATTTTGATAACGACCTTGTTACCGGGAACTTCATCTTTTCTAAAACGTGTGGTTACTTGGCATGTTAAATAATAAAGTCCTTTTGCCTGGAATAACCTTGGTTTTACCTACCCACTTCAGTGGGACGTTAACGCACTTGAAACATATTTTGCTATATTGGTATTAAACGCTAAGGTCCTTCAGCCGGGGACATTCCTTCCGTCGTTTTCATACTCTAAATTACGTCAGAATGACGTAGCCCCTTGAGACAAAATGCATATCAAATGAAAACCCTAATTTCGACAATTTTACTTATTTCGCCCTTACGACTTTAATTCATCACGCACCTGAGATGTAATTGTTTCTGTATTTATTATGATGGTACCATATTTGAACATCTATCGGGCATCATTAGGTTCTACCAGTGATTTACATGAACTAATACAATACTGACCGATGCTGACCCGTGTGGAACGTCTGTGTATCATAGCACTATATCAATTGCGCCTTGTTTCATTGTCATTACAACTCACTCGCTAGAGTATTCTGCAAGTCCTGATAGTATAGGTTTTCCCGGTTATTTTAACACTTGTATCAAACGACGATTCCCTATATCGATACTTTAATTTCGCCTCCGAACATCGCCAAGCTCAATTCTCAATTTGAATTTCAAAAAGCCACCACTAGATTTCATTTAAAGGGAAAATACAACATTTGCAAACATCAAACAATAAAACTACCAAATCATATTGAAATACCTTGCTGGACTGTTAGTGAATGACAGTGTAAAGCATCCTGTAAAGTCATGGCACCTGGTATACTGTCATTTTCAAGAAAAGTGGTATTTTTGTATCAATTTCCAACGCTGGTCAGCCGACCAGTGTTGGGAAAAATTGCCTTTTTTTCAAATACTGGCCCCAATTGACCATCGCACTTGTTTGCAATCGATTACTCACCTATGAACTGGTACAAGCCAGCTAGACTGGTTCCCTGACCTTACAATTCTTCAATGTATGTAAACTGCTCTGTTTCTTCATATATGGAGTCAGGAAACCAGACTACAGGAAAATGATTGTTTTTCTTGGTTTTTATAGCATTTTCGAACCCAAAACCTCAAAAAAAGTCTGTGTAACTATATTTGCTATATATTTCCGACCCCCCAATTCCATCCATTTCTGAAAATTACAGCAAAAGGAAATGATGTATATTCCCTTTAAGGTTCAGTACAATTTAAATTGTTAGCATTCCGATTCGTCCAAAATCTTTGAAATTCGTCTCATGAAGCAATCGGCGTTGAATTGACAGAGCAAATTCGGGGTTTTTTTGTCATTCGTTTTCATGTTGTTGTCATAACATTTCGTCCCTGGTGACTTAAATCGTATACGATTAGGAAATGCGCCCAATCTTGAGACTTATTTGAAGAATTATGCGTATTAAAACAATGATAATTCAACAAGTATTTCCTTAAATGTATAAACAAAAGTAATTAGCTGTAAGGTATGAATTTTTTATTTCTGTGTTTCACAATTAACATTAGAGTCAGGAATTGACATTTCACAGTATGCACTTACGACGTGGACACTAAGCATTAAGTTCAAAGACCTTGTTGTTCTTTGATGGACATCATACCTTATTTCTGTTGTTTTATTCATTTACATATATCAAAGAGCAACATTACGAAGGAGTTTGATCTTAATGCTTAACTTCCATATGCTAAGCAAATAGTATATTGTGAAAGTTCAATTTTTGATTTAATGAACCCTCCAAATCCCGTTTGACACATGCAACATTGGAGTGATGAGGAGCAGATATATAGGGTGACCTCCCAAAAAATGCAACCCTAAAACATTTGCCTTTTAAGAAAAAAAAAGAAATCGGTGGATTGCTATGTTTTGGATATCAGATTACACAAGTACTTCAAACAGTGAAACACTTTACTGTAAACCTACTGTTTTACTGTTTACTAAGTATCCTTCATTTGTGCGATTTCCTAAGTATTTGACATATTTATGACGCTGAAATGGTTTAAAATAGGACTATAATGATGATAAACCTGTTTAGGTGGAAAATAAAATGTATTTCCATCCAATTCTTGTGTACTCTTTTCATATTTATGTGCCATAATGTTTGAAATGATTAGGACATGCACAAAAAGGTACGGAGGAAATCCCTTACAGTGGTATAATGTTTTGTGCACAGGATGAAAAATGACTACTTTTACAAAGTTGGCATTTTCTCAGCAACTCAAAGTGCTATGTTCATGATTTTTTTGTCAGTATTTGAAAGGAAATCTTTCAGCTTTAATCTGATACCAAGCACATAAAATCACCCATTAATTTTTTTGAAAGACAAATGTTTCAGGGTTGCATTTTTTTTTGGGGGGGGGGGAATTCACCCTGTATAGAATATGTGATGGTTATCTGTTTAACAAACTTTTAAAATCGATTTACAGCATTTGGTTTCTTCATCTTCACTGAAGCATCGGAACCAAGGAACCCTCTCGATACAGCTCGACTAGACAGCCCCAAAGCCATTGCACCTGCCACTGGTGCGTGTGTCAGATTTTGGTACCACATGTACGGGGCAGACATGGGATCATTGACGGTATACACAGGTGATGGTCAAGGTGGTCTTGGCCTTGCCCGCTGGTCAGCGAATAGTAACTCTGGTAACCAGTGGTGGGAGACAGCTATAAGTATTGACCCTGGGCTCGAATTTCAGGTAAGAAATTGAACAGTCATTTGTCGGAGAGCTGTTTTGTCATAATACTAATACCTACGCATTCAAGTGTAACAAACAAATTGGCAGGAACAGAGGTGAACTTGCGACTATTAGGAAAATGTACAAATGCTCTATACCAACTGAGCTGTCCAACACTGTTTGAGCCGTTCTCAACTGTTGAATGTCCTTCAGGGGCGCCCATGGGAAGGCACACATTTTTATTTATGTCAACAGACTCGCAATAACTTGTATTATCTTGAACTCAACTAAATATTGGTACGATTTCATTTCTGCAGGTTTCCTTTGTCGGTGAACGTGGAAGTGATTTCAAAAGTGACATAGCCATTGATGACATCATACTCGATGATAAAGATTGTAGTACGTATTCTTTATCTTCTTATATGCTTTGTAGTAGCGTTATCCTTTCCCAAAGAAATCGAAGATTTGGGGAAAAACTAATGCAAAAAATAACGAAACAAGCTCAAAATCATCTAACGCATCCGGAAAATCCAATCTGTAAGAAAAGAGGCCCGTCGCATTAATTTGTCTCAAACGTTACACACAATGAAGAGCTTGTTAACCAATTTTGTCAAAACAAGAAAAAACAGAATTATATACGAATTTCAATTGCAAACCCGAAGTTCAAATCCAGGTTTTAAACTCTAAAAAGTAATATTTAATTCAATAATAGGAAAGAATCAAGTTGCTTCTTTGCAATGTTGGATTCTTCTCTTATATTTACATTTTTGTGTTACAGTCCCACCAGTGCCATCGTCGGCTTTGAAATGTGACTTCGATTCTAACAACCTATGTCTCTTCGAAAACAGCCAGAATGATGACTTTGATTGGACACTCGATAGCGGTGGCACCTCCAGCTCAGACACTGGGCCTGACTCGGACCACACTGTAGGAACTTGTAAGTTAAACCAATTACAAATAGGAGGAAAGGCTTGTCTAGGATTGCCTTGGGTATTGTTTCACTAGTTTTTATCTTAACCTCTCATCCAATTTAAAACATTACTCATTAACATTATTTTCAGATTCCGACTTAATTGCGACGAGGCATTGTTTCTTGATGTAAAAACCGAATATTAATACATGTAACCATGATATAAAAAGGAAAGGAGTCAAAAATTAGAGATAACGGTTCAAATATTAGCCACTTCGGTAGAAAAAGAATAAACAGGAAATTACTGCCTGATTTTAATGTGATCAAACTTTTACTTTGAAGCGAGTGGTTTCTACATCTACACTGAAGCATCGAGTCCCAGACTTTCATCAGATAAAGCTCAACTAGACAGCCCCAAAGCCATTGCACCTGCCACTGGTGCGTGTGTCAGATTTTGGTACCACATGTACGGGGCAGACATGGGATCATTGACGGTATACACAGGTGATGGTCAAGGTGGTCTCGGCCCTGCCCGCTGGTCAGCGAATAGTAACTCCGGAAACAAGTGGTTGGACGCATCAATAGATATTGCCTCTGGGCTTGAATTTCGGGTGAGGAACTAAACAATGTTCAGTCACAAAGATGGCTCACCAATTGAGAAAGCTCTTTACTTATCATGCAGGAAATACCTGTTTTGAGAAATCAAAACGTGTCTAGAATTTTGGTCACCAAATAGCTTGAAGTAAACTGAGGACCACTCAGCTGTACATGTTCAGACGTAAATCGACGTTGCTGAAGTTTTTCTGTTTAACCTTATTCTTTTCCCCCTTTTTTCTGAAGGTTTCTTTTGTAGGTGAGCGAGGAAGTGGTTACAAAGGTGATATAGCCATCGATGACATCGGCGTTGATGCCGGCAAATGTGGTACGTTTTCGCCTGTCTGTTATATTAATGTTTTATTAATGTGCTAACTAACAAATATTTCAATGGAGATAACCCTCATCAAAAATCTTTTCGAATCAAAAAATAATTACAAACACTAAATTCGACAGCTTAATACACAATGCGAGACGACTATTGCACTAGCTCCAAAAAATGCTAGCTGGAAACCAAACTTTGAGACATCCTCAAAGTTATCAGAAATTGTAAATTTCCAATTCGGAGTTGATGTCTAGTTTCATGGTTTTAACCCGATAAAGAACAGAGAGCGCAAACTTAGTTATGTTTTTATCATTATTTATTTCAAAAGCTTTTCCTTAATAACAATTTCTTTCTGAGTACTTTTTTTTATCGTTTGTTATAACTTTCGACTTTGTCGACAGATCCAACCGTGCCATTACCAGCTTTGAATTGTGACTTCGATTCCAACAACCTTTGTCAACTCAAAAATAGCGCTTATGATGACTTTGATTGGACACTCAATAACGGCAACACCCCCAGCGCAGACACTGGGCCTGACTCAGACCACACTACACGAAATTGTAAGTTGAATACTACCCAGTAAAAATAATAAATTAAAAAAACACATTTCGAAGGAATGTGCTTTTGTCATGTGAGTTCCTATTTAAGGTATGGTGTTTGCAAAATAACGTGTCCTTTTTTTTCATGTAACTTGAACTTATGACCGGAATTAAAATGTATCTTGACTTCATGATTACATGTACAGCAAGTGGGTTCTACATCTACACTGACGCATCTGCTCCCAGAGTTGCATCCGATAAAGCTCGACTAGACAGCCCCAAAGCCATTGCACCTGCCACTGGTGCGTGTGTCAGATTTTGGTACCACATGTACGGGGCAGACATGGGATCATTGACGGTGTACACAGGTGATGGTCAAGGTGGTCTTGGCCCTGCCCGCTGGTCAGCGAGTAGTAACTCTGGTAACCAGTGGGTGGAGACGGCAATAGATGTTGACCCTGGGCTTGAATTTCAGGTACGGAATTCAACAATTGTTTTTGGATTCATTTAATAAAGAAACCATGCAATAGAAATCTATTCTATATATTTTTTTAAAAGTCTGATAACCAGTTGTAATTCTTTGGACGTAAATGGAAAACAGCTATTTAACTATAGATACAACAGACGTCGGTTTGTTTTTGTGTTTCACTTTGTATTCCTTTATTTTTGCAGGTTTCTTTTGTCGCTGGACGTGGAAGTGATGTCAGAAGTGACATAGCTATTGATGATATCAGTGTTGAGGAAGGCGAATGTAGTACGTATTCTATTTCCTTTGATGTTAGCTTTGACCGCTGTGAATATTTGCACATATTTTAAAAATTCAGGAAATCCAAGCTTAGCGAATGACATGAAATTCAACAAATAACAAAATATGAGAAAATTGAATATCATCAAAGAAGCCTCTTTTTCTTGTATGAAAACAATAACAAATGTAAACTCAAGTTGTAAAACTCCTGAAAAGAAAATGAATTATAATACAAATTAAGTATAACAAGTTCATTTGTACATGTAAGTCAAGTTGAAGTGCTTAAAACTCTGTTAAGTAGTACTTCATATTCACATAACGGTAATTGTTAAAGTATAGGGGTAGATGGAGCAGAAAATAGTTTGATGCTTAAATTCCACCCTTTTAGGTTTTTGATACTGTTAATATATTTTTTCTCTTTTCCGCAAGGTTTGCCGACCGTACCGTTATCAGCTTTGAAATGTGACTTCGATTCCAACCACCTTTGTCAATTTAAAAACAGCCAGAATGATGACTTTGATTGGACACTCAATAGCGGTGGCACCTCCAGCTCAGACACTGGGCCTGACTCAGACCACACTGTAGGAACCTGTAAGTACAGACAAACGTGCAGGGATTTCCTATGGTGTCAGTGAATGCTTTAGGTATTGTTTCACCATCTTGTTTGTTTTTTAATTCATGTCTTTATTAAATATTCAAGGCATGCAACAGTGTCAAAACCTGGGACACTTTTATCAAAACACTAGATTCAAAGGACTACAATGTGAACTGACACTAAAGCAAGGCAGAATAACATACATAAACAACAATACAATCAAGTTTAGTGGGTCTTTAAGTTAAATAATAATACTTTAACTGAGCATAGGCGGGAACAAGAAAAAAAGGAAAACATCTAGTTGAATGTTGATAGAGCTCATGTGGGGTTTACTCGTCTTGAGTTTTATCATCTTGTACAAAAATATTACCCCTAACCTTTCCCACATTTTCACAGAAATTCGCATGCAGCATAATTTTGATCAGCTCAACCTCGAAAAGAATATCCTAAAAGAAATAATGAAAATATTCTCAATGAACATATTTTTTTTTTAAATATGCCTAACGGACTTTATTATTACTTCAATAAACTTGAAGAAGATTTTTTTTTCTGAATTAAAGGATTCAAAAGCTAAACTTAATTTTGCAGCAAATGGATTCTACATGTACACTGAGGCATCTGATCCCAGAGTTGCATCCGATAAAGCTCGACTAGACAGCCCCAAAGCCATTGCACCTGCCACTGGTGCGTGTGTCAGATTTTGGTACCACATGTACGGGGCAGACATGGGATCATTGACGGTATACACAGGTGATGGTCAAGGTGGTCTTGGCCCTGCCCGCTGGTCAGCGAATGGTAACTCTGGTAACAAGTGGCTGGACGCATCAATAGATATTGCCTCTGGGATTGAATTTCAGGTAAGGAACTGAACAGTTTTCTGTCACAAAGACAGCTCAATTAAAAGCACTCTCTCTATTTTGGAGGGAATACTACCGAATCGTGTGAAGAAATTTGATAACAATTTTGTTATCTTGGAGTAAACGAAAGATTAGCTGTATTATGTCAATACGGGAATCGACGCTGGTCAAGTGTTCTTGTGCAACTCTACGATTCATGTTCCTTTATTTCTTTATTTCTGAAGGTTTCTTTTGTCGGTGAACGAGGAAGTGATTACCACGGTGACATAGCCATCGATGACATCAGCGTTGACGAAGGCGATTGTAGTACGTTTTCGTCTGGTTTTTTTATATCAGTTTTTGATTAATGTACTAATTAACAAACACATTTCAACTACTGGAGAAAACTGCCGTCAAAAATATTTACGAATCAAATACGAAATGAAAAGAAAAAAATCAAAAAGCTCAATACACCATGAGAGAAGAATGCCCACTAGTTCCAAAAAAATGCTAGCGGTAAATCAAATTTGGAAAATTCCGAAAAATTATCACAAATTGCTCATTTCCAAATCACGCTTAATGTCTAATTTAATGAAAACTCCGTAAAAAAAATCAGAAATTACAAATTTCCGATTCACAGTTAAAGTCTGATTTCATGGGGTTTTTTACCCAATGTAGTCCCCTTAAACGGATGACTTTTTCGTATACTTCGTATTATTTATTTTGTTTGATAATTGTATTTCTATGACAAATAAGTATTTCTGTGTACACTGGCCCTTTATTAGTTTGGTATAATTTTCTACCTTTGTCAACAGACCCAACCGCGCCATTACCAGCCTTGAATTGTGACTTCGATTCCAACAACCTTTGTCAATTCAAAAATAGCGCTTATGATGACTTTGATTGGACACTCAATAACGGCAACACCCCCAGCGCAGACACTGGGCCTGACTCAGACCACACTACACGAAATTGTAAGTTAAATTCCACCAAGTAAAAATAATCAAAAAAGCACATTTGGAAGGAATGTGCTTTTGTCATGTGAGTTCCTTTCAAAGATATGGTGTTTGCAAGATAACGTTTCCTTTTTTTCATGTAACTTGAAATTATGACCGGAATAAAAAGTATTTTGACTTCATGATTACGTTTACAGCAAGTGGGTTCTACATCTACACTGACGCATCTGCTCCCAGAGTTGCATCCGATAAAGCTCGACTAGACAGCCCCAAAGCCATTGCACCTGCCACTGGTGCGTGTGTAAGATTTTGGTACCACATGTACGGGACAGACATGGGATCATTGACGGTATACACAGGTGATGGTCAAGGTGGTCTTGGCCCTGCCCGCTGGTCAGCGAGTAGTAACTCTGGTAACCAGTGGGTGGAGACGACAATAGACGTTGACCCTGGGCTTGAATTTCAGGTACGGAATTTAACAATTCTTTTTAATTCATTTAATAATTAAGAAACCATGCAATGGGAATCTATTCTATACATTTTTTTTTTCTAAACGTCTGATAACCAGTTGTAATTTTTTGGACGTAAATGGAAAAAAGCTATTTAACTATAGATACAACAGACATCTGATTGTTTTTGTGTTTCACTTTTTATTCTTTTTTTTTGCAGGTTTCGTTTGTCGCTGGACGTGGAAGTGATGTCAGAAGTGACATAGCAATTGATGATATCAGTGTTGAGGAAGGCGAATGTAGTACGTATTCTATTTCCTTTGATGTTAGGTTTTACCGCTTTGAATATTTGCACATATTTCAAAAATTCAGGAAATCCAAGCTTAGCGAATGACATGAAATGCAACAAATAACAAAATATGAGAAAATTGAATATCATCAAAGAAGCCTCTTTTTCTTGTATGAAAACAATAACAAATGTAAACCCAAGTTGTAAAACTCCTGAAAAGAAAATGAATTGTAATACAAATTAAGTATACCAAATTCCTTTGTACGTGTAAGTCAAGTTTAAGTGCTTAAAACTCTGTTAAGTAGTACTTCATATTCACATAACGGTAATTGTTAAAGAATAGGGATAGATGGAGCAGAAAATAGTTTGTTGCTTAAATTCCACCCTTTTAGATTGTTGATACATATTAATATTTGTCTTATCCGCAAGGTTTGCCGACCGTACCGTTATCAGCTTTGAAATGTGACTTCGACTCCAACCACCTTTGTCAATTTAAAAACAGCCAGAATGATGACTTTGATTGGACACTCAATAGCGGTGGCACCTCCAGCTCAGACACTGGGCCTGACTCAGACCACACTGTAGGAACCTGTAAGTACAGACAAACGTGCAGGGATTTCCTATGGTGTCAGTGAATGCTTTAGGTATTGTTTCACCATCTTGTTTGTTTTTTAATTCATGTCTTTATTAAATATTCAAGGCATGCAACAGTGTCAAAACCTGGGACACTTTTATCAAAACACTAGATTCAAAGGACTACAATGTGAACTGACACTAAAGCAAGGCAGAATAACATACATAAACAACAATACAATCAAGTTTAGTGGGTCTTTAAGTTAAATAATAATACTTTAACTGAGCATAGGCGGGAACAAGAAAAAAAGGAAAACATCTAGTTGAATGTTGATAGAGCTCATGTGGGGTTTACTCGTCTTGAGTTTTATCATCTTGTACAAAAATATTACACCTAACCTTTCCCACATTTTCACAGAAATTCGCATGCAGCATAATTTTGATCAGCTCAACCTCGAAAAGAATATCCTAAAAGAAATAATGAAAATATTCTCAATGAACATATTTTTTTTTAAATATGCCTAACGGACTTTATTATTACTTCAATAAACTTGAAGAAGATTTTTTTTTCTGAATTAAAGGATTCAAAAGCTAAACTTAATTTTGCAGCAAATGGATTCTACATGTACACTGAGGCATCTGATCCCAGAGTTGCATCCGATAAAGCTCGACTAGACAGCCCCAAAGCCATTGCACCTGCCACTGGTGCGTGTGTCAGATTTTGGTACCACATGTACGGGGCAGACATGGGATCATTGACGGTATACACAGGTGATGGTCAAGGTGGTCTTGGCCCTGCCCGCTGGTCAGCGAATAGTAACTCCGGAAACAAGTGGTTGGACGCATCAATATATATTACTTCTGGGCTCGAATTTCGGGTAAGGAACTAAACAGTTTTCTGTCACAAACATAGCTCAATTAAAAGCACTCTTCTTTTTTGAGGGAATACTACCGAATCGTGTGAAGAAATTTGATAACAATTTTGTTATCTTGGAGTAAACGAAAGATTAGCTGTATTATGTCAATACGAGAATCGACGCTGGTCAAGTGTTCTTGTGCAACTCTATGATTCATGTTCCTTTATTTCTTTATTTCTGAAGGTTTCTTTTGTCGGTGAACGAGGAAGTGATTACCATGGTGACATAGCCATCGATGACATCAGCGTTGACGAAGGCGATTGTAGTACGTTTTCGTCTGTTTTTTATATCAGTTTTTGATTAATGTACTAATTAACAAACACATTTCAACTAATGGAGAAAACTGCCGTCAAAAATATTTACGAATCAAATCCGAAATGAAAAAAAAATCAAAAAGCTCAATACACCATGAGAGAAGAATGCCCACTAGTTCCAAAAAAATGCTAGCGGTAAATCAAATTTGGAAAATTCCGAAAAATTATCACAAATCGCTCATTTCCAAATCACGCTTAATGTCCAATTTAATGAAAAACTCCGTAAAATAATCAGAAATTACAAATTTCCGATTCACAGTTAAAGTCTGATTTCATGGGTTTTTTTACCCAATGTAGTCCCCTTAAACGGATGACTTTTTCATATAGTTCATATTATTTATTGATTTTTGATAATTGTATATCTATGACAAAGAAATATTTCTGTGTACACTGGCCCTTTATTAGTTTGGTATAATGTTCTACCTTTGTCAACAGACCCAACCGCGCCATTATCAGCCTTGAATTGTGACTTTGATTCCAACAACCTTTGTCAATTCAAAAATAGCGCTTATGATGACTTTGATTGGACACTCAATAACGGCAACACCCCCAGCGCAGACACTGGGCCTGACTCAGACCACACTACACGAAATTGTAAGTTAAATTCTACCAAGTAAAAATAATCAAAAAAGCACATTTGGAAGGAATGTGCTTTTGTCATGTGAGTTCCTTTCAAAGATATGGTGTTTGCAAGATAACGTTTCCTTTTTTTCATGTAACTTGAAATTATGACCGGAATAAAACGTATTTTGACTTCATGATTACATGTACAGCAAGTGGGTTCTACATCTACACTGATGCATCTGCTCCCAGAGTTGCATCCGATGAAGCTCGACTAGACAGCCCCAAAGCCATTGCACCTGCCACTGGTGCGTGTGTCAGATTTTGGTACCACATGTACGGGGTAGACATGGGATCATTGACGGTCTACACAGGTGATGGTCAAGGTGGTCTTGGCCCTGCCCGCTGGTCAGCGAGTAGTAACTCTGGTAACCAGTGGGTGGATACAGCAATAGATGTTGACCCTGGGCTTGAACTTCAGGTACTTAATTCAACAATTGATTTAGGTTCAGTTAAAAAGATGGCTCATTGGAAAACATGGTCATTTGAGAAAAAAAATCTGAAAATAAAAATCTATTCAATACATTTCACGAAGTCTGATAATCAGTTTTAAATGTTTGGACGTAAGTGGAAAACGGCGACTTAATTCATGGGATAAACGACGTCTGTGCAGTATTTTGTTGGACTATGTATTCCTTTATGCAGGTTTCTTTTGTCGCTGGACGTGGAAGTGATGTCAGAAGTGACATAGCTATTGATGACATCAGCGTTGATGAAGGCAAATGTAGTACGTATTCTATTTACTTTGATATTACAAAATAATTATACCAAACTCCCTTTTAACGTGTAAGTCGAGTTTAAGGGTTTAAAACTAGGTAAAGAAGTAATTAGTTTTCACAAAATGGTAATGATTAAAGCATAGGGGTAGGTAGAGCAAAATCATACATTTGTTGCTTGAATTCCACCCTTTTAGATTTTTGATACATATTTATATTTTTTTTATTTCCGCAAGGTTTGCCGACCGAGCCGTTATCAGCTTTGAAATGTGACTTCGATTCCAACCACCTTTGTCAATTTAAAAACAGCCAGAATGATGACTTCGATTGGACACTCAATAGCGGTGGCACCTCCAGCTCAGACACTGGGCCTGACTCGGACCACACTGTCGGAACTTGTAAGTGTACGGGAAATCATGTAGAGTTTTTTCTTATGGTGTCAGTGAATGCCTTAGGTACTGTTACTGAAATTGGCGGGCAGCATAATTTTCAACAGCTCAACCTCGTAAAAGCACATTCTAATAGAAAGAATGCAAAAATACACAATGAAAAATTAAAAAGATAAAATAAAATATGCTGTAAGTACCACATTGTTCATTCGATAAAACTGAACAGTGATTTTTTTCTGAATTGATGTTTTCCAAAGCCTCATTTAATTTTGCAGCAAACGGATTCTACATGTACACTGAGGCATCTGATCCCAGAGTTGCATCCGATAAAGCTCGACTAGACAGCCCCAAAGCCATTGCACCTGTCACTGGTGCGTGTGTACGATTTTGGTACCACATGTACGGGACAGGCATGGGATCATTGACAGTCTACACAGGTGATGGTCAAGGTGGTCTTGGCCCTGCCCGCTGGTCAGCGAATGGTAACTCTGGTAACAAGTGGCTGAATGCATCTATAGATATTGCTTCTGGGGTTGAATTTCAGGTACGGAACTGAAAAGCTTTCTGTCACAAATGTATTTCACCAATTAAAAAATTCACCTTATTTATCAAGGAGGAATTTTTTGAGAAATCGGACTGATAACCAATTTTGTTAGCGTGGAGTCAACTGAAGACCAGCTGTATTATGTCAAAACGTGAATCGACGCTGCTTAAGTTTTCTTGTGTTACTTTATACTTCGTGCTCCTTTACTTTTGAAGGTTTCTTTTGTCGGCGAACGAGGAAGTGATTACCATGGTGACATAGCCATCGATGACATCAGCGTCAATGAAGGCGATTGTAGTACGTTTTTATCCGTCTTTTTTATCAGTGTTGGAGAATGGAGAAAACCAACAGTCAAAAGGTTTTGCGAATCAAAACGAAATAACAAAACATGCAGGCAGCTTAATACACAATGAGAGACGAATGTTGCACTAGTCCCCCACCCCCCAAAAAAACCAGTAATTAAATCTGTTAAACTATTTGGAAAGATCCGTAAAAGTATCAGAAAACAAAAGTAACAGATTTTCAATTCACAGTGTAAGTCTACAACTCATTTTTTTAACTTTATAGAAAGTACCATTTAAATAAAATAAGAGTGAAAGAACGATACTAATAATAGATATGTGCTTTGCAACAACAAATTACTTCTGTGTACCCTCCCTTTTATGTTTGGAATTACTTTATTCTTTTGCGTTACAGTCCCACCAGTGCCATCGTCGGCTTTGAAATGTGACTTCGATTCCAACAACCTATGTCTCTTCGAAAATAGCCAGAATGATGACTTTGATTGGACACTCAATAGCGGTGGCACCTCAAGCGAAGACACTGGGCCTGACTCAGACCACACTGTAGGAACTTGTGAGTTCTCATGAAAGAACCTAGAGCATATTTATTCCTTTCTGCTTTGCGGATATTTACCAAAAGTGGCATGATCAAAACATCGTTATCAAGGTTCACCCACGATTGTTGTTAAAAAACAACAACTCAGATTTCACAAGTGAATTCGTTTTGAAAATGGGTGACATGGGGATGAACTACATTACCGGAAACAGTTCTCTGACCTGATCCGTGATTAATTTTGCAGCAAGTGGTTTCTACATGTACACTGAAGCATCTGCTCCCAGAGTTGCATCCGATAAAGCTCGACTAGACAGCCCCAAAGCCATTGCACCTGCCACTGGTGCGTGTGTCAGATTTTGGTACCACATGTACGGGGCAGACATGGGATCATTGACGGTATACACAGGTGATGGTCAAGGTGGTCTTGGCCCTGCCCGCTGGTCAGCGAATGGTAACTCTGGTAACAAGTGGTTGAATGCAGCAATAAATATTGATCTTGGGAGTAAGTTTCAGGTGAGTAATTCCTCTTTGAAATGTCACGGACTCATAACGACTCCTTTCGGGAAACATATACTCAAAAGTGTGCTCGTTAATAAAGATTTATGTTACTTCATTCGTTCAATCTTGAGATAATCTTGCTCCTGACAAAAAAATACTAATAGAGGCATTTACTTAAATGGACAAGACCCTCAAAAACAGAAGCAGACGAATCTTAATCCATCAATATGATAATTGCTGGTCGATTATTTGTTTTGCAGATGATTTTCATCGGCGAACGTGGAAGTGATGTCCTTGGTGACATGGCGCTTGATGACGTCAGCGTCGATGAAGGGAAATGTAGTATGTAAATTGGTGACTATTGAAAGAATGGCTGTGGAAATATTGACATGCATTCTTATTTTCAAGACACGTGGCCCTCCTAGACCAATGAAATTACATTATCCAAGCACACGATATCATAATAGATTTCACTGTAAACAATACAGATCATTTCAATTCAAATTTCAATTAGAATGCTTCTCCCAAAACTTTGCTTCTTTAGTAGTGTTGTGGTCCTCTCTGACTACTCCTGTATCCATTAATCCACAGACAAGCCGTTCTCGCCAGTTGACTGTGATTTTGATGGCACAACGCCCCTTTGCAATTATACCAATAGCAAGAGCGATAATGGGGACTGGTACCGCAGGTCTGGTAAACTAAACAGTGACTCAATTGGACCCGCTGCAGACCACACAACTGCAAACTGTAAGTTGATAATCAGGCTTTGTCACGACAGCTCTTTACAATTGAGTTCAGAAAAAAATAGGGGTTACCAAGAAAACGATTTGTTTCATCATACGGAAACTTTTGTGAAAGGATTATTTTACGGTCCTCAGCGTTAATGTGTTCAGTGAATTAGCAGTGTAAGTGTGTGGGTGACAAGGGCGGATCCGGGGGGCCAAAGGGGGCCATGCCCCCCCCCCCCCAAAAAAAAACCCAAAACGAAACCATTTTTTTTTTTTATGTTACATCGCAATAAAGGTAGGCAATGAGTACACCACCATCTTTTCCCCCAAAAAACATTGGTTAAAGTGGTCAGAAATTGCCTCAGATCGCACCACAGAGCATCTAGAATCCAAAAAATTTTCGGGGCCCTTAAGCGGGCCCCGAACCCCACGCCGTAATTTTGTTGGCCTACTTTTTTGGGGGACCAAAACATTTTTTAGCCCCCCAAAAAATTGTGTTCTGGATCCGCCTTTGGTGGGTGACGTTGATAAGGATACTCTACAGTCACCAATTTAAAACAGAAATAATCTGCAAACTTAATTTGATTGCACATTAGATTAGTGCTGCCCCCAAGGTTAACAAGTTTACATCAATAGAAAAGATACATCAGGGACTTTTCATGATCAATAAGCATTAATATTTTGCTAACTTTAATTTAACTGTATGGTCTGTTTTGATATCCCTTTTATACAATGCATCTTATAACAGCCTCGGGCTACTACCTCTACACATCTGATTATGGTTCTAACCAGCCACGCCTAGAAGGGGTTACGGTTGTTGCACCAGCCAACGGCGCATGCATCACATTTTGGTATCACATGTATGGCTATAACATTGGCACACTCAATGTCTACACCGAGACGAATGACGTCCTTGGCTCGGCTCGTTGGTCTCAGTCGGGATATACCAAGGAAAGCAAGTGGTATGAGGCATCAATCAGCATCGATCCAGGAAGTGAATTTAAGGTAAGCTATGTGATACCCGGATTGTCTTTTGCTAAATACGAATACCGGCCTGTTATGTTAATTTTTGATACTGTCTCAAACCAAACCCTGTCTCCTTTCATTCATAAATTTCAACAATTTTCACTAAAACTGTCTTCCTTTCACAGCTCGTATTCATTTCCGAAAATGCATTCGGTTCCCAAGGCAACATTGCAATTGATGATATAAGTCTATCTGATGGAGTATGTTCAGGTAAGTTTGTTTCACATTAGGTATTATATTGATTAATTTATGTAGCATTTGATGATTGTCACTGATATTAGAGGTCATTGTGAGTGACTTTATCTGCACTTTGTTAGTGCTGATACAATAGTTCAACAATCATTGAGTCCGTACCCTCTGTGAGTTCAAACAAAGTTCTCTATTATATCCACAGCTCTACCTCCAAAAACGCCTGATCCGTCCTTCCTGGTGGACTGTGATTTTGACGATGTCATCCACCTGTGTCATTATACCAATAGCAAGAATGATGATGGTGATTGGTATCGCGATTCTGGTAGCATGAACGGTGTCTCAATTGGACCAAGGACAGACCATACTACCGGGAACTGTAAGTTTCAATTTAGTCTTCGGCGATGATTGGTGTAACAATTAGTTCGTCAGGGGACTTCAGAGAGACATTGTTTAAGTGGATTGCGCTGAAGATGTACTGACTGGCTTTTATTTCTGTATCGTTAACTAAAATCATATCGTGTATCTGTAGGCCCTATGTCATTTCCCAACATATATTAGCGATCTCTCGAGCTAGTTTTACTTTGTGTTATACAACGATGATAAATATATGCCACCATTTTACGGAATCCTTTTTGTAAGGTCTAAAAGTTAAAATCTGAGCAACGCTGATTTATATTTTATGGTGAATATTGCCTCTTTTTTTTTCTTGTTACGTCGCAGACAGGACGCAATCATACAAAGCCATGTGTCGATCACAAACTGAAAAGTAGTCATTAAAATAGCTCATCATTGGAAATCCATTTTGCTGTTCAGACTTGTCTAATGTCTTGATATAACACGATTTAATTACAGCTTCGGGCTACTACCTCTACACACCTGATTATGGTTCTAACAACCCACGCCTAGAAGGGGTGACAGTTGTCGGATCAGCCAACGGCGCATGTGTCACATTTTGGTATCACATGTATGGCTATAACATTGGCACACTCAGTGTCTACACTGAGACGAATGGCGTCCTTGGCTCAGCTCGTTGGTCTCAGTCGGGATATACCAAGGAAAGCAAGTGGTATGAGGCATCAATCAACATCGATCCACGAACTGAATTTAAGGTAAGCGATGTGATACCCAGATTGTATTTTGCTAAATACGAATAGCAGCCTGTTATATTTGATTCCCTTCTCAAACCAAACCCTGTCTCCTTTTATTCATAAATTTCAATAAGTTTCACTAAAACTGTCTTCGGTTCACAGCTCGTGTTCATTTCCGAAAATGCAGTCGGTTCCCAAGGCAACGTTGCAATCGATGATATAAGTCTTTCTGATGGAGTATGTTCAGGTAAGTTTGTCTCACATTAGTAACAGGTATTCATAAATACCTAAGAGGTTTACCCATTGCATACTATTGGCCGAGAGCCCGCCACGTGGCCGGTTTTAAACGGTCGATAAAATATAGGATGGCTGGTCTGAAACACTTTTTCTGGTGTCACATGAAACCTGGACACCTATGAGGTTTGTTTCCTTTGACCCGTTTGATTGGACGTTCCAATTTTCTACTAGGTATATGCGTGCGCGATACTGGCAACGAGTCTGTATTTCGAGAGTCCTAAATTCACACTATACTGGCATCACCGCGTTTTTTGCCTCATCGCGCATTGCGCCTATGTCCATTAGGAGCTGTTAACAACTTCTCGCGTAGGGACATTCTATAGGGGTGTTTGGAAAAACACGAAGTAAAATTGTTGACAAAATAGCTGAAAATGTATGCTTTTTCACTTGTTTTGACTTTTAGACCGATTTTTTTACTTTTAGACCGAGCCCTCATTGAGTTCAAATAATGTTATTGTTTATGTCCACAGCTCTACCTCCAAACACGCCTGATCCGTCCTTCCTGGTGGACTGTGATTTTGACGATGCCATCCACCTGTGTCATTATACCAATAGCAAGAATGATGATGGTGATTGGTATCGCGATTCTGGTAGCATGAACGGTGTCTCAATTGGACCAAGGTCAGACCATACAACCGGGAACTGTAAGTTTCAATTTAGTCTTCGGCGATGATTGTCTTAACAATTAGTTCGTCAGGGGATTTTCAGAGAGACATTGTTTAAGTGGATTGCGCTGAAGATGTACTGACTGGATCTTATTTCTGTACCGTTCACTAAAATCATATCGTGTATCTGTATGTCATTTCCCAACATATATTAGCGATCTCTCGAGCTAGTTTTACTTTGTGTTATACAACGATGCATGCCACCAATTTACGGAATCCTTATTGTAAGGTCTAAAAGTTAAAATCTAAGCAACGCTGATTTACCTTTCTTGATGAAAACTGCATTTCTTTCTTGTTACGTCGCAGACAGGACGCAATCATACAAAGACATGCGTTGATGTCTAATGTCTTGAGATAACACAATTGTATTACAGCTTCGGGCTACTACCTCTACACATCTAATTATCGTTCTTACAAGCCACGCCTAGAAGGGGTGACGGCTGTCGCAACAGCAAGCGGCGCATGCATCACATTTTGGTATCACATGTATGGCCATAACGTGGGCACACTCAATGTCTACACTGAGACGAATGGCGTCCTTGGCTCAGCTAGTTGGTCTCAGTCGGGATATACCAAGGAAAGCAAATGGTATGAGGCATCAATCAGCATCGATCCAGGAAGTGAATTTAAGGTAAGCGATGTGATACCCAGATTGTCTTTTGCTAAATACGAATAGCAGCCTGTTATATTTGATTTCCTTCTCAAACCAAACCCTGACTCCTTTTATTCATAAATTTCAACAAGTTTCACTAAAACTGTCTTCGTTTCACAGCTCGTGTTCATTTCCGAAAATGCAGTCGGTTCCCAAGGCAACGTTGCAATCGATGATATAAGTCTTTCTGATGGAGTATGTTCAGGTAAGTTTGTCTCACATTAGTAACAGGTATTCATAAATACCTAAGAAGTTTACCAATTGAATGTTATTAGCCGAGAGCCCGCCACGTGGCCGGTTTTAAACGGTCGATAAAATATAGGTTGGCTGGCCTTAAACACTTTTTCTGGTGTCACATGAAACCTGGACACCTATGAGGTCTGTTTCCTTTGACCCGTTGGATTGGACGTTCCAATTCTCTACTAGGTATATGCGTGCGCAATACAGGCAACGAGTCTGTATTTCGAGAGTCCTAAATTCACACTACACTGGCATCACCGCGTTCTGTGCCTCATCGCCCATTGCGCCTATGTCCATTAGGAGCTGTTAACAACTTCTCGCGAGAGGGACATTCTATAGGGGTGTTTGGAAAAACACGAAGTAAAATTGTTGACAAAATAGCTGGAAATGTATGCTCTTTCACTTGTTTTGACTTTAAGACTGATTTTTTTTTACTTTTAGACCGAGCCCTCTTTGAGTTCAAATAATGTTATTGTTTATGTCCACAGCTCTACCTCCAAACACGCCTGATCCGTCCTTCGTGGTGGACTGTGATTTTGACGATGTCATCCACCTGTGTCATTATACCAATAGCAAGAATGATGATGGTGATTGGTATCGCGATTCTGGTAGCATGAACGGTGTCTCAATTGGACCCAAGGCAGATCATACTACCGGAACCTGTGAGTTTCAAGAAATCCAGCCTTTGGCGATGATTGCCTTAACAATTGGTTCTTCGGGGGACTTTCAGGGAGACATTGTTTAAGAGGGTTGCGCCGGAGATTAACTGATGGGCTGTTTTTTCTGTATCGTTAACTAATTCATATCGTGCATCTGTAGGCTTTGTCATTTCCCAACATGTATTAACGATCTCTCGCGTCTTACTTTGTGTTATAACGAAGATGATCAATATAGGCCACCAATTTACGGAATCCTTTTTATAAGGTCTAAAATCCAACATCTCAACAACGCCGATTTACCTTTCATGGTGAATGCTGCGTCGCAGACAGGACGCAATCATACATAGACATGTGTTTTTTCACAAACTGAAAAATAGTCATTAAAATAGTTCATCATTGGAAATCTATTTTACTGTTCAGACTTGTCTAATGTCTTGAGATGACGCAATTGTATTACAGCTTCGGGCTACTACCTCTACACACCTGATTATGGTTCTAACAAGCCACACCTAGAAGGGGTGACGGCTGTCGCACCAGCCAGCGGCGCATGCATTACATTTTGGTACCACATGTATGGCTATAACATTGGCACACTCAATGTCTATACTGAGACGAATGGCGTCCTTGGCTCAGCTCGTTGGTCTCAGTCAGGATATACCAAGGAAAGCAAGTGGTATGAGGCATCAATCAGCATCGATCCAGGAAGTGAATTTAAGGTAAGCGATATGACACCCAGATTGGCTTTTGCTAAATACGAATACCAGCCTGTCATATTAATTTTTGATACTGTCTCAAACCAAACCCTGTCTCCTTTTATTCATAAATTTCAACATTTTTCACTAAAACTGTCTTCGTTTCACAGCTCGTGTTCATTTCCGAAAATGCAGTCGGTTCCCAAGGCAACGTTGCAATCGATGATATAAGTCTTTCTGATGGAGTATGTTCCGGTAGGTTTGTTTCACATTAGTAACAGGTATTCACAAATACCTAAGAAGTTTACCAATTGCATGTTATTGGGCGAGAGCCCGCCACGTGGCCGGTTTTAAACGGTCGATAACATACAGGCTGGCTGGTCTTAAACACTTTCTATGGGTCACATCAAACTTGGACGCTGATGAGGTCTGTTTCGTTTTACCCGTTAGTGGATTGGATGTTCCTACCCTCTAGGCATATGCGCAATACTACCAACGAGTCCGTATTTCGAGAGTCCTAAATTCACACTACACTAGCATCACCGCGTTCTGTGCCACGTTGCCCAGTGCGCCAATGTCCATATAAGGATCTGTTAAAGACTACTTACAAGAGGGACATTCTATCGGGATGAAAAACACGAAGTAAAATTGTTGACAAAATAACTGGCAATATAAAAGTTTGGACTTTTAGACCGATTTTATTTTATTTTTGACCGAACCCTCTGTGAGTACAAAAAAGTTCTTGTTTATGTCCACAGCTCTACCTCCAAACACGCCTGATCCGTCCTTCCTGGTGGACTGTGATTTTGACGATGCCATCCACCTGTGTCATTATACCAATAGCAAGAATGATGTTAGTGATTGGTATCGCGATTCTGGTAGCATGAACGGTGTCTCAATTGGACCACGGGCAGACCATACTACCGGGAACTGTGAGTTTCAATTTAGTCTTCGGCGATGATTGCCTTAACAATTAGTTCGTCAGGGGACTTTCAGAGAGACATTGTTTAAGTGTAATGCGCTGAAGATGTACTGACTGGATCTTATTTCTGTATCGTTAACTAAAATCATATCGTGTATCTGTATGTCATTTCCCAACATTATTATCGATCTGTTGAGCTTGTTTTACTTTGTGTTATACGACGATGCCACCAAATTACTGAATCCTTTTTGTAAGGTCTAAAAGCCAACATCTGAGCATCGCCTATTTAGTTTTCAGAGTGATTACTGCCTTCCTTTCTTGTTACGTTGAAGACAAGTCGCAATCATACAAAGAATCCCGGTACATACCGTTATATCGTTTTGCCGTTGTGGATTTCCTCAAAAACAAACAATAAACGTACCATTGACTGCTTTGTTGTTTTACAGTTTTGTAAAACGGTCAACAGTGTTAAGTGACCCAAAAAAATACTTTTTTTAATTTTTAAACTGATAAACTGTTAGTTGCTTTATTTTTAGAGTGTTGTTTTACAAAAACATGACAATGACATAACGGTCATGTATCATGTATCACCATCATGTATCCATTGTGAAATTTCCTCCTTGAAATTGCCTGAATAGACTTGTCTAATGTCTGGAGATGACGCAATTGTATTACAGCTTCGGGCTACTACCTCTACACATCTAATTATCGTTCTTACAAGCCACGCCTAGAAGGGGTGACGGCTGTCGCAACAGCAAGCGGCGTATGCATCACATTTTGGTATCACATGTATGGCCATAACGTGGGCACACTCAATGTCTACACTGAGACGAATGGCGTCCTTGGCTCAGCTCGTTGGTCTCAGTCGGGATATACCAAGGAAAGCAAATGGTATGAGGCATCAATCAGCATCGATCCAGGAAGTGAATTTAAGGTAAGCGATGTGACACCCAGTGTCTTTTGCTAAACACGAATACCAGCCTGTCATATTTGATACTGTCTCAAACCAAACACCTGACCGTTCATTCATAAATTTCAACAAGTTTCACTAAAACTGTCTTCGTTTCACAGCTCGTGTTCATTTCCGAAAATGCAGTCGGTTCCCAGGGCAACATTGCAATCGATGATATAAGTCTTTCTGATGGAGTATGTTCAGGTAAGTTTGTTTCACATTAGTAAAAGGTATTCACAAATACTTAAGAAGTTTACCAATTGCATGTTATTGGCCAAGAGCCCGCCACGTGGCCGGATTTAAATGGTCGATAACATACAGGCTGGCTGGTCTTAAACACTTTTCATGGGTCACATCAAACTTGGACACTTATGAGGTCTGTTTCGTTTTACCCGTTTGTGGATTGGATGTTCCAACCCTCTAGGCATATGCGCAATATTGGCAACGAGTCTGTATTTCGAGAGTCCTAAATTCACACTACACTGGCATCACCGCGTTCTGTGCCACATTGCGCAGTGCGCCAATGTCCATATAAGGATCTGTTAAAGACTACTTAGGCCTACGAGAGGGACATTCTATCGGGATGAAAAACACGAAGTAATATTTTTGACAAAATAACTGGCAATATAAAAGTTTGGACTTTTAGACCGATTTTTTTTAATTTTTGACCGAACCCTCTGTGAGTACAAACAAAGTTCTCGTTTATGTCCACAGCTCTACCTCCAAACACGCCTGATCCGTCCTTCCTGGTGGACTGTGATTTTGACGATGCCATCCACCTGTGTCATTATACCAATAGCAAGAATGATGATGGTGATTGGTATCGCGATTCTGGTAGCATGAACGGTGTCTCAATTGGACCAAGGTCAGACCATACTACCGGGAACTGTAAGTTTCAATTTAGTCTTCGGCGATGATTGCCTTAACAATTAGTTCGTCAGGGGACTTTCAGAGAGACATTGTTTCCAGTGGATTGCGCTGAAGATGTACTGACTGGATCTTATTTCTGTATCGTTAACTAAAATCATATCGTGTATCTGTATGTCATTTCCCAACATATATTAGCGATCTCTCGAGCTAGTTTTACTTTGTGTTAACGATGCATGCCACCAATTTACGGAATCCTTTTTGTAAGGTCTAAAAGTAAAAATCTGAGCAACGCCGATTAACCTTTCATGGTGATTACTGCCTTTCTTTCTTGTAACGTCGCAGACAGGACGCAATCATACAAAGACATGTGTTGATCACAAACTGAAAAGTAGTCATTAAAATAGCTTATCATTGGAAGTCCATTTTACTGTTCAGACTTGTCTAATGTCTTGAGATGACGCAATTGTATTACAGCTTCGGGCTACTACCTCCACACACCTGATTATGGTTCTAACAAGCCACACCTAGAAGGGGTGACGGTTGTCGCACCAGCCAGCGGCGCATGCATCACATTTTGGTATCACATGTATGGCTATAACATTGGCACACTCAATGTCTACACCGAGACGAATGGCGTCCTTGGCTCAGCTCGTTGGTCCCAGTCGGGATATACCACGGAAAGCAAGTGGTATGAAGTATCAATCAGCATCGATCCAGGAAGTGAATTTAAGGTGAGACATACTATTACCCAGATTATCCTTTGCCGAACACGAATGACAGCCTGTTATATTACTTCTTGAAACTGTCTCAAACCAAACCCTGACTCCTTTTATTCATGAATTTCAACAAGTTTCGCTAAAACTGTCTTCGTTTTACAGCTCGTTTTCATTTCTGAAAATGCAGTCGGTTCCCAGGGCAACGTTGCAATCGATGATATAAGTCTTTCTGATGGTGTATGTTCCGGTAGGTTTATTTCAGAATTAGTAACGGGTATTTATAAATACCTAAGACTGTTTTACCCATTGCATGCTATTGGCTTTTAGCCTAAACGGTTTATGGCTGGTCTTAAACACTTTTCTGGTGTCACATGAAATTTAGACTCCCAAGAAGTGTGTTCCCTTTTACCCGTTTATGGATTGGACGTTCTCATTTTCTACTTAGGCATAATGCGCAATTGACCTATTGCGGTTGCGAGTTAGCAACGCTCCTTAGATAACCTTATGGAGTTTTGTACGTTAAGTTTTGTTCGTCTCAGATATCGCACGTTCCTCGTCCATTTGTACATCATGTGAATTGACAATTTAAATAGCTCTATGACTATTTCACAAGCTGCGTTGACGCGATTCGTCTTCGAGTCCGTATTTCGAGAGTCCTAAATTCACACTTCACTGGCACCACCGCGTTCTGCGCCACATCACGCAGTGCGTGCCAAGTAAGAGCTAATGTCCATAATTATAAGGAGATATTATCGACTACTCGTGAGAGGCACATTTCATAGTGGTGTTTGGAAACTCACGAAGTAACATTTTCGACAAAATCACTGGAAATTTATAATTTTGAACCGTTTTGATCTCTAGACCGATTTTTTTCCCCTTTTAGACCGAGCCCTCTGCGAGTTCAAACCAACTTCTTGTTTTTGTCCACAGCTCTACCTCCAAACACGCCTGATCCGTTCTTCCTGGTGGACTGTGATTTTGACGATGCCATCCACCTGTGTCATTATACCAATAGCAAGAATGATGATGGTGATTGGTATCGCGAATCTGGTAGCATGAACGGTGTCTCAATTGGACCACGGTCAGACCATACTACCGGGAACTGTGAGTTTCAAGAAATTCAGCCTTTAGCGATGATTGGTTTAACAATTTTGTCGAGTGGCTTTCAGGGAGACATTGTTTAAGTGGATTGCGATGAAGATGTACGGATTTGACTGTTATTAATTCAGATCGTGTATAGAATATATATGATATCTATATTTTACATTTTACAATCTGTCGAGTCTTACTCTCTGTTACAATTGTGGTAAATTGTTTCAATGTATCATTTTCTGCACATCAACCACCAATTGATTGAATCCTATTTCATAGGTCTTAAAAGCCATCATTTGAGGAACGCTGAAATACCCTTTCAAATTGTAATCAACTAGGCCTATTCCCTTTCTTTCTTATTGAAGGTACACAATCATAAACAATATAAGTATAGTCATTTAAATACCTTTCATATGAAATCGTTTTTACTGTTCAGACAAGTCTAATATCTGAGACAATACGATTTTATATCAGCTTCGGGCTACTACCTCTACACCCCGGCATCTTCATATAGAACTTACAAGCCACGCCTAGAAGGGGTAACGGTTGTCGCACCAGCCAACGGCGCATGCGTCACGTTTTGGTATCACATGTATGGCCAAGACGTAGGGAAACTTGAGGTCTACACTGAGATCTATGGCGTGCTTGGCTCAGCTCGTTGGTCCCAGTCTGGATATACCAAGGAAAGCAAGTGGTATGAGGCATCAATCAGCATCGATCCAGGAAGAGAATTTAAGGTAAGCCATAAGAATATTAGAGATGCAGAGGACTATTTTAAGTATAGTCCCTTTCTCTCTCCTGAGGATTTGCAAAATAAAAGAATGAAAATTGATATAACAGCCAGCTGGCCGGTCAGTCACGCCCTCCCATTGGCCTCCCCCCCCCCCCCCCGTAACATCGACAAGCTATCGGCAAGAATTGTTTATGCATTTGCAATTAGCTTGTGTTAACATCGTGTGAGTTGGTTTCTTTTCCACAGCTCGTTTTCATTTCCCAAAGCGGATCCAGCTACCAAAGCAACATTGCAATCGATGACATTGGCGTGGCCGCCGGGAAATGTTAGGGTAGGTCTTTCAATTTGACGTCTTTTCTGAGCTCCGTAGAGTCGGAATACCCGACCCATTCTGATACAGTATTGCAAGTTAGGGGAAAACACGAAGCAGATTCGCTAGACCCCAGCTGTATTATCATGATTTTGCATGATAAAACGCATTGAAAGAGTTTAAATTTAAACACTTTCTTTTATGCATTTTGACCTCTTTAATTACACTTATTTAGTAAAACTGGAAAAACAAATTACCTTCATTCCATGCTATTTCAGTTAACACAGGCTTAATCAGTTATTGCTCATCTGAAGTTAATACTTATAAACAAGTACTTATTAAGGACGGGTGGTAATGTTAAATGATCATTCCGAATTCTATGATAACTAATTGAAAGACTCAATGTTTTTTTTCTCGTTTTTTCATCTTCTCTAAAACAGAGGTTGAAAACCAACTCGGAGGAATTCACGATTTCAGACGAAGTAACAACTTCTCGATCAAGTTTCTCACAGGATCTGTCCTAGTTTCGTTTTTTTCTTTTTGAAAATTATGTTTCGGATGTTCTCATAATGAATAGTTTTAGGTTTCACATTTGGGTAACTTTAATTTAGTCTAGGTTGAGTTTTGGGGTATGATGTAAACAAAGAATATGGATTCAAGATAATTTCAAAGAAATGACGTTCACCCATATTTCAAAAGTTAATTATTTGTTGCAGTTTCCATCATTGCGCGATCCTTTCAATGATGCTCAATGCAAAGCCTATTTTGCCACGAGTAGTAAATTTGGCTTGCACTACATAATACAATGTTGTTTCAAACATGAGGCCGACACAAAAACGCGAGCAGGTAGGCCAAGGTAGCTTCAGTCATTATATTTGTTCTCTTTAATAAGATTGTTTTGTTGTATTTAACTTGTTACGATTACTCTGGGTTTTTGGGGAGTCTGTTTTGTTCATTTATATGTAGTACTCAGTGTTTTGTTTTGTTTTGTTTTGTTTTTCTTCTTTTTTTCACAAACAAAATTAACCTAGCCCTGGATTAAGTCTAATAAATTTCTTATTTGGTTGGTAACATACCGTACTCTGCAACTGGAACTCCAATGACAAAAACTAACAATGACGTGCGCCACCAAGAGGTTTTACTAGGTTAGCCCTTTTCTGCAACGCATTATGGATAACGGAGGCGACAGGTTTTCCGGCTTTTTGGACGAACACGATTTAAGTCGAAATTCACTAGACCTCATAGTGCATTTTGTGATCTGTACTGTATGTGTACGGCGTGTGATAATGAAGGACGGACGATTAAATTAGGCCAACATGATAACGTCTACCCTGAAGTGGCTCGTTGAATCAAACGCTTGATGGCGCACTTGCTTTGAGGTCGTGTTCGAAATGGGTAGGCCCCCTAATCAGAGCATAGGGTTACAACTAATTTTCGTCTTCTTCACACGTAGTTTTAATTGTCGAAGACATAGACAGTAGGGTTGGACACAAGATTCGAACCAGGATTACTTGCAGTGAGTGAACATTACGAACCAGAATCACCGCTTATCCAAAAAAAAATCAAGGGGATCATTAAACGCTGGTGGACGCTCTTTAATATTTTACGAATCCCGTAAGCCTGGAAAGGAGATGGTAGCATCAGTTCGGAAACGGTCTCTTTTTCAATACCGGTGTAATTAAGAATTACATAAATGACCCATTGCTTATTCAGGTGCGGTTTATTTTGTTTATTAACTTCTTATTTTGAAGTAAGTTATTTCTTTTGTTTTATTAAATTCACCGCATTTCATTTAATTCTATTTTACTCAATAAGGTGGAGGGTTTGAATTTAATTCTATTCACTTTTTGTCGTGATTCTATGTTAATTTATTTCGAAGTGATTGACATTAAAACTTTCAAGCAGCACGTTTCCGTTGTTTTCATTTTTTTTTTCAATAGTGTTTATTGGCAGAATAATGTCATTGTATTGTGGGGTAAATTTTAATTCAACATTTCATAGATTCCCTTAATGTATATTATATTATGTATCAGCCTCTATCCAGCGAATAAAGACTCGCAATAATTAGCTCGTTTGAAACTGATGAAAAGAAAACAGACTCATGTGCGTGTAGCTTATTGAATTTTCCTAGTATTTAATCTCTGCCCATTAAAAATTGAACTGAGTTAATGTACTGTTCTTATGTACACGCATTTAAAAAATTAATGACTAGATATACAGGGTATGCTATCATGGCCGCGCCGAATCCGATCACAGACACCTGATACTTGAAAGTATACTTTTTAGAAACGGGATATCTTTGAAATGTATCGATTTTTTTTCTCTGGAGAAAACGTAGGTCTATAATTTGGCAAATATTGTTTCATTGACGGCACAGTTTAAATTACTGAGGAAACAATGTAGTATCCTGACGCCGCTTCTTTACTTGTCAGTGTACAAAGTCTATGGAGGGTTGAGTGCATTTTCCAAATATTTTCTTACAAAATTTAAAATGTTTCTCAGTCCAAGATTCATGTCTTTTCAACATTTTTTCTATGCTCTTTTGACTGGTTGAATTGACTGCCGGGTACTTTATTTACATAATATTGCAGTCATCCGGGTACTTTTTACGAAAGCATACAATACGATGATTTATTTTTACCACTGGAAGCCTAATATAAAATTAATGAGGTGTTATATCGCCGTATTTTATTACGTAATATCGCCGTAACATTGCGCTTTATTGCCGTTATAACAGGCCCGGATTACCCAATAGGCACAGTAGGCACTGTGCCTACGGCGAGTGCCTACGAAAATACCGCAGTGTGCCATAAAACACATAGGCCTACCCACACGCGCAGAGAAAAGTTTTTTTTTTTTTAAATTACTGTCATGGTCTCTCTCAGAATTTTCGATTTCACCAACTGACGCTGTACAGCATGTATGCATTGGCCCTACGTAAAAAAAATGTGCGTGTAAAGTCTGTCGTTCTGAAGCACGGTGCCAACCATGGGCGTCGATCGGTGGGGTGGGATCCGGGAACGGGGGACTATGGTGGCCCTGAAGGGACATCGCATATCGCAAACGTGTGCGCATACGTATGCGATGTCGCGAAATTTATCGCGAATGTGTGCGCACACGTATGCGATGTCGCAAAATTTATCGCGAATATGTGCGCACACGTATGCGATGTCGCGAAATTTATCGCGAATATATGCGCACACGTATGCGATGTCGTGAAATTAATCGCGAATATGTGCGCACACGTATGCGATGTCGTGAAACAATTCGCGAATATGTGCGCACACGTATGCGAATTTGTTTGCAATGTCGTGAATTTTATGGCATACCTTGTCGCATACCTTTCAGTAAAATTCCTAATGAACTGGGGAGTTGTAGCAGCTAGTCTGGAATCTAGACGTACTGTTAGATATAAATAGGGTCTGACTAATAAACCTTCGCGCGCACGCTGTTCCTCGTGCAATCGTTACTACTAGTACTGTTGAGCGCAAACTTGCTACTTGCGCAACTTTGAAATTTGCACGCGCAAGTTTCAAAGTTAGTTAGACCCTATTTATATGTAACAGTACGTTTAGATTCCAGACTAGCTGCTACAACTCCCCAGTTCATTAGGAATTTTACTGAAAGGTATGCGACAAGGTATGCAATAAAATTCACGACATTGCAAACAAAGTCGCATACGTGTGCGCACATATTCGCGAATTGTTTCACGACATCGCATACGTGTGCACACATATTCGCGATTAATTTCACGACATCGCATACGTGTGCGCATATATTCGCGATAAATTTCGCGACATCGCATACGTGTGCGCACATATTCGCGATAAATTTTGCGACATCGCATACGTGTGCGCACACATTCGCGATAAATTTCGCGACATCGCATACGTATGCGCACACGTTTGCGATATGCGATGTCCCTTCAGGGCCACCATAGGGGACTGATGTCGTTCCCCAACGATTTTCGTCCTTGAATAAAAATATGTAGCCTACATTTGATTCTATAGCCCAGAATAGCTGATTTAATGACTCCAAACTCGAAAAGGATGTTTAAATGATGATCTTGTGCTAAAACTTTGGCAGTCGTCAGAAATTGCCTCAGATCGCAACGCAGGGCGCCTAAAATCTAATCTTTTTAAGGGGCCTTTAAGCGGGCCCGAACCCCGCGCCGTTTAGGCTTCGCACTCGCACAATTAGTACTGCTAATTTGCATAATTATCACGCATAAATTGCACGAACTGTCATTGTCAAAATGACATTAATGAATTCGTTGACCCCAAACAAATGTCATGGTCTAGACATTTTGATTGGTGCATGAAGAGATCCTGAAGAAAGTCTTGTATTTTAAGGCGGTAGCTAATTTGCATATTTATTCATTAAATAAAAAAAAATTGTTCAAGGATGCCAAAGTGGCACCCATCGGAATATTGACTTTTAAGGTTCAAAAATAAAAATTAATGACAGGAAAATGCCAAAAAAAAAAAAAAAATTGTGCGGACTCTAATGTACGCTCCCGTGGAAACCCCCTACTTATCACCGAGTTGGAATTTTATAGGACTGCACGGTGATGTGATATAACACAATAAAATACGGCGACACATTACAATACGGCTTAGATACGGCGAGATGATGGAAATGGGTCAACTCGTACCCGAGTTAACTCGTACCCGAGTCAACTCGTACCCCAAAATTGACTCCCCAGTCAAGTCGTACCCGAGTTAGGTCGTACCCGAGTCAAGTCGTACCCCAGTCAACTCGTACCCGAGTCAAGTCGTACCTGATTTGACTCGTACCCGAGTTGACTCGTACCCACAGCTCAAAATAGTTGCCTATTTTCGAAGAAAAAAAATCAGTGAAACGAACGGAAGATCGGAGGGATATGATATGGCCGGTTGTCCGTGCAGGGTGACATCGTTTTTGCCGGGCCTGTGCGCGCACTCGCCGGTCCACGTGGTCGTACCGTGCACGGTGATATCGTTTTTGCCGGGCCTGTGCGCGCACTCATCGGCCAACGTGGTCGTCCGCGCACGGTGACATCGTTTTTGCCGGGCCTGTGCAGGCACTCATTGGCCAACGTGGTCGTACCGTGCACGATGATATCCTTTTTGCCGTGCCTGTGCGCACACTCGCCGGTCAAAGTGGTTGTGCGTGAACGGTGTTGCCGTCGCGTTGTTAGTGTCGGAACCTTCGCTGTTTTTCAACGGCATTAGGCCTTGGTCATTTGTGTAAGTTGTAGTTGTACATATTTAATACAGGGCTAATTTTCATACTTCAAATAAATGTTCTACCCAAAGTATGCATGCTTTTATCACTTTATTTTATTTTTATATTACAGATGATCTTGTGGTTTTCCGATGAACCATTTTCTGCTGCTCAAACCGATCGATCGGATGGTCTGTCACACAGTTCATGATGAATCGAATCGGATGTCAAGTTTTGAGGACGATACCCGATTAGCTCAGTTTTGTTTAAGATAAAACTTTCTCTTGCACTTGAATTACAATTTGCTAATGTCAAACAATCTTTTACACCCAAGGATCAACTAACAAATTGGTCCCCTAAAACTTATGGAAAGAGCATCTCTGAATGAAACGAGCCAACATTTTCCTTTATCGTTTTTTATCGAGTTGACTCGGGTACGAGTTAACCTGGGTACGAGTTAACCCGGGTACGAGTTAACTTGGGTACGAGTTGACCCGGGTACGAGTTGACTCGAGTACGAGTTGACTCGGGTACGAGTTAACTCGGGTACGAGTTGATACAGCGATATAACCCAATAGTATGGCGATATAACGGCCAAATAACGGCATAAAAAAATTAACTTGCGTAACGAAGTGACGAATAGGAGCCACCGTAGAATTCGGAAGACGTTCAGGAGCATGGAGTGTAAATCATGATCGATGGCGATGGCACTTTGCAATAAATTACGGCCTCTTGTTCAAAATCTTCCCAAGATTTCATGGAACCAACGGAAGCTTCTCATATCTCCAACCGTGCCGGCACGTGCAGCAGCAGCAGTAAGATGTATCAGCATCGATCGTAAGTTGGCATAAACTGAACTACCACAGTGTTGTCCAGTTTCCGGACACATTGTTTTATGTGATAATTGGGCGCTTTCGGTGATTTTTTTCCTGGCTGTTATTATTGAACCTGGGTTTAATTTCAAGATGTTAGGCTGGCTTTCACAAATTAAAGACTTTCGAATTTTTGAAATCGGATGACCACAAGCATGACAAGTGCCAAGTGGAGATATTTCACTAGTTTGTGTTTGTTTCAAAGACAAAGACAATTAATTCTCAACTGTTAATGTTATTATTTATGGTGTTCCCTAACGTGGCACTCTTCGACATAATACCCCAACTTTCCTCATCAGTGTTGCCAAACTTCTTTGTTGACAAACTTCAAATTCATTCAGTGAAAAAATACATTGACCTTGTTAATTAAGATAGTGGATATTTTGCCGGAGGTAATGACGGCAAACTAACGATTACTAAAGGTTTGCTGGCGGCAATCCATATCAACAGAGGGCGCTGTACTCTTTAAAATGGGGCTGATTTATAAGATGTATTAAATTCCCATCAAACGTTATGTAGCACGTTTGGTGTAGTGGTTAAGCAAAGGCTCTAGTAAGCGGGATGACCGCGTTCGAATCCGACCGCATCACATTTTTAAGTTTATTTTCTCATCCCCAAATAAATAAGAATATTCTTCTTTTATTATTTTAACATGTCCCAAACATTTTTTGCAGAGTATTACATTTTCTTTTTCAGATTTGTGGCTCTGGAGGATTTTTTTTTAAAGGGAAATAAAGTCCGAAATTATAAAATGGTCTGAATCCCATCTTGTGAATACGAGGTAACAACGATAATTTTGGCAAAAAAGGAGCCAGACTAAAACTTGTCACCAGAAAATGTTTTTTAAGTACAAAAAAACAGTAACTGCGCATGTTCAGTGCATATCCGGCAAACTAACGTTTACTAAAGGTTTGCCGTCTCCGGCAAAATATACACTGCCGTTAATTAATGCTTGCAATTTATCTCTGTGAACAATTTCAGTTTCACGAAATTAAATCCGAAATTAAAAAACGGTGGTGTCCGGAAATTGGGCACAAATTGGCTGAGTGTTCCCCCAACGTGGCGCACTTGAATAAATCTTTAAAAAAATCCAAATTAACATTTAAGAATTTATGTAAAGTTGATAAATTCTGATAAACAATTATTATCTCTACTTACATACCCAACAAGAAGTTTATCAGCAAATTATTTTCTATTTTTGGGGGGACATTTTCAAAGGGTTCACTGTGCACTTCGAAATTAAATCGGAAAATGACAACGAAATAAATTTTGCTTCTAACTTTGTAACGGGAAGATAAACTCGTAATTTATGAACGGAAGTGTTTAGAACTTGATGAAATTTCACTTTCTGTGAAATTTCAGTTAAAAAACTTTTGCTCTCGCTAGGGCGCTACTGGTGAAATATCAAAGTGCGCCACGTTGGGGGCCCCACCACGTTAGGCTACATCAAAAATAACACTGGAACTCACTTTCCTTGCCTGCTGTGAACAGTGCAACTTTAGCTGCATTCAACATGTCAGTAATCTCTAATAATACAACGTTTGGAGCTAGTCTATTTCCACACGCATTGTGCAAGTTAGCAATCATTGATGTATCCGATAGGATATTTGCTGACTGAACCTACGGAAATGGAGATGAGATGAGACAATTACTGCTGCTGGTGACGGGGGTGGCGCTCTTAAGTCTTTTTAATTTATGGACAAAAATGCAGTAGGGCTTCTCACAACAGAGATTCCCAAATGAAAATAACTTCACGCAGTAGGTCTTTAAAGCATCATAAAGCCCGGTTCATACTCGGCGCGCTCTTTGTTCAACTATTTACTGGCGCAGAATGCAGTTGCAGCTGGCAGGTTTAAATTAGGCCCAAAAAAAAGTAGTTCTGCTTCCGGTTACCCTTTTTACCCTATTTTGACAGCCCCTACTCTAGTTTTTTGGGGGGAAAATGAGGAAACAAAAACCTGAAAAGCATCAATTAGGCCTACTACCTTTTACCCTTGACTTCACGGAGACACCTCCATATGGTGTACACCAAAAAATTGCCAAAAAAATTAATCCTTACCTACATGTACCTACCCTATTTCCAAATGTCATGTAATCTGAAGCAGAACTACTCTCTTTTTGTTTTGGCCTTATCCGAATATTTGGTCAAACGCAGTTTGGAGTAATCAAATACGAATTTATTCAAAAACAGACAGCCCTATATAGCAATGCTTGAGTGAAGGGGAAGTTAGAACTTTTCATTAATCCTATTTATTTTTATTCTAATAGCTGCTGCAGGTCTGACGGAAGAACAGAAAAGCTTCCAGTCAGTAGCCCTCAATTTTGCAAAGCAAGAAATGGCACCCTACATGAGACAATGGGATGAAGAGGTACAGCTTTTATCAGTGTGGATATGAAGTGGCTTTGTCGACTTGGAATTTCATTTGAATTCCATAATTTTGTTATTCCCAGGCTGTGAAGTAAACTTGCAAAATTGAATCAGTCTCTGAAATGCTACACATGTATGTCTTCACGCAACATTTTCTACAAGAGTTGTTCCTAACAATTTGGCATTTACTGGTTAAAACGCTTAAACAGAATAAATCAAAATTCATGAAATAAGTTTTCTGAGCACTGAAATAAAACCAAAACTTTAAAAAGGGAACTTTGTACTCACACTACACGTATGTGACTTCCAGTTTATTTTACAAACATCAGATGCACCTATAGGGTTTACAAAGTATGAGAAGCACCTCCAGAAATTGACAGCGTACAGTGGTAGGAACTAGGAAGTGTGTGGACAACATTTTGTCAATCAGTAAAACATCGCCAGGCCAAGATCAACTTTCCTATGCCTCTCTGACATGCAACACACACATACCTGGCAGACAACAGCTTTTGCAAAAGTGTTTGCTACATGTATGTAAATGAAAGGGGCATATAAGAGTTTGGATGAATGTTCAATGATATGTATTCTCAGCCTTGCTTTTCCCCAAAATCTATGACTCAAGGAAATCTAAAATAAATTGTGCATCATTACACTTGATTTATGACCCAAGCTATTGTGGGTCATTACACTTGATTTATGGCCCAAGCCTATGAACAAGTTCTGACAAGTGAGAAAATTATCGATATTGCCTCTCCCCCCTCCCCCTCTCTTCCCCCACCCACCCTCTCCCACTCAGGAGATATTTCCCGTGGACATTCTGCGCAAGGCAGGCAGTCTTGGATTTGGAGGCATCGTCGTTGGAGAAGACGTCGGAGGTTCAGGACTGACACGTCTGGATTCCTCTGTTATATTTGAAGCCCTATCCCAGGGCTGTGTCAGTACCACAGCTTACATGAGCATCCATAAGTAAGATGACAGACCCATGTACATGTAATACATGACACAAAAACAATATTTGCTGGTACAAATTAAAGGGATGATTTTTTATTAAATGGGATTAAATTTATCGTAAAGTTTTTTTATAAGTATGTGATATGGGAACGATTGTCTTCTCAGACAGATCAACAAATTACACGAGTGATGACTTTGTCATCTTTCATCTCACATTCATTCATGATATAAGCAAACAGGCTGTTCCTGTTTGCTGCCCTCATTGGCACAACTTTCCATTCTGATTATTACCACGCAAGACTTATACAGTGAAACGCCGTGATAATGAACATCGAGGGATCCACAGAAATTGTTTGTAATAGTGATCGTTTGGTATAGCGAATTTAAGCTGTCGGTGCTCCGGTACTCCCGTTTCAATAAATAGCGCCCTTCAGAACTTCACCCAGCACGCCCTGGTAGTTACTCTAATGTGAATGAATGTGTTTCCCCTTAAAACACTGTTAATGGAAATCAAACAAGTTCTTCGACACCCAGCGTTGAAAATTTAACATTTTGTGCAAATGCAAGACATCAGTCTACAAACTTGTTAAAATGCACAGCGATGATATAGCAAAGTGGACAGGAGAAATCTCCCCTCCACTCCTCCCCCACCCCCTGTTAGTGTTAGAGCACTCTCTTATTTTGTCTTTTTTTGTCTTCGTCAAATGATCACATGATCACAGTATGTGTTGCTGGATGGTTGATGAGTTTGGTAATAGCAACCAGAGACACGCTGTTCTCCCTGCATTGTGCTCTATGGAGAAGCTTGCCTCCTACTGTCTGACGGAGCCTGGCAGTGGTAGCGATGCTGGGTCCTTATCAACCACAGCACGACGAGATGGTGACCATTACATCCTGAATGGGTCAAAGGTAAGAGGTCATGGGCAGCTTGGATAATTTGCCATGTTGAGGTCAAAGTCATGCCCTACCGGTACCTGTGGCTCACACATCCCACATTGCATCAAGATCTTCACAGCACTTGTGACGTAACACTAAATCCCAACATTTGAAGGTAGAATTTCGTCATTCAGATTAAATTCTTTCCAGTAATTTCATCAGACAACATTTTGATCAGGTAAGGGCATGAAACTGACAACCTTTGAAGCATAGAGACTCTTTCCTGTTAGTGTTTTGTAGTAACCATGGAACAACTCCACCCACATTTGTAACTTGTATCGTAATGTTTTTGCATTGCTTAAAATGTCCCTTATGCATTAAAATTTGATTTTTAAGTAAATTCACAATGTGGGGATAGTATTGTTACATGGATAGCTCGAGATTGGATGTCGATGCTTAAATTTGATTTGCAAGTAAACCACAAAGGGAAACTGACCAGGTGCATTATACTAATTTTTAAAAGCTGAACAAAGAAATTTACTGAAGTGGGGTTTGAACCCGCAACCTCTGGAGTACCATTGCGACTCTCTACCAGCTGAGTTATCAGGCCCTATGTTAGCAGTTCCCCAATTTTGTCAATGTCTTTGTTCAAGGGGCGCTAATCAGAAGCCATCAACCTGTATATTCCATGTAGCTAGCAAAACCCAATCTCACAATGCCATCAACATCAGCAATCCTGGGTAGAGCACCGGAACGGTAATGCGGAGGTCACAGGTTCAAACCACGATGCTGTCAATTTCTTTGTCCAACCTACTAAACTAAAATGTGAATTTGATTGTATTCAGGCATTCATAAGCGGTGGCGGTGACACTGACGTATACGTAATGATGGTCAGAACCGGTGAGCCAGGCCCCAGAGGAATATCATGCGTTATGGTAGAGAAGGGATCCCCGGGACTTAGCTTTGGCAAGAAGGAAAAGAAGGTACTGCTGTTATCATAAAATGGTTGTGGTTTAATCACAAAGAAAAAGGGATAAAAAAAAGTTGGAAATATACATACTGCGTAGAGAGTCCCAAGGTTTGAAACGTTCAATACCAAAAAATTAAACTGGCATGAGGAAGCCCCAGTCCTTTAATTTGGCACAAGGTAATTGTGTTAGAAGCTTTGTTTCCAGTCAACTGTTACATATTGTCTTGCTGTCATGGCACATGAATGCATATGGCACACAATTGGTCCATCTTTACATAAAGATTGACATGCAGGGTGAGTCAAAAAAAGTGTGCGTTCTCTCAGCAAAGCAAAAAAAAAACAACACACATCCCTATGTGATTTGTTTTTGTTTTGCTGAAAGAACACTTACCTTCTTTTTTCCCCTTAACTTGCTCTGTTTTACTTTGTGTGTCTGTGAAGAAAAAAATTTGTCTTTAACAAAAATTGAAATGATATGTCGTCCTGTACATAAGCCAGTTAAATTAATCTGATCATCTCAAAAACAGTGCTATTTCTACATCCATGCGTAAATTTCTAAAACACCACTTATGCGTTGATTTTGTTTTTTAGATGGGTTGGAATTCACAGCCCACACGGATGGTCATCATGGAAGATTGCAGGATACCAGTGTCTAATAGACTCAGTGAAGAGGGTATGGGCTTCCAGATTGCCATGAAAGGTACATTTTTAAATTAAATTTATATTCATTTGCTCAGATTAGTCATTTCATTTCGTTTGTTTAATTCGTTCAGCTCTCGCGGCCATGATTCCAAATTATAGCTTAACTAACAATGAATTGTTACATATAAAAATAATTTTGAAAAAAATACTAAATATCACTGAAATCAAAGAGATAATTAATTTCAAAAATAGACCAAAAATACAGCTTAAACATGGGTTTAACTTAAATAGCACACCTAAAATACGAAAAACCTTCATACCTTTTGCAATGCCAGATTAAAGGGAATATACATCATTTGCTTTTGCTGTAATTTTCAGAAATGGATGGAATTGGGGGGTTGGAAATATATAGCAAATATAGTTACACTGACTTTTTTGAGGTTTTGGGTTCGAAAATGCTATAAAAACCAAGAAAAACAATCATTTTCCTGAAGTCTGGTTCCCTGACTTCATATAAGAAGAAACAGAGCAGTTTACATACATTGGGGAATTGTCAGGTGAGGGAACCAGACTAGCTGGCTCGTACCCGTTCATAGGTTTGTAATCGATTGCACACAGGTGCGATGGTCAATGTGGGCCAGTATTTGAAAAAAAGCCAGTTTTTTCCAACGCTGATCGGCCGATCAGCGTTGGAAATTGATACAAAAATACCACTTTTCTTGAAAATAATAGTAGACCAGGTGCCATGATTTTACAGGATGCTTTACACTGTCATTCACTAACAATCCAGCAAAGTATTTCAAAATGATTTGGTAGTTTTATTTGTTGATGTTTGCAAATGTTGTATTTTCCCCTTTAAAGCAAGGACCGGGCTATTAATGTGAGATTACCACTGTTTCAGAGTTCTCTGTGATGAGAGTTTGTGTTGGGGAGCTAGTGGCAAAATATTATTTTGGCAAGTTTGGGGGAAAGATTTGCATTCAAATGTACATTGTGTTATTCAGTTTTTTATCAAGGATTCCTGTTTAAGGTTTTAAATCTAGTAACACTGGGAGCATGCAAAATGGTGTCCTGAAGAACAGCAGCTGTGAGACGAAGAGACGACATGGTTTGTTTATGCTTTTTCTTGTGGGAGCTAGGTAAGAACGATATCCCCTTGACACATGTAAACAAAGCGCGATGTCATGTCATTTATAAAGGCTATAACGTTTGCTTGTTTTCAGGCTTGAACGGAGGCCGCCTCAGCATTGCTTCATGTTCGCTAGGCGCCGCCCAGGCCAGTATAGAAGCCGCAAGAGACCACCTTAAAGTCCGTAAACAGTTTGGCAAAACTCTAGAGAAATTTCAGGTGAGAAATATTTTTTGGAATTAAAGATTATGGAACGACCGGCAGATTTCAGCGGAAGAAATTTTACAGTCTTTAATCTTTGTATTGAGAAAAATTGGCAGATAGAAAGTGTCAATGAAGTGTTTCAGTTGTTGGATCTGTTTTGAAAGGTTTTAGATTTAGATTAGTTGAGCCAACACACACACTGCTGGCCTAGAGGTTGAAACCTCCGCACACTTGTTAGGATACTGAGGGTTTGATTCCAACTCCAGAAAGGCTGTCGACTGTTTCTCACAAATCTCCTGAGAAGAAGTTGAGTGTACAGTACCAGTAGTACTTCTTTGCTAATGGAAAACATCTTCATCATCAGATTGAAACTTGAAAATGTTACTCTCATTGAATATCCACTGCAGTCAACATTTGTGTGCATTTTGCTCCAGTATTTGCAATTCAGGTTAGCTGAGATGGCCAGTGAGTTGGTGGCCTCTCGTCTCATGGTGCGCAACGCAGCGAGGGCGCTACAGGATGGCTCGCCAGATGCTGTGCCGCTCTGTGCCATGGCTAAACTCATTACCACACAAAGGTGCTCATGGGTAAGGAAACACCTCTTAGTTTTCTTATATTTAACATTTTTCTGTTTTTGCTGATGAATCAGCTTCTTGATCAATGTCATTGTTTGCAGTCTTTTGTTTATGAGCTTTGGTGTAAACTGTAAGAAACTCAATAGAATTACATATGGTAGCCATCTTAAAGGCCTTTAGTTATTTTAAATCAGTAATACTGAATGAACAATGATTCTGCTTATGCCTTTCTTAATAGCAGAACAGAGGCTGCAAAAACGGTTGCTCTGCATAATACCAATAAGGTCAAGTAAAAAAAGATGATGTTCCCGAAAGACTATGTATGTTTGGAAGAGAAAAAGTAAAATGCATATCATGGTGATAGAACTGTTGATTACATTAGGTGTGCAAATGAAAACAGCTCCAGCATTTTTCTTTGTCCTGTAAAAATTAAAAGAAGAGAAGTGCGGTTGACTTTTTGAGGTAAATTATGCAAGAATGTTGTCTCTTGATGAGTAACCAAATGCAGCCTTTTTTTCATAGATTTGCAACGAAGCGCTACAGATGTTTGGAGGTTACGGTTATTTGAAAGATTATCCAGTCCAACAGTATCTTAGAGACATCAGGGTACATGAAATATTGGAAGGTAAGTTTGAAAGCTTTGGAAAAATGTGTCTCAATTCGTTTTCTTTTTATTTCTTCAACTTGCCTATTCATGTATGTGATGTAGCATCCTACATATTATGAGTATTAGTCTGACGCCACATTTCATGTACTTCCATGAAGTATTTCATCAAAATGTTACATTGACTTGATCATTTGTTTTCAACTTTTTCATCTGTCACCAGGCACCAGCGAAGTGATGAGGTTACTTATATCAAGAGATCTTCTCCAAGAGTAGTGGAGTCTGTTAGAAGTAGCATCCGAATACACATTGAAATTCACTGGCACAAAGCAAATTCAAACCCCCAAAATTGAGTCAGATCACTTGTACTGTTGGTTAATGAAGATGATAGTACAGACTCTTATGTACAAGAATTCCCTCATTGGTGAAAATGGCAATGCATACAGATATCAAGGTGCGATTGGGCACCATCTTGCCCACATGTGGCGGGAGGAGAGGATGCAATGGAGGGGAGGCTTTGCCCCCCACTTTTAAACCTTACCCACCCACATTTGGCTACTGATCTTGCCGTGTGTTTTCTGTTATATGCAGATTTTATGAACAGTGAATAGCTTGCAGAATCCAGCAAAGTTACCTTCACAGGCTTCATAGCGTACATATCGCCCTCGCTTGTTCATGCGGAGCCACACCAAATGAAACGCGGCTTCAAGTTTTTCATTGTGCACCTAGCCTTTTGAGAAATTAAAAAAAAAAATTCAAATTTATTATTTGGACTGCAGTGGCTTCATGATCTTGAGCATCAAACTCAAAATCTGTGGGTAGATCTGCAGATTTGAGTAATTGTGGGTTCAGGTTTAGCCTATGAGGTATTTGTATGTGTCCTATGCCAAGGAACTTTATAATAAGATCAAAGCGCTTTACAATATAATTACCCAGCTCCCTGGCCAGGCCCGTCGCAAAGGGGGGACCGTGTGGGGCCTGGCTCCCCTTGGCGAGCAATTAATTGCCCTCCACCCCCCCCCCCCCCATAGCAAAAGCCATATATGTATTTTTGTATTTTTTATGGTAGTGCCCCCCCCCCCCCCCCCCCCCCCCCCAGTTGTTACCCCTGATGCTTGGGACTGGTGACGGTGCCGTCCCTGGGGAGTATGCAGCCGTTTGGGCACAAGGCAGCTAAAATCAGTGACAATTATTAATCATCACAGGCCCTCACTTTGTAACTACTTGCTTCTTCCTGCTGAGGAGTAAAATGGGTACAAGTGACGGCAGTGGTGGTTATTGTATTTGATTAAGCTGTTTGCTTCCAATATGGCAGCATCAAGTTGTATACTCCTTATATGAGGCTGTGATTGATGTAAGACTGTTTTATGGGCCCAGTACTAGTCCTATTGGTCGAAAAACAAAACCCGTCATGTGGGTGGTCTTAAAACCCTATCTAAACACTTGTCACCTTCGGCTCAGGCTATTTTCAGCGGCCAGGCCTCTAACTGGTTTTAAACCGCACAATTGTAACTGCTCCATCACATTGTTATCCCCTTATTATGATTTCTGGCCAAGATTTTGTCTGGGATTTGAGAAGACTGGATTCATAAAGTTTCATGGGAAGTTTTTTTTTTTATATACTCTTCACCTTTCAGCCTCAGCACAAATCTGGTGGCAGACTTTTCATTGGATTTTAGCAGCAGAGTGTCTTTAAATTTACTTTGGAAATGTTTGTTTGTATGACAGGAAATGAACCAAGGAGGTTCATATTTATGCATTTCAAAGGATATAGGATCATGGAAGAAATTATCAAGTCACGTTTTAACTATCTCTATGGTGTTTTCAAGTTATTGTTTATATTACACGGTGTGTTTAAAAAGCTTTTACAAATATAAAGAGTTTTTGGCCTAATACAGGCTGATATATTTATCAATTTCTTTATATAATTCAATAAATGAGGTAACTTTATTTGTACAGTAAACTGTTGGCAGCTCTTTGTCAGTTTTAGTTTGTTTTGTTCGTTTCTGAGACTGGTTAGGGTTTGCTGGTAACGTGAGTGGTTGGTTTGGTTATAGTTGGTCATTACAGTTGGTACTTTATATGTAGTGATAGACTGGTTTACAGGCCGGCTCGATTGTCATTGCTTGCTGGCAGTCCGTCTGGCTGGTCTGCTTGATGGCTTGAGGATCGGCTGATCAGCAAGCTTAAAATTTTGCCCCAGGGGTGGGGATTTTAAAACCCAGGGCTGATTTTAAAATCGCTTCAAAAGTGGCAATCCCCACGTCTGGTTTGAGGCAGCCCAGGGTAGGGGGAAATTTTTTTTTTTACTTGTATTTTCTCTCCATAAACCGTACGATTAAATGTAAATGTACGATTCATAATCCAGAACCCACCCACCCAATTCCCCGCCATAAATCCACACCCACTGGGCCCTAGGCAGGGCCGGCGCAGTGAGTACGTGACTTCCCGCACGCGCGTATGTCCTTTTGTTTAGTCAGTGACCCCACACAAATATTTCTAGTTGCATGTCCTTGCCGCGTGTGGTCTGGGTACCGCGCGCAGTTATCATGGCGCTCCGAAGACTTGCAACTTGGTCTTGGAAGCAGGGTCAATTTCCAGGCTTTCGGACGGCATTATGTGCAGAGCGATTAGCAGCTGTTAGTAGAACAAGTGGGCCAGTGCTTGTTGTAAGTATTTCAGATATTGAATTAAAAATATTGTGCATCTGTGTGAGTTTAATTTTCAATCAATGGCCAGCAATGGAGACGGCTATCAAAATGAAAACACTGAAAAAGGGGGCGTGGCGTAGGTGTGTGCTATTAATGGCGAGTGTATGGCCCCCTTCCCTATAACTTACTTATAGTTATAAGAGAAAAATATCCACTTTTAATTTATTTATTTACCAAACTAGTTGATGACATTCAGAACAAACAGGTATGACATTGATCATGTTGATAAAGCCTAGGGCAGGGTTTTGACTTTTGGAGGAAAATTTGGGGGGTAAAAATTAAAATTAAAAATTAGATAGTGGATATTTTGCCGGAGGTAACGCCGGCAAACTAACGTTTACTAAAGGTTTGCCGGCGGCAATCCATATCAACAGAGGGCGCTGTACTCTTTAAGATAGGGCTGAATTATAACATGTATTATTCCCACCAAAATTGTGTAGCACAATCGGTGCAGTGGTTAAGCAATGGCTCTAGTGAGTGGGATGTCCCGAGTTCGACTTCTGATCCCTGCCACATTTCTATGTTTTTTTTCCCATCCCCAAATAAATAAGAATATTCTTCTTTTATTATTTTAATATGTCTCAAACATTTTATTGCAGAGTACTACTTTTTCTTTTTCAGATTTGTGGCTCTGGAGGATTTTTTTTTAAAGGGAAATAAAGTCCGAAATTATAAAATGGTCTGATTCCCATCTTGTAAATACAAAGTTACAACGATAATATTGGCATGGAGCCAGACTAAAATTTGTCACCAGAAAATGTTTAAGTACAAAAAACCAGTAACTGCGCATGTTCAGTGCATATTCGGCAAACTAACGTTTACTGAAGGTTTGCCATCTCCGGCAAAATATCCACTGCCTAAAAATTATGATGATGATGATGATGACAAAACGCAACACAAAAATAAAGATGGTGATCACCGCAATGTGCCATGAACATGAAATACCGCGCTGAATCGAAGAGAAGACTGCTCTTTAGATTAACATGATTGAAAAGGTCATTTTTTAATGATAAACAAATTTGATCAACATTATAAGAGGGGCCCTACACTAGCTACACTACACGATCACCATTTAATTATCATAAGACTATATGTAATTAAACTTTACTTTCACCTTTGGTATAGAATGCAGTAGCCTGTCGCAATATTTTCCTTTTATGAACTGCATAACCTTAACCGCTCGTCATTTGCAAAACGTTGAAAGCATCAAACGAATGTGAGGCTCAGCCTGGCCGGGGAAATATTTTCATCTTTGTTACAAAAGAATATGACTGAGGTAAATTGATATGGATCACATAATCTCAAAGAGTTGAAATTTAAATAACATGTTTTACTTTTGTAGATCTACATGTATGTTTAAGTAGCAGTTTTGGACTTGTGTTTACACAAAATAATCATACTCGAAGTGGAGATAGTTATATTTCATTTGTTGTAGGAAAACCCTCATAAAAAAATGCCTTAGAAATCCCATGGGGAAAAGAGTTAAGAACTGAAATCCCAGCTTGAGCATTTAGGTTTGTTTTCATGTACTTACGAAAAGCAAGTGATTCACTGTATTTTTTTCTATGCATAGCAATCTCGACCTTTGACCTCCGACGGATCATCTTCGGAGGAGAAACTTGCCGCAGAGGCCTCTCGGCGAAGTCGGGACAAGCCCAACGTCTTCCAAAAGATCATCGATAGAGAAATCAAGGCAGATACAATCTATGAAGATGAACAGGTTGGTAAAGAACACTTAGGATATAACTCATTTCTCTACATGGAATCTTCCTGACTCCTTCAAAATTGTGCAGAATCCCAAGGCTATATATTATTTGAAATTGAAATTTTCAAGAGAGACAAATTCCATCTAAATGAATAGTAGTGCCTGGGCTTTTACCTTCCTGCATCCTTCAAAATCCTCAAAACTCCCAAGTAGATTTGAAAGATTCAGAGGGTTAAGATTATTCATAAACCCTAATCACTCTCTAGTCATTTTGCTAATAGAGCTAACACTAACAGAACATTCATGGGCAAAGTGAACATCATGCCCTTTGTGCCACTAGGCTTCAACAGTACTTAATCTATCAAAGAAGTGCAAAACTAGGTGTTGGATTTTGCCAGATTTGGGTTGACAGGAGAGGTATCACTAACCTCGTTGAGACTTTGTCTTTGAGATTTTCAAAATCCAACAGAATCCAGCAGTGCTGAAACATAAAGTTTGATCATTCTAACATCAACCAAAATCAAAAATGGAAGGCCTTCTGTTATAGGCCTACAAAGATATTGATGAATTAGGCCAAAAAAGAAAATAGTTCTGCTTCCTATTACATGGTATTTGAAAATAGGGTAATTAGGTAGGTATGGATTTTTTTTTGGGGGGGCAATGTTTTTGTGTGTATGATCATATGGAGGTGTCTGCATGTATCAAAGGGTAAAAGGTAGTAAGTTTTTGGTTTTCAGGTTTTTTTCCTCATTTTCCCAAAAAAATTAGGGTAGGGGCTGTCAAAATAGGGTAGGTAGGGTAACCGGAAGCAGAACTCTTTTTTTGGGGGGGGCCTTACAAATCCCTTGTCCAGCTAAGATATAGGTCCAAAAGTGTCCAAGCAGCCAAAATCAATCAAGGGATTGTTCATTTCTAACTGCTTTGGCTACGGTTTTGAATGGACTGTAAATTGATTGATCTGTTAGTGCTATGGCTGGCTGCTGAGGGTTGGTGGAATTTGGCCAGTCACAATGCTCACCCTTTCTGATGTGACTAGTCTGCGTGTAATGGTATAGCAGGGAAATTGGATTGAGTTTTTGACCAGTTGTTTGTGACTGTTCAAATGACATCTGAATAAAACATGTGTTGAAATCTTCACGTGACTTCTGTCTGGGTTTCAGTTTACACAAATATTGTTAGATCCAACAGTAAATTTATTAAATTGTTTTATCCAACAGTGTATGGCCTTCCGAGATGTTAATCCAGTTGCACCGGTTCACATAATTGTCATCCCACGCAAGCCGATTCCTTGCCTGAGTGAATCCAGCGATGCCGATGCGCCTGTGAGTATTTTCTATTAATCTGCATTTTGTCACAGAAATTTTTTTTGTTTCCTTAAAAAGGTAACTAACTGCTCGTCCAAAATAGTTCATAGAGAATAGCATTTTGATGGCATTTCTTACAATAATTGGCATTTTCTGAAAAATATTTGTTACCGTAGTACTACCCTATATTTTGAGGGAATGAAAAAAATAGGGGGAAATCAAAGTAAAGTACCCAAACAAACAAGTTTCACAAAGAAAAATGTTGACTTTGATGTTAAAAACTGTCCTGTACTTGCGTGTTGACTTTTTGAAAGCAGGCATGTAACTTTTCATAGGATCTGCTGATATTCTCGGGTTTTTTTTCACTTCGCACTTATGCCGTCACAAATTGAAAAATACTGAAATATAATAATAATATAATAATAACGGCAATTTATAACGCGCCGGTATCCGCCATAAATGACCCTCATGGCGCAATACAAAAATCAAGTCAAATCAGAAATAACAAAACAATTAAATTTAACTAAACAAGAATATTCTGAGTGATCTGAAACAAATAGGTCTTCAGGGCCACTTTAAATTCAGAAAGCGATGAGATATTGCGAATGGCGAGGGGTAGTTTGTTCCAAAGATGAGGACCTGCGTAAGCAAATGATCGATCACCCCAAGATTTGTGAGTGTGAGGGACAACAAGCAAAGAAGCATCAGAAGATCTCAATCAAAAGTCTTGAAAAGCTTGAAATTTCCTATGTTTTGGTTATTTCCCAGTAGGGAGATATGGACTGAGTCATGCCATTTACTAGTGTGTTAAAGTTTCTTCCTGGTAGATGTCCTTGGGTTTGGTTTTTCACGGGATTAAGCCAAATTTCATCATTTATTAACCCTGACGGTGTTTTGCTTTTCATAGCTTCTTGGCCATCTTATGACTGTTGCACGTAAAGTAGCAGCACTTGAAGAACTAAAAGATGGTTTTAGGATTGGTAAGTACAGACAGCCTTTTCCCCCTTTTCTTTGTTTTAACATGTGGAGTGCTGTGGCCTGGTGGTTAAGGGCATCGGATTTGCTGTCTGCGGGTAATCCTGCAGGTTGTAGGTTTGAGTCCAGCCTGGGGTCATGGTGCGTGTGCCCTTGGGCAAGGCACTTTGTCACTCATTGCTCCTCTCATCCCAGGAGTAAATGGGTACCTGTGAGGGCAGAGATGGTTATTGTGGTTGATTTAGCTTCCTTACGCCTAACAGGCTGCATCGAGCTGTATACTTCTCAGGGAAGGGAGAAGGTTTCAGGAGTGTTTGCCCGTTGAAACAGGGAAAATAATAATTGTAAAGTGCTTTGATGCCCCGTTGCGGCGTAAAAGCGCTATATAAATGCCTGCTATTATTATTATTATTATTAACATTATGGCCAACCAAACTCGCCTCAATCTTCCCCCTTTCCAAAAAAAAATGATAAAACCTAAAGTATTCTATAAAGGCATAAGACCCTGTCAAGTATTTAAGTTTTCCAACTCTAACTCCCCTTTTGGCATTTTGCTAGGGACCTTGCCAGATCACCCGTAGGAGCCCAATGACACAGTCTTTCTTCTCTAACTTTCAAGCTACATTGAGTACACAAGATACCCTGTACTAACCTTAACCCTCCCAAGTTCTACAAAACCTAAAGCTTGTGTGAATTGTTTGAAGGGTCGTGTTGTTAGCGGGGCATTCTAAATGTGAGGATTCCAAGTTTTATTCGCATGCTTACAAAACTCTCTGTCTCTCGTCTTCCAGTTTTGAATGACGGTCGCCATGGTTCCCAGTCTATCTACCATCTCCATGTCCATGTCATCGGAGGTCGACAGATGCGCTGGCCACCAGGCTAACGTGTGGCAACCAGGCTATCATGATTGGCCACACACTGATAATAGAGGGCTCCTTGAGAATGCATGACCACTGAAGTCGTAGGAGAACAACTTATTTTGCAGGATGTGATTTTGGGTTGTTAATCCATATGTGATTGGTTGTCGTGGATTTTGTATAAAACTGGAATTTTGTGATTTAATTGACGAACGCGGTACTAAACCATAAAGTATGGGTCAAAATGAGATTTTGGCTTAACAAACGGAGATTATAACGTCTGACAGTTGTTGAAATTACAGCACGGAGCATAAAGCCCGTATAGCAATGTTCTATACAGATTGTGCCCACCTTTGATCTCCGTTGCATATCAAGTCTTTAGTTTTGTTATGAATAATGATGTACCCCTAAGAGCTGTTTACACAGAAATCATGTGATATTAATGTTGAGAATATTGTTTCAATTTGTTTGTAAATAATTCCTCTATCGTGGCAATGTTTTCCCAAATCAGAAGGTCATTTTCCAAAAGATGTAACCAACAAGTTGTTCATTTTTGATTTGACTCAGAAAAAAAGTCTTTTGGGCAATTTTAAGTTGGGGTTTTTTTTTCAGAGCCTTGCAGATTTTTATTTCACCATCCTTGCCACAAAACAAATAATTATGCTTGTACATGTAGTAACTAGTACAGCAAATGTACATTGAGGTCAGCTTAAACAACTCGCATTTAAAATATCAGAGTGCAGGAATTGTTCCTTAATTCAGTGAAAGTTGACACACTGCTGTAGTGAGCATGGTGAGTGAGGAGTCTGTCCGATTCCAAGCCATGATAGTAAATAACTTGGCTATCGCTTGCAGTTACATTTGTGCCTATGGCTGCGGCTGTAGCCACTTCCCATAGGCTCATGTGTTACAGCTAGCCATAGCCAGGTCATTTTGGAGGCAGTCTGTGTTCAAATTACTTGGCTACGGCTTGAAATTACACACATGTCTATGGCTGTGGCTGCAGCCACATCCCATAGATTTGTGTGTTACAGCTAGCCGTAGCCAGGTCATTTGGAGGCAGTCTGTGTTCAAATTACTTGGCTATGGCTTGAAATTACACACACGTCTATGGCTGCGGCTGAAGCAACATCCCATCGACTTGTGTGTTACTGCTAGCCGTAGCCAGGTCATTTGGAGGCAGTCTGTGTTCAAATTACTTGGCTATGGCTTGAAATTACACACATGTCTATGGCTGCGGCTGAAGCAACATCCCATCGACTTGTGTGTTACAGCTAGCCGTAGCCAAGTCATTTGGAAGCAGTCTGTGTCCAAATTACTTGGCTACGGCTTGAAATTACACACACGTCTATGGCTGCGGCTGCAGCCACTTCCCATAGACTCGTGTGTAATTTCAAGCCGTAGCCAAGTACGTAATTTGGACACAGCCTCAGTCCAAGTTGTCAGTTGTGAATTGAGTCACATGAGAGTCATGGAAAGTGCATGAATTATAACAACACTAGCTGTACTTTATAATAATGCATGTGTACCTGCTTATTGATGCTTAGAAAAGAAAAGTGAAATTAATTATCAGAGTGTGGGTTGTCGGTGTATGTGAATTACAGACAAGATGTATCAAGCGTGCATGAACAGTTTTCTTTGGTTAGGTTGTTTCCTGCTCTTTTCACTCCTTTTTGTTGCAATTGTAAATGGAACTCTAATACTTGTGCAGTTGTGAACCCTTTTTTTTCGTAGCAACCAAGTTGCATATCTGGGGAAATAACTTGTCAGTATGAAAAATGAAGCATTATGCTAAAAATGTTACTGCAGTATAAACATGTTGATGTTCAGTAGAGATTGGCAAATTTTCAACTTCAGTTGCTTGAAACTTGCTGAAAAGTTAAAAAATATCGAATTTGTGCAGATAGAATTTATTATTGTGGAGACTTAAAGGGAATGTACATCATTGCCTTTTGTTGTAATTTTCAGAAATGAACTATTCGAGGGGTTAGTATAATAGATCAAATATTGTTACACTGACATGTTTGAAGTTTTGTGTTCGAAAATGCTGGAAAAACCAAGAAAAACAAAAATGTTCAAGTAGTCTGGTTCCTTGACTCCACTAAAGATAAAATGGATCAATTTATAGATGCCGGAAAATTGTAAGGTAAGGGAACCAGCCTAGCTGGCCTGCACCCGTTCATGAACATAACCAATAGCAAACAAAATTTGGACTGAAAAAAAGTGTAAAGTTGGAGCAGTAGTTCAAAAATAGTTAGGTTTTTCCAACGGTGGTCGGCCGACCACCGTTGGAAATGTATACAAAAATACCATTTTCTTGAAAATGACTTCACACCAGGTGCCATAATTTTACAGGATGCTTTAGACTGTCATTGACCAACATCCTAGTAAGGTATTTCGTAAAAACTTGGTAGTTTTATTTTTCGATGTTTGCAAATGTTGTATATTCCCTTTAAAAAAATACCTAAGAGAGGGAGAAAATTATGGTAAGATTATGTCACTTCTATTATAAAGCGACAATTGAGTTTTAAAATATGAAAATATGCTGTGTAACCAAAAAAAACCTGATAAAGAAAAGTCCGAGATAAACTTTGTGACTGGTTTGATTACTTCCTCTGCAAACAAGTGTAGCGCCCTCTACCGGTACTCTGTTACCCCTCCCATAAAGAAATCTCTCAAAATCATGAAAATTAAAGACATAAATGAGTACATATCGGCCGCCCCCCCCCCCCCCCCCCCCCCCCCGTCATCGTTTTGTTTAAACACCACGGTAAACCCCCAATATTTTGGCATGTTTTACCTTGCTGCGTGAATGAAACAGGTTCATGTGACCAGTGACGTCACTTTAGACAAGGGAGGCCGCCATCTTGTGGCCGAACTATGCACAACATGCAAAAACTAGCGAGATCCAGAACGCAGTAAGCCAAAACCTCAAGAATAATCTGCTCAAAGTACTCCTATTTCTGGTTTTTGTCGAAAAAAATTAATATTTAAATATTATTGGGAGTATCTGAAAGGTGTGAGGACAAGTATTTCCCCTGAAAAATGGCGACAGGGGGTGGAGGAGGCAAGAATTTTAAAGTCGTCTTACTCGGCGAGGGGTGTGTGGGAAAAACGTCACTTGTGCTACGATACGTCGAAAACAAATTCAACGACAAACATCTTTCAACGTTACAGGTAATTTGCTTTTTTTGCTGTGACTAAACTAAGGCTGTTTTCCTCTAGTCTAGGGAAAGAATGTTGCATTCTGACGCCACTTGTTTTCATCATACATGTCATAGTAAGCATGGTAACTAAAGGGGGAGTAAAGGAAACTTGGTCCATTTTGTATCTTTATTTCAGAACTTATGCATGACTAGACCCGTGAACGTGGCTTGTAAACTACGCCACGCTGTTGTGTATTTTCGAACCTGGCGAACGTGTCCCTCTGACTCTCCGTTACACACACTGGACGTTATTTTGCCCATGTAATAAGTACTCACATATGAAGCTGTCTTGAATTCTATTTGTACGTCAAAACTTGCATTTGACGAAAATTGAGGAAAATTCTGGCCCCGGTTCATGAAGTCCGTCCGCTACTCCATGGCTACTGCTAGCTGCCATTTTCTCCCATCTGACGCATGCGCATTGCGTTTTATTTTCGTATGATTCGACGGCTGTTTACTGTCGCAGCTAAAACAGACATCGTTTTAGACAAGTTTCAAGTCCTTTCCTCTCTCACCGCACCGCACGCGGTCGCACGTGCGCCCGCGTGTGTGTGCGCACACGTACTGTACACGAGATGAGCCGAGCAGCCAATCGTCTGCCGGGGTTTTTTTTCGGGGTTGCGACATGAAACAGCCGTCAATCTGTCCAAGCGACTTAGACGCGTCCGGGGTTATTTGTCAGGGTCAGGTTAAAATCTAATTTCTACACGTTCGTATGGGTCTTTACTGATGGGCAAATTTCGTCGAAATTACACAGCCTAAACAATCGGACGGGCAAATTTAGATTTCTAGGTGAGTACTCAACACCCATACGGAATTATGTATGTCGGATCGATTTCGCCAGGTTCGAAATGACACAAGAACGTGGCGTTGTATACAACGCCACGTTCACGGGTCTAATGCATGACTTACCTGGTCAGGGTTGATGGTCACGAAGTATGACCTTTGACCTTTTGAACGAGCGGTCACTGTGTGGGAGAATTTGACCAGCATGTAGCTGTTTTTGAGCGGGCCAATGCCTAGGGCGTGTTAATCGTTTTGTTTTTAACAGAAAGGTTTTTCCCCACCACTTTTTTACATTTCTTTACAATAAATTACGGCACAACTTAGCTGGAGTTACCCAGCCCTGAGTTTTATCATTGGTTGATATTCTACGATGTCCCATCTATCACTTCTGGGATGCTTAGGTGTAATGATGTTCAATTTTCCGAGATATTCGTGAATCTTTCTGGAGCCCATATGCACTCGTGAAACGTCCGGTGATGGCAGCCATTTTGAATGTGACAAGAGATGACCTCAAGCTGTGACGTCGCGTTTATGCAAATTGCTTGTCGAGCGAGGGCGCGAGTTGCAAATGCGACGGCTGTTTCCTGTGCCGTAGATCCTGAATAGAGATCAGTGCACGTGGCCCCCAGACGATAAATGCATGGTACAGGAAACAGCCGTCGCATTTGCAACTCGCGCCCTCGCTCGACAAGCAATTTGCATAAACGCGACGTCACAGCTTGAGGTCATCTCTTGTCACATTCAAAATGGCTGCCATCACCGGACGTTTCACGAGTGCATATGGGCTCCAGAAAGATTCACGAATATCTCGGAAAATTGAACATCATTACACCTAAGCATCCCAGAAGTGATAGATGGGACATCGTAGAATACAACCATATGTAAGAAATTCCCTGCAAATTTTATGAAAACGTCCTCAGTAGTGCGCGGACCACGGTGTGTGGCCTTAGGTTCAGCACAGCATACCGACGGCCACACTAGTGGGGCTAGGCTGCGTGGAGCCGCAGTGGACCTACCTCCGAGAATTGCGCCCTCTACCTGTGCGCGACTCCACGACTCCGCACCTCCACGGCTCCAGTGCCACGTCACAAGCGCGCGTGCGCCCTCCCTTCCTTAGCGAGGAAATTAATATGGATATGGATGCTTCGTTCTCAAAAAAATGTAGTCTACTCTTAGGATCATTCATATGGATATCCTACCGCCGAGAATTGCGCCCTCTACCTGTGCACGACTTGGCGCCTCCGCGGCTCCAGTGCCACGTCACAAGTGCGCCCTCCCTTCCTTTGCGAGGAAATTAATATGGATATGGATGCTTCGTTCTCAAAAAAATGTAGTCTTAGGATCATTCATATGGATATCCTACGGCTGAGGATTGAGCCCTCTACCGGTGCGCAACTCCGTGACTCCACGGCTCCGCGCCTCTTTTTTACTTGGACCTAGATAATCAATTCCTGACACTGTCTCTCTGACGGCATTACTCCTATCCTCACATCGCCGGCCTCGATCCAAGGAGCCGTGGAGGCGGGGAGCCTTGGAGTCACGGAGTCGCACGCTGGTAGAGGGAGCAATTCTCGGAGATAGGTTGACCACGGCTCCACGCAGCCATACGGAGGCGCGGATGTAGAGTGGAATGGCCCTGTATTCTATAGTTGTGCCTAAATTACATCATAAAAATTAATATTTCCTGGGAAAAATAAGAACTAAACCCCTAAATTGCACAAATCAACCCTTAAGTTAAAATCTCAAAGTGAATCTCAAGGCCTGATCCAATTAACCGCGCGTGTACGCCCCCACGGCCCGCGCCCCAACGTGCCAAGCCAATACAATAAGCAAGGTGATCGAAAACAGCCGCAGCAGCGCCCTCTGTTGGTCATAATTTGATCACCCCTACATCAGCCCTGCCCACTAAATGTTGTCAGCCAATCATGCATCGACCTGATGACCTAACCAATAATGATTGACAGGTTGGCTTGATTTGACGTCATCACCCCTGTAAAGTCTCAAAGAGCGCCACCAATGATACCCGTGTTCTTACGTGACCCAATAACATGGCCGCCGCACCGCGCAACGGCTTACGCAAGTTCAATTTTGGACTGAATTACAAAGATTTCACGGAGCTGTTCTGACTTCTGAACAATGGACAATCAAGGGCAGGAAGTAAACATCATGCGTAAATTTTATGTTAACATGATACCTCGGGCGCATTTTATTTAGCAATTAGTAGCGGGCGGTCGAATTCTCATCCTGTCGAAAATACCAGCTCTTACCCTATATCATCTCAATGAAGGACGGTCAGTCATTGCAATGAATCTGGTAGTGGTAGCTTGAAATTTCCAGCTTTCTAGGCTCATGACATGGCCGAGATTCGCCAGGAAAGCTGGAAATACTCGGCCATGGAAAAAATGTTGCAACCCTTACATTTGTTGAACAATGCAACTATATTTGTGTGGCTAAATTTATTTGGGGCTTGTGATATCAAATTTGTGACTGCCCAGAGAATTAATTATACAGTTTATATTGTCCTTAGACCAACTTCCTTGTCTCGTGTTTGAATTATTTTGAGTTTGTGGCAATTCACTGGCAAGTGTGGCCTCCATGGGGGGTCCCCGTAACATACATGCAACTACATCTTTCATTATGTACATAATTGAATTCATGTAAATGCATACACTGCTAATGTTATACTGTAAATATGTATACATATACACTGTATGTAATACCCTCAGAAATTTTAGTACCAAAAAGTTAAAAGAATGCAGAGTTATGTACAAAATAATAATGCACATCATGGTCGGAATTATGCTTGAAAATATCAGCAATGTGCACAATGTACAACTCTAAATTCAAAGTTCACAAGAGTACATGTACATTGTAGCTATGTTCAGTGCCATTTTATAAACGTTTACAAACACACACATTGATGTTTTGGGGTTGCTTTGTATATTTACTAATAACAGGATGCATGCAATTTAATAATTTTCTCTTATTCCGTCTTTCTCGTATTTAGGCATCTTTCCTCAACAAGCGGTTGAACATTGGAGGCAAAAGAGTCAATTTGGCAATATGGGTGAGTACATTGATAGGGTATCCACTTGCGTAAAAAAATGGTAAATTGATCAAATCTGGCCCTTATATTGAAAAGCTCAATGTTTTAAAATCTAGCTCATATTCAATACATTTCATATTTTGTTATACACGCTGTTTATTGTCTGCAACTTTTTCGGTTATTGTTTGCTTGTGTGCCCACATGTAACGAACCATTTGGGTATTCGCCTGCATACTTCAACCCTAACCTTCCAAAATCCTCTTTGCAAAATGGAGAATTTTGCAGGATTGGGGCCATATGGCAAAAATGTGTGGCTGATTTTGGAGGATGCACTGTTTCAAGGCCTTGGGCCGGACCTTGTGTTGTTTTTGCTCAGCCTTACATAAATTTAGGCCTAGATTATACTTGAAATCCTCCGCACTGTTCCAGGATGACACTGGCTCTGCTTCAACGTATTGACAGTGATTGCTTGAGGGTTTTGCAGGATTGAGGCAGTGGTCACCCTCCAAGGACCACATTCAAGAAATAAAGGAGCATTTTGCAGGATTGAGGCTGTATGCTATTTTTACATGGATTCAGTTGGAGGATTTTGCAGGATTGAGGTTACATCGTAGCAAAAATGCCTAGGGAGTTAGGGTTAAATCAGTGCAGTGTAATCATTGATAACTGCAGGCTTTTCTGCCAGACATGAGACTGAGCTGATGAGCGGTTGCGCATTGCAGAGTTCTCATCTCAGTCGTGAGTGCGCGTGCAGGTTCTACATGCGTGTGCGCAAAGCACGCATTTTATATGAGATTAACTGTATGCATTTTTACAGACTGGACACGTAGCCGTTCTTGACCAATGAAATCACAGTATCCAAGCACACAATATAACAAATTGTGTTTATGGCATTGCAAACATATTATTGAACTGACTTTTTGTCTGTTTTACAATGACAGGACACAGCAGGTCAGGAGAGGTTTCATGCACTAGGACCCATCTACTACAGAGACAGCAATGGGGCAGTATTAGTCTATGATATCACAGATGAAGACTCATTTGCAAAGGTAACCACAAGCTGCTAAGTTAATGGGGATTATGACGACCAATTAATCTACCAGGAAATACAAATAATCTCAAACAGAATAAGAATCAAGATGGGATTCCATCAAAGAACATTTAAGCAAAGTGATAGTCTGGTTCTCAGACACATCCGCATGATATTCTTGATTTTGAAAGTATCGAGCAAGAACCAGTCTATAAACAAGAGCGTCTTCCCTTGTGGTTTGCATGTGCTATTTCAACACTTTATGAATCATATTACATACTAGGAAGGTGTCCTGCTAAGATGGGGGGAAGGGAACTTGGTTATTGACTACATTGGAAATTACATCTCTACAGTTTTCGCCCACAAGTCTGTAAGGTGGACTTAGATTGACTATTTGACTGACGTATTTTGCCAACAGGTGAAAAACTGGGTGAAGGAGCTGAGGAAAATGCTGGGCAATGAAATCTGTCTTTGTATAGCAGGTGAGTATTAGAATGAACGTGCTCCATTTATTGTCAAAACTCTGGGGAAAATGTCACCGTTTTGTTTGCATTCTGATTCAGTGGCACCTATAATAGAGTGCTGTTAAAAAACTCATTTCTATTACGAAATATCTCTGATCAATGATGAAATGATGTATATTTTTGCTTGTATATTTTTGCTTGTCCTAGAGGGCTTAGCCTAGTTTCCTCTTTGCACTTTACTGACTGACTGAATATCACTTGTGAATTAGACTAGCTACCTATCTAGGCCATCAGCCCGGGGGTTTGGTCAGTATCAAAACAGGGCATAAATGATTATAATGAGCATGCGCAAGGTATGCCGCCCCTAGAGTGGTAACAAGCATTTTGATGGACATTTTGAAAAAAAGGTGATAACACCCAAAAAGCTGCCACTGTTGCAATGCTATCACATATTTTCCAACTCCCAATGTGTATACCTTGCCAAAAATCGCTATGACGATTAATCCTCTCATTTGATACCGGTGGCCAAAATTTTGGACCGAGGCTGATGGCCTAATCTCACTGACTGACTGTCACTGTGACTTACACTGGTATGAGAGCAGCTTTTCATGGCTTGCCTATTCATTGTCAGGTAACATCTGCACCACATGCACATTAGTCTGGTGCCGCTTGTTTCATGTACTTTCATGGTGCACTTGTAGGCAATAAGTCCGGTCCTCATGTGACCTGAAAAAGTGCATTATTCATTTCCAACACATTACCATTCGGCTTAATCTACAATTTTTCTTCATTCTGAATCAGTGGAATAGAATTTATTGCACTCTGGGATCATCTTTACTAGGCATGCCTTTGTTTTTTTAGTAGTCCATCGGGTGCCCGGCAGAAGTTATTTGAGCATTCTGACGCAAACATCACTTTTCAAGAAAATTGCTTTGAAAGGCTTCAGTGTTCCCCACGCGTATTATGAATCCAATGTTCTACCATGGGTATCATAAATCGTACAAATTTTTTTATTTGTCACAAATTTGAATCACAATTTTTGGAACAACTTGTGTTAATTTCCGATGAATTTCTGATAACGCTTTTGCGCACGAGGGCGTACACGCATGCCCTTCTGCCAGGCACATGACGAGTTATTCACATTATGTTGTTGAACCTACTTCTATACCTTGGGATTTTTTTCCTATTTTTAGGCAACAAGATAGATCTTGAAAAACAGAGAAATGTGTCCGTTGCAGAAGCAGAAGCGTAAGTATATGAATTATTCATGGCAGTTCAATTCTGTTGTAACATAAACCTGTTGGCCTATCTTATTATTTCAGATGTGGTGTGCTACTTTTCTCTCCAAAATAGAAAAGCAACATGTACAAAAAGGGCGTAGCGTAACATGACAGGGCGCAAAATAATGACAGACAATGGACTGAATGGTGCCCATTATTCACCTAAAAACCTGTCAATTACGGCAATAATGATACTGTCTGATGAGTGAAGATGACTCTTGTTCAAAATTCTGGTTAAAGGGAACACAAATCCTCGGTCTCAGCCATGCATTTAAGTGCACGATGAATGAGACCAGTAATCCACTTGATACAAAATATGATTTGACAAAAGATATTCGCCAGTTCTGGCTGTGTTTGTATTCATGGAAATTGACGTTTGTCATTATCAGTTCACTTTTATTTGTGTTCTAGGTATGCGGCCCAAGTCGGTGCCAAACACTACCTAACCTCGGCAAAGCTCAACAAGGGAATTGAGGAGATGTTTTTGGACCTTAGTAAAAGTAAGTGCTCTGTGTTGCTCTGTGCTAGAAACTTTGTACAAAGCATAATACAATGTAGGGGATGTTGTTTACCAAAAAAAAAAAATGGAATATGAGGGAGATGATTGCAAACCCCAACTTCCTGCAGAAAACAGTTGTTTCATGTGTACCAGTACAGCTGAAAATCCTTGGCACTCTGCAGGACTTCTGTACCAGACTTGTGTTAAGACAGTTTTTGCACTGGACACAGTTATCTTGAAATATGCATGCTGGTAAAAGCTATGAATACAGTCCCTTTTGTCATCAAGATGAAGAGATATGAATACTGTATGCATTGTATGTAACACTGATTCAATTAAACAGGGGTGTGAAATCTCGGCTTTAAAGCTGATTTCAGCTTTTTTTGTTTTGGATTTCAGCTTTTTCCCCTCTCTTTGCTGTGTACAACAGTATATTAGATTTCCAAAACTCAGTTTCTTTACACCTTTTTCGGCTGTTTTCAGCTATTTTTATCAGTGGTCACTCACACTCCTGAAAGGTGGTTGCTGTGCAGCCTTGTTATGAGGTTTAATAATAAAGGGCACTTACATTTTGAAGTTCCATGTGTGCTGTCTGTCCAAAAAATCAGTGCACGTAAGGAGAATGACATGGTTTTGCCAAATATGTTGAAACCATTTCATGCAGTATATTCTTGAATTCTAAAGGAGGGGTTTGGAACTAGTCTTGAAGTGATCGTTGGTTCCTTGTTCCTATGTACTGTTGTCCTATGAGTAGCATTGCATGCAAGTGGAGTATCCTACATTGACGGCCATGTTCGGTATTTTCACCGTTGGGGGAGGGATGTGGGTACTTGATCATAGAATCCACAACAATTTGATGTCAAGTACACAACACTGACTTGAACACAAGGATTTTGTCTTGTTCTGTTTCCAGGAATGCTAGAAACAACGCCGTCCGATGATCTAGGCAAAGGTACATCATCAGCAAGGGCTTCAAGGAAGACAGTCACCATTGTGGATGACGAGGACATGCCGAAGCAGAGTGGCGGAGGTTGCTGTTCATAAACAGTCCACCCATCCTTCCCTCATCCCTCCCCAACTTCACTGATTCTGTCATTCAGTGGCGGTCTTTGCACGTCTCCTTTATGTATATAAATACAATGCTATCAACATAAAAAAAATTAATTGTGTATATTAATTATAGCAAATGCACTCTCCCAGTGAATGATATAAGGTATGGTGGACTAACGTCGGACAGTGATGGCTGGTAGCAACGGACCCTGACTGAAGATAAGGCCATGTCTGAATGACATGCCTATGGCTGGCGGTCACACGCAAGTGGCTGTGACTGCAGTATCCATAGATACATGTGTAATTCCTAGCCGTTGCCATCTAATTCGGACGTAGCTTAAGTTTTTGTCAATTGAGGCCGAAGGGTCATTAACCCTCCTGCTGTCTGAACAGTCACAGACAGTCAAAAAAAATCAATCCTCTTCCCCTGCCATGCCTTTCACATAGGCTAGCCACCAACAGTCGGATCATATTTCAAACGAGCACTGTGACAAGTCAAATTCAGTCAACAGTAAAAAAAAAAAAGCAGGAAAGTTCAAGGCACAGCTGGCTTATCAATCACCTACAGTCAAAGCATAGCTGTATCAAGTTACATATTACATGTCACAGCCAGTCAATCCAGCTTAATGTAGGCTGGGAGCTTTAAACTGTTCAAAGCAGATTGATTTTGACTGAAAGTGAAAGGACAAATTTGCACAGAATGTATGTTTGCATAGGAGAGTTAATGGAAATGATCATTTATTCCCACGGCTGATAGTGGACCCTTCCCGTCCGTCAATCAGTGTGCATTGACCAATTAGATCAAAACGTTTGGTCAGGTGACCATAATAGCTTGGTCACATGCACTGTGAGATATGGACACAAACCACAAGGCAGGGCTTATGGCCAGATCCAGACCGGTCCATTGTAAGATGTTCAAGTCCTGTGCCTTCTGTTGCACTGGAAGGAACAATTGTTAGTGGCAGGAGACTTTGAAACAAAAGGAGCGCATTCAAGCTTGTTTTGTTGTTGATTCATTTGCCCTGACGTTCTCAACAAATCTTTTCCGATGCCCTTCACAAATTTTTGTATGTACAATAAATTCAATTTATAGCACAGGAAATTATTTATTCCATGATTGCTAGTATTTAAGATACTCTATTGTTGCTTCAAACAATCTCATATAATTAACTAGATGTCTATTGCATTAATTTTTAAAAACTATTTTAGTATATCTGAAGTTTGTTACTGAAGGATTCTAATATTAGTTCTTGCACATTCTTGACTGACACTGTTCATGGGAATCAGAAACAAATGATCTAATTGAGTCATTCCGGAGGTACTGGTTTTCACAATAATTTGTCCACTATCACTTTTCTTTTCTTCTAAGTCTGGAAACAACCAAACTTCTAAAACTGTTAAAGAAACGCAGAAAAGACTTTGTAATGTTACACAGTCTCAGAAGATCCAGAGAACTTAATTTGCCGGTCATGTCACAGAATATTTTAGAAACTTTGTGGGTGACAATTGAACTTTGAATTTTGTTTTCAACCGAGGCTTTTGAGAATGGGATATGAAGCTTGTTTGTTGTCTTGTATTTCTGTGACCCTGTAAAAATATTGAGAGATTTGGGGTTTTTTTGTCAGATATGAGAAACCTTCATCATATATCTACAAGCAATTTGATTGCTAAAGTTCAAGACTGGTTTGATTTGACTTCCCAAGGGATTCATTATGGATTTGAAATTAAGAACATGTAGTCGTGGCTGAACATGAGATTTGTCATGTGTCAAGTCGAGTTTGTTTTCTGTTATGTGAGATTCACAGTAGAACTTTAGGATGAGAAAAACCTTCGACAGTGCCAAAATTGTGAAGGATACCATTACAAAGCTAAGACAGGTGTAACTTTATAGTTTGATTTCAAACCTTTTCAACTGTTCCAGTTGTTACATCAAAAATAAATACATATAGTGCAAGATAGAAGCATCCATTGTGCTCAAAATTACACCGATTTCTGGCCTACAGCTTGTAGTTGCTTGACGCATTATACTCGGGCTAGGGCTGTGCCAAATACATGGAATATTCAAATATTTTATCCGCTACCAAATTTCCAAATAGCATTTTTCGATTCAATATTCAAAAATTGTTGAGTTGTCTAAAGGAGATGATGAAAAACGTCCATGGTGTTATTCTAAATTGTATAAGTGTTGTGGTTTTATTGTTTGTCAAATGCTACACTTTTGTTTGAAAGCCATTTCCTCACATGATTTGAGAGGTCCCATGAAAGCTCCAGTCTGCAGCCAGTTTATGCAGCCAGTAATATTCCATTTCAAAATGGAATATTTTGAATGTTCGATCAAGTCTAAGTGGTAATAATCAATTACTAAATGATTCAAAAATGCCCAGCCCCAACTCGGGCACATGCTGTCATATTTGATATGGTATTTAAATTTCTGTGTGTCTTGCTAATGCAACATTTGTTTGTATAGTGCCACACTCATGTTAGACTGTCCCTCACTCAGCCCAAAATTTAAGAGTTACCTAAACTTCTCATCATCCTAAACTAAAAATCGAAAAAGGTGCATTACTTCTACCTGCAATTTGGTAGATTTGTTTGATCTGGGCACCATAATCACTTTAAATGGACTTTCTCTAATCCAGGTCAGTTGAGGTCAATCAAGGTCAAGGAGAGGTCAACCCACATTTCTCCTGTGTGGTTGGGGCTTTGAGTCATAGTTTTTCTCGTTAGTTTGTGTCGTAATTAAAATCGGATTGTTCATGACAGACTTAAAGACCACTCTTTCGTAGTGGTTATTTTATAGCTACATGTAATAGTGCATATTACTGCATGGAATATGTTTTTATGTAATTTCATTTGTTTGGTATTTTTTTTATGGCCGAATGTCAAATTCCAACCAATAGTTGGCAAAGCAAAGTTGTTTAATTTGAGGTTGCTTTGAGAAGTTGAAATATGTTTTAGTCAGCTAAATTGGAGTATTTGTAAAAGCTAAATACAGATGCCAAAATTAAGTTTATTGCATTATGGTAGAATTTAGAGACAGAATTCGTAAGGGGGAAAATGTTTAAAAAAAAAAAAAAAAAAAAAAAAAGGAAGAAAAAAAAGAGGCCTATTTCCTGTCTTTGCTTCTTAAGCTCTAAATACATCATAAAATCGAAATATTGATTGCTGCAGCTTCATTCACCATCCTTAGGAAATTAAAATCACTTCCATAGATAAGTGTTCATGCATAGCAGCCAATATCCTTCATCAGATTTCAAAAGAAGCTTCAAACAGGTGATTTTAAATTATTGTACAATTACTTAAAAAATATTCTGTGTAATCTAACTGGAATACACACAGATGGTATGGTGTACTTCTTGCAATTCTTATCTTTTTGTAAAGTAGGGCAGAGGCCATTAAAAGACTTTTGGTAAAGGATAATGTCTGGTTGGGATTTGACATTTGACCTTGATGAATATATATATAATATGTACATACAGTGCCAACAGAACGTAACTTGGTGTTAATCAATGGTCGATTAAAACATTTGCTATAAATTAATGAACATGTTGTTTGAGTGATTTTCTTTTATTTGTCCGTGTTAGTGGTGTGCCCATGTTTTTATACAGGACTAGTATTTCCAGAAAGGACTAGTATTTCCAGAAAGGAAAAATCATGTTCTCATTGCTAAGATTAACACTCAAAACACAACTGTCATTGTTGAAACCACACTCATCTGAACTTTACTTATTCAATATTTTATTACAAAAAATCAGTGAATGATTAAGGCACAAATACTTAATAAAAACTGAAACAAATGGTCTGTGTTCTTTTTGCATTTTAAAGGCATTTTTGTGGTGTTCAAATACATTGAGAAAAACTCAGGAATAAAGATGCAACATTCCCCCATTTACATATTACACATTTTTCAACAAACATTTTGCATATTTCATTATTGCTGAGTATATATTTCATATTCAATACTTCTCATTTAAAAATTCACCAATGTAAATAATTTTTAATTGCATATTTTCAAGTGGTTAACAGTACCTAATATTCCTTTAAAAAAAACACCAAAATTTGCAGCAAAAGATATCTGTATTGACTATTAAATCATAAACTACATAAACTAAACACTTCAAAATTGTTTTTCCATTCAAATCATGTACCAGTACATGTTTAAAAAAAAAAACTTTTATTTTTCTTGTAAATCCTCAGTATGCTTACACCACATAACTAAAATCATTTAAATTCCTTAAACAAATGTACAAAAGTTATTTTATTCCACAACTGAATCCACATCGACTTGTTACGCTGTAATTCTGTCAAAATTTAGTAGTAGACAAATAAGGAAAGTGTATGAGTGCATTGCAAGAATAATTTCATGAGTTGACACAGAGAATGGAACATTCCATCTGTAACTGAATGAAATTCTTCTTTTCATTGCACGAATGTAAACATTCATTATTTGTTTTATACAACACCTGAATAAATCCTCGTCATCTGATCGGTTACTTTGTTAACTGAATGTATCAGAGTTATCAGAGCCGTGTTGAAGTGCAACCAATAGTGATCAACGACCCACCAATCAGATGACAGGGATATATTCAGGCATTGTATAAAGTTATTTACTTCAATACAAATCATTGTATTTCAAGGATCTAAAAAAAAAAGATCTTTGGAAGTGCGTTGCATTGTTAGGGCATGTTAGTGTATTATATGACATCTTGACTCAAATTTCACGCATATAAATAAATACAACTTGGTTATATTCATTTCAACACATTTCATATTCTAGAGCTACATTTTTTTTTCAATCTTAAAGGCAATATCATCTGCTTCTCATGCATTTTGTACGTTTCCAATAATAACGCCACTCAAAATCCAAAGAACGTTCAAAATCTAACCTGTTCAAATTTCAGCTCAGTGGATGCTTCACGTTTTGAGAAAACAGTGAAAAACCATACACAACCTTTTGATCATGAAACACGATTTCATTGACAGCACTCTTTATTCCAAAAATCACTCAAGTGACTGATTGTTGGAAATCACCTACATGTCTTGATTTCTTCTAAATGACAGCACACCAGATGGAATACTTTCAAAGAGTGTTTAGTGCCAGTACGATCTTTAATCCAAGTCAATATTATTTTGATAATTTGGTAGGTTACTTTGGGGATAAATGCAAATGATCCTAGATGCCTTTAAGGAAGGGCAGGACTTGCGACTGATAATCAAATTCCCAACTAAACCAGCATTTTATCATTAAGAACCATTGATTATAATAAATAATAAATTAAATCAGTCACAACAGAATATTTAGTCATATGTACAAGCCATGCCTCAAGTTCAAAACTATATATATTTCATAACGAATTTGTCTCTTAAAATAGCCATGGCTAAATTAAATATGGAATGATTGAATAAGCCTATCAGGGCCAATGAAATACATTAATACCTGAACATTGGACACCAAAAAACACTATTCCCAATCCAACCACAGAGATGTAATCCAAGTCTTCACCAACCATTTCAGTTAATTTATCCCTCAGAAGACAGTATCGAAGTTTATACACACACAAATTGTCCTGAAAGACGTGGCGATCATGAATCATAGATTTCAGGGACTCGGTGCAAAAGTACCTACCTCTCAGGAGTAGAAAACAGAGAGATATGATAGGCACTTGGCTGCAGAGCATTCCTCGGCAAAAGACGCTATCAGGTTTGTGCATATTCAGAGGAAATTAGTCAGGCGTACCACGTGCTATATGTGACCCTCCTTGGGCCACTTTTTGAAAACTGGGATATTAGGGTCATTGGAAAGGACATTGAACGAGCTTTTCAATGATGTATAGAATGTGGGAATCGACAAAATCTGAGGGAATTATAGAAATTTCAGAAATTTCTTAAATCCAAATTTGTTGTTAAAGTTTTCTAAATGAACTCCTTGACAAACATTCCTATAAAAGCAATTAGAATGATATTTGGAGTATGCGTTCATCACTTGTCCTATTTCTACAAATCAATATTCTTTGTATTGTAGGCTGTGTCTGCACTTCTGACTGGTTCTGTGCTGGAGGGTCAAATATGTGACTTATGGCTCTTTGTGAGTAGGCAAAACAGTGCTATTTTATTCTGCATGGATTATACAAGGTGCATGGAAAGAATTTTGGATTGGCATTGTGTGGCCTTCTCGTGAGCGCTAGTCTAGAAGTCAAGGTGCCTCTACAACCCCAATTGGCATGAAGTATCACATCATGACATTTAAGATTCCTTGCATATCTATCATAAGCTACACCTCGACAGTGATTTTTGCTTGTTGACCACTCAGTGTACTTGTGCACAGAGCCCTAACAGATCTGTGGTTATGGTACTCAATTTCAGGAAATCATAGCTTTCTTATTGTGTCTGCATGTTAGACGTTGAGGAAGACAAATGTTTTTGAGGGACACTGCCTGATGGATATTCCTCGGACACACGGTGAGATAAAAACCTTGGACCAAGACCTCAGACTTTCAGCAGACCTTAAAGTTATGTTTGAACTTTGAAAGACCCGGCAATCATGATTGGTAGGCAAGGAGCGTTTCTGCATGTTGGACGTTGAGGATGCGTAGATCTAAGACAATCTGTAAGCAGCGATGGAAGACAGAGGTATCTGAGCCGTGGCTGAGATACAGGTATCGCTCTAGGAGACCAAGCAGGCAAGTCTGAAGCTTACGGGTACACTCTGCATCAGCAAGACCTTTACGATCTGGTGGAAAAATGAAAATATATGGTAACGGAATAACGCAGACTTGATTTGAAGACATAGTGTATTATAGTTTACTTCAGTAAAAAGAGACTTTACAATGAAACACAAATGTAGACAGCAATCTTGGCTGAAAAACAATTGCATGTTAGAAAGTCTGCACTTCAAAAGACCATTGAGTTTTGGTATAAATTTGTTTTTCATCTGCTAAGTCTTTTTAATAACACAGAGAGAGAATTTGTTTTTTCAGACCAAATATCAACCTTATCCCTCCAAGATTCTTCTGGAAGTTTTTGAAGGATTTTGTATGGTTAAGAAGGAAGAGCCTATATAACCAATATTACTTTACATGAGACTGGATTGAAAGATTGTGCCTCTGGTTTTCAGTGAAGTGGAGGAGTTGGCAGGATTCAAGAATGTTCTTAGCAAAAATATCCTAGGGATTAAGGTCACCTCTTTGTGTATAGGCTGAGAAATGACACCCGATAGTGTCGCCAAGCTTTTATACATGTATCGGCGCAACTATCTGTCTGATTCAGGCGATTAATTCTACACTTGAAGTCGTTGAGTTGATGCGACTTATAAAATTGATTTGACTGAAGGATTTGTCATTTGATTGAAACACAAAAAGCCTACATCCTGACTAGTACTAGTGTGCAGGCTTGATTTATCACTGAAATAAGAAAGTGGTAGGAATTACTTTAAAGTTGAATCATAGTGAACAAGGCCCCATGACAGCAATACATACGTACTAAAGACAGTCGCAGCCTACATACACAACCAACCATAGATTGTTGCGTCATCTTCCAACTCACCTGAGGCTATTAAGACTACAGCATGTAGGAGCACCGTCTCCGACTGAGTCAGCTGAAGATTTTTCAGTTGCTTAGCAACAGAGAACATGGCTTCCATCAACTCACCTAGCTCTGTGATCAAGAAAAATAAAAGTAGTGGTTTTTGTTTCACTCTAAAAAAAAAAAAAAAAGCAGCGATTACACAGCTGCCTTGGCAAGTACATAATTATCAGGTCAACATTTACATTGTAAAGTGTCAGCAAAATACATGTACATGCCTGGTGTGGCATTAGCATATGCGGCCAGCTGAGATACTGGCTTGACCATCTGATGACAATATTATTGGGTGACACAGACTGTGCTTAAAGCCAGAGTCCATCATTTGCAGCTATCCAAAAAGTAACTGGCGCAAAACATACTTGGTTGAAAGATAGTAAGGGGACTAAACTCCCTGTGAAATTATTCTTTCTGGCAAGCTGTCATTTTAAAGAAATCAGCGAAAGAAGACCTTTCCAAGGGTGCGTCTTACGAAGCACCGTTGGAAATTTCCATTTGTAAATCATTTTATTATTCGGCAAAACACGCGCAAGCGTTGACACAACGAACACGTGCGCGCAGTTGCTATAATTCGTCAGATCTGTGCGTGACATCACGTAGCCTCAATCGGCTCAGTGAGAACATGTCTCGGACGCTGAATTCAGGCCCAATTCAAAACATGATTCAGCAACTTTTGATTTGAAATCGAGATGCTAGAATGTTGTTTTTCTCGAAATATACAGCTAAAGCTGAGCTGAAACTTCATCAGGTTAGTTGTTTAGCACCCTTCTTTAGATTTTGAGCACTTTTGTTGCTTCAAACGAACAAAATGCATAAATTACAAATGATGGACTATACCTTTAAAGAGTTACAAGCATATTATGTTCTTCCTCCAATTTCTGAGGGCTGTCTAGCAAACAATCTTGCTTAACAGATAAACATGCTGAGCAAACATGAGTTGGGACCCAGTCAAAATCAATACACGTACAATGACATGTTGGTTGGTAGCCTGTCTATCCAGACAAACGTCTTCTGTCCCTAGCAACAATCTCCATGACATTGGCCATAGGGAAACTGTCATCAAAGCCCAATCTCATTCACTGTTAAGCACATAATTGTCTACTGAAAGAACATTCCTACATTACTCAGGGAATGTAAAATTTAAGCACAAACAAACATTCTAACTTCAGAGGAAGCTTCTGCTGAAACTCGTGGCACAATTATGGATAAATCTGTGTACATGCAATTTCTGGCCAGATTGCCTCTTTTTTTCGCGGAAGTGGCTCAAATAGTTTTCCTGCACTTCCATGATATTGTATCCTAAAGATCACAACGCTTGTTGACAATAAAGCCTGCTGCACACCTTTCTACCTTCACTGGATCACCTGATCACCGGATCACCCGTACGGTTTTTTTTTCACCGTTGAGGAGAGCAGACATGCCTGATTCTGTTCTATAATCGGTCACATGAAGACCAATCACATGATGATAAAATGGCAGCCGTCAATTTTGAATCATGTGACTTCCTTCATGAATCTGATTGGTTAACATAAATATCATTTCCGGTGAATTCAGAGTGCTGCCCGCACACCTTTCCGGTGACATCCGATCAGGTGAAATTGGACAGGTTTGATTCCATCTGGTCACCCAGTGTACGCGTACGGTCAGATCGGTCCTACTTTGCAGCGCGCACCTCTCTTATCTGTACGTCCGATGGCCCAATGATCAGGTGAACAGGTAAAATCAAAAAAGGTGTGCGGCGGGCTTTAGATTCTAAAGTTGCTTGAGAATATCCAGTGAAAATACATTCTCTACTACCACTGTCGAAGGTTTTCAAAACACAACCAGTGGCCAAAAATATGTAGTAACTGGTTTCCAAATTTATCAAATCAGGCATGCAACTCGGAGTAACCAAAAATACAAATGCCAAGCTTCACAAGACTTTGGTAGTTGCAAGCCTGAGAAATGACACCAAAAACCTTACTTGTCTGTTTGAGCATCTCTCGGGTGAACCTCTGGCCTACCAGTTGGACGGAGTCCTGGTTCACATCCAGTATCTCACATAGCTGGAGTAGTAAGACCTCAAAACAACCTGCCTTTAAAAGGACAACCTGGGAGGGGATGGAACACAGACAAAAGATTTAAAAACTTGGATTGACTTGCGATTGACTTGCGATTGACCGATTAGACTTGCAATGGATATAACTACAACTCTCTCTCTGATTATCTGAGGGTTTGGCTGCGTGCTGTCCTTACCTGATCAGGATGTGGAATGTCGTTGAATCCTGGGATGGATTTAGTGAAAGCGACGATGCGACCAATGGCAGGAGAGAAGCGACTGGAGAATGCTTCTTCCTTGCTGGAATCTGGACCATTGCTAGTCTCAGAAGATTGATGCTCTGCCGTCTGTTGAATGACAGTTAAAAGGACAACATATTGTGTACTTTAGATTGTTGAAGAAATCATGCAATGTGGCAAGCATCTTTCTTTCTTTTTTGCCTCAAGTAGATATTTAACTTAAACGTTTTATTCAGTGATAAAGTGCGGGGTTTTTTTCACTGAAGTTGAAATTGAATGAAGTGCATTAGGACTCCTCCTGGGGAACATTAAGAACTGTTTAGCCCAATAGGTCCTGTATCACCCCAAACTGCCCTGCCTGTTTTTCCCTGTACTGCCCGGTCAATGAATAAATACAATGTAATATAATGTAGTACTGGTGCCAAGGTGTTAACTATTAAATGTCAAGTATCTAAATTTAAGCCTGAGCAGTGCCTATGGTTTTTTTAATTAACCTTAACCACCCCAACCCTTCAAAATCCAACTGCGTGTTTTGTTGGAATCTGTTGGAGTGAGTACCACACTAGTAAACTGATAATGCCTTACATTGGGTCAGGCGTACCACCATAATCAGAATCCAACAGTTTGGGCGTACAGTTTACCATATGGTGTTGGAATTTGCAGGACTGAGGAAGGTTCTTAGTAAATCACTCAAGGGGGTTAGGGTTCATGCGTAAATTGTTTTGCAGATGAAAGAAACCAAGAATGACACTTTCACACAAACCTGTGACATCTCAGGAGACCTGGGAATTTCTTTAGGTATTTGCTTCCTAATTGCAGCTAACAGAATGTTCTCAAGGTTTGCCCACTGTTCCTCCATACCCTCAGCATACGCCCCACAAATGGCATCCACTGTGTCTATCCCATCATGCTCCAGTTCAAGATGGCGTCCAGTCTCCACGGTAACTACATCTCCTGAGGCCTTATTCTTTTTTGGATTCCGGCTCCATTCAGAGCCGTTTGCATTGACCGTGCCACTCGGCAGGTAAGTATTGCACTTGCGTTTACTCTTAGGAGCTTTGATTTCGTCTTGCACTGGGGAGAGAATGTGTCTCTGGGGCGCATCCCTGAAGCCTCCTTGGGAGACACTCAGGAGAACTTTGGTGCCGTTTTGGTACTGAAGCACTGCATTGTGGGCTGACTTGCTGGGAAAATCTTGAAGCTTGACTGCGTGTGAGTCTACGTAAACCGGTTGACCATTGCTTGGCTCAGGATGTGTAACCTTCTGGACCTCTGGGGCTGAGTTTTGAACGATCCCATTTAAGTTTTCAATAGTTTCCTGTTTGATTCTGTCAGATTTATCAGTTTGGTTTGGTATAAGAGGGTCTGTTGGGGCCAATGGTGTCACGCTTGAGTGTTTGTCTGGCATGATACGGGGCATGGAGGCTAGATATCGCAAGTGGGATGTAGCAGAGTAATACTGGGGACCGTTGAGCAACATGGGATAGTTATGATGTGGGGAGGCTGCTAAATTAAGAAATGCCTTGGACTCGTCCTTGCTGTAGTTGACAACAGCGCCCTCTGGTGAGTGACTATGAGGTTTTCCGGGCAATCCGTTGACGATTATTGCACTGGTTGCCGGATGTTTCCCATTTGGGATTTGCACTTTCTGCAGATCAGCGATCTTCGGATATTGCAGCATGTCGTTGGGTTTTGGGTCAGTTTGACCTGGCGGGTCCTGATTGGACGAGTGGCTGAGATCCAGCGGTTCTGTAGAGGGCGCTGTTACGGTAGCTCGGCTGACGACTTCCCGTCTGGCTGCCTGAAGTTTGGCCTTCTCTTTCTTGGACATTCGGCCAAACCGTACAGCTTAAAATTGAAAGAAATGATAAATCTGGCATTAATTAGTAAAACTTTGAAATCAGTCACTGCAATTGACGTATCGCGGTAGAATCGCGTCAACGCAGCCTGTGAAATATTGTCCAATTATATAATATACCGGTACAAATGGACGCAGAACGCGCAAAATCTGAGACAAACAAAACTTAGTGTACAAATATTACATAGGGTTGTCTAAGGGGCGTGGCTAACTCGCAAACGGCGATAGGTCAATTATCTCTTGAGACACACAATGAAAATTAAAATTCTACAAACTGACTACAAAAAGCCATATTTGTAAAATGGTCAACAATTAACAATTTGAAGTGACATGTAGTGTAGACCTAACTGTTTGATGATATTACATTCAAAACAAAATGTACCATTTCTGGACATGCCCATGTCAATGCACTTTTTGAGTCGACAGGACTGGCATTGGTTGCGACTGCTTCGTTTGATCTCGCACTGATCGGCATTCAGGCAGGGGCGGTACGTCAAGTTCTGCTGGACAGTCCTGCGGAAGAATCCCTGTCAAGAAAAGACAGAAGAGGAAATCAGACATCTTAGAAATCATACCCTTCAAGTTCATTTCCAAGTTGCCAAAAACCCAATGTTCAATTAAGTGCATGATCATTTTTTTTTGGTTGCTTTGTTTTAGAGTTTTTGTTGAAGAAAATGGACATCGTGAGCATGTCCACCCTGCTCAGAACAGGTGTATCATGCCCCCCCCCCCCTTTTTTGTTGTATGTACCGGTACTGTTCCCACATTTGATAGTCTTGTGAGTAGGAAAGCCCCCTCTATCATCAGGCACATAACAAACAGGGCTAGCCAGATCAGACATGGCAGGAACAGAACATTTGAGAGCCATCAAAGAGCTTTTCACAAAGGTATTCCCCCCCCCCCCCCCTGTCGCCAGACCAATCTATATGGAGGGAGGAGGTTGACCACAAGTTTGCTGACAGATGATGTATGTACAAAATGTAACTGGGCTAGAATTGTTATTCTGCATTTTACTGAATTAAGATTTGACAAGTTGGGGGGGGGTGCCTGGATTCCCTGAGAAATGTATGACATACGTAGTGTCAATCCTAATGCAAGTGTCATGTTGTCTGTATGGGTGGCCACTTTTGTGAACCACAGTGACCACATATTTGAGTTGGGGTCCAAACACCAACTGATATCAACACATGCAACAGGTGGAGAGAGGTACATGTAGGTCTCTTGGCCTGACCATGGTGTGACTGACCACATCCATGGGTATTTTCTGGGAATCTACAAGCAATCCCCTTTGTGGTTATTTTTAATTGATGTAAAATGCTGAGAATGTCTCTATTGTCATTCTGAAATAATGATTGATGTCTGCAAAAAAAGAAAAACAAAAAGCAAAGACACATATACCTTGTATACATTGTCCCCCAATTATTAAGAAAACCAACCACACACATCATACAAGGCAGTTGTGATAATCTGACATGTTTGAGAAACTACCTCTTAATAATCACACCAGGTTTAAATGTACGTGAAAAAAATATCCAGAACTTCTCAATTTTTCTGAGCCATTTTTCTCCAGGCCTGAAAAAGGTATTATGTATCTACTGTGAGTTCTACTCTGAATAGTGATGCAAACAACTTGAATTTTATGTTTTAAAAAAAAGGAAAATTGTACCACAAATACATTTTAATATAAATTCGAGTTCAAAATACGCTTTCATTTGCAGGTCAATAATCTGGCTGCTTTTTAGCGGCCGTTCCCACGTTCAACCAGAAGTCAAGTGTTTCATTTATACCTTCATTAACTCTACACATATATCCTCTTGACACAGAAAGCTACAGTTCAATTTGTTTGAAGAGGATATTCAGGTCATATCATCAGAATACAGAGGCCAGGGTGATGTTTTCAGGCAATTAAATCTGAGAAAAGTTGAAGGTACATGTACACGTCACATATTCTACATACAATACATTTTGTTTGCTAGTCTGTAGCATTGCCAGGGTGGGCGTATGCAAGGGGGGGGGCAGACAGATGCAAAAGAGGGGGGGGGGGTGAAAAGAAGAAAACCAACGGCCAGATGTCAATAGGAATTATTTTATGGTGGTAATTTGAACAGTAGAAACTAGTGGGATTATTTTTGGGCAGTGGGGGGGGGGGGGGGGGGGGGTAGCCTTGACTTCACTTTTTGTTATTTTCTTATTCCATTTGCATGTTACCATGAAAATTGTAGCTGTAGATAACATGGCATATAGGTCAACATGATATGTACATGTATGTTATGAGTGGGGTCGCTGATGATGAAAGCGCCCTCTTGTGAGCAGGTTACTCACCTTGCATCCTTCACATGAGTGTACTCCGTAGTGGAACCCCGACGCTCGATCCAAGCAAATCTGGCACAAGATGTTCATGTCATTGTCAAAATCTGTCCAAATAAGGCCAAACAAAAATCAAAACAATTAAAAAAAAATCTCCAACAACTAAATAATTAAGCTCTATTAAAAGAGGTTATGACTTATCATTTATTTGTTTGATCCGGTTTTGGAAATCCTGTTTGACTTGTTTTACAATGTGTTTGGCCTGTTTTATAAATGTGTTTGGTCATTTGGATACATTGAAGTTTCCTTTGGGCTTTCATATTTGGTTTTTGTATGCTTTACATTATGCTGTCTTATTTTGATTATTATTAACTTTGTTTTATTTTGATATTTTTATTTATATTTATGTACATGTACTTTGGTTTTATCTTTTGTACAGCGCTTTGTGGTTTTTATATAAAATGGAAGGCGCTATATATGTGTAAGTTTTTAATTATTAAAAGCACCCTTTTTGCCAAACAAATGATGTATGTAAGAAACAAAAAGGAACCAGAAAGTATATTGATTTGCAACAGGGGCAAACACATATATTTTTTACTTTTTTACATTTAAAAAGCTCCAATTTAGTCATTCACCAAAGCTGTTGCCAGCTATTTACATTATTAAGTTCAACTCCTCCTTAAAAACCAAACAACCCAGCACAAAAAATAAAACGATGATTAACAGACAAAGCAAACACTAAACAAAACCAAATAGATCAGAGTGACAAATGCCCTTTTGCATGATTAGATTATATTACATTTTCATGATATTTTGACAGTTTCAAAACTGAAACAATTTTCAATCCGAAATGAAAACACTTTATTTTCACAGAAAAGGCAAATCTATTGTACTCTAGTCTTGCCTTGCTTTCATACTGGCCTCTCCCCTCTACTCCCCACAGACTCAAGTGCTAGCCACAAACTGCCCTCATAAAGATCATACGTCCTTGACCGACTAGTCTCATGTCTGGACGATAATTGCAGGTACCAAAGGCAGCCACTGACCCACAAAGACTGATAATAAGGTCCATATTTGGGTGGACAAAAAAAACATTCTTGTATTGAAACTCATACTTTACCCCAAAAAATTATCTTAAGTAAAGCACGATGATTAGGTTGGCACAATTCTATATCTACATACATGAACACTTTATTAAAATGAATGCAAAAATAGTTTCAATATACTAAAGGAAAAAAAATATATAAAATTGTAATGTTTTATACCTCCTGAACTATTTAGCTAACCTGTATTGCTGTTTCAGTGACAAATTAATACAAGAACAATCTGGAATTGAATCAAAATAATATAGAATTTTCTAGAAATATCAGTTTTTCTTTTTTCAATTCAATACATACTTTATTCTCACTTTATTCCATGATACAATATCAGTTTACAGAATCATATATTACAATAATGCAGTCAGCAAAGCTATGGAAAATACCAGAAGGGGGCACAATTCATTATTCTGTTTTGAACGTCTAGAAATTACTTAGTGATAAACACCCATTTAAATTCACAGAAAAAATCCTAACCATTGTAACACAATGTGTTGTGTTGTCAATAATCCCCTGACGTTTGACAATTTAGTTTCGCTTGAGTCACTTATTGTTGGCATTGTGTGGGATATTTGAGGGGACTGGTGGAGAACAAAGTATGTCACAAAGCACCTGGAGGAGATTAAATGGGAAAAGGACCGGGAATTCCCACAAATTTCTGCATCAAAACCAGGCCAGCATATCAAGGGCAAAAAATTAATATCGCCTCATAAAAAAAATTATGACCCTAGCAACCTAAAACTATAGTAAAAGGAGAAAGCATTTGAAAACGGTTTCTGCTTTTGTTTGGGGGATAGGGAGTGGAAATTCATAAATCAAATTTTGGCTTATTTGTTAGTTAATTATTCAATTTTACAACCGCAGCCGTTAGGACAAAATTATAAGAAAACAAATACAACCTATAACAATTTCCTTTAAAGCAATCACACATGCATTATTTAAATGGACTGGAAAAAAACCCTGAAACTTCACTGTACAATGAAAGTGTTTCAATACGTTGGGAAGAGTATTTTATGTCTTCAAATGATATTCACAATCAATCCAAACTAATCCAACTGCAAACAAAGAAATAATTGTATTTAACCGGAAACCTCTCAAACAGAGCCGCTACTGGTCTGGTTTCATAGAAACTCTAGCTAGCCTTGACCTAGTGCCTTGGGCTGTGGCCAGCAGCCACCAGGGGCAATGAAAGGAGGCAAAAGAACAGGCTAGGAAAAGCTGAACTGACCTGAAAACATTGACCTACATGTACATGTACATCTGGTTTGTGTTCTTTAATTAGGGTGTACACTGTACCGGTATGATTTCATACACATACTATTTGTGCGAGTCAGATCAGCTTACATGTCCTGACCAGAACTTTGTCCTAATTCTCCTCAAACCATATTGGACTAATCAAGGTGGGACAACTGGTCAGAGTGTGTCACTCAAATTAGCTACATGTACATGTAGATAAAAAAAAACTGAAACACACATGCAAACTAGGGCTATCCCGAATGTACCAAATATTCTAATATTCGATCATCAAACGAATAGTTGAACAGCTTTTTGCCGGTTTGAATTATTCAGGAAAAAAATTAATAAACTACACATGACTGTGATTTTACATGTATTTTAATTGTAAGGTTGTGGCGCTTTATCGTCAGATACCAATTTTTTTTTTTTTAGGGTACATGTAGTTCCTTGTTCTCATCCTTTCAGCACATTAAAACCCTTGAGACCTATAAAATTCCTAAAAACACTCCAGCCTTCAAACACCACACAACTTTTGACAGGTGTGGCACGCATTTGCAGGTGGCATGTGTAAAACTTGATCAGAGAGTTTCAAATAATTGAATATTCAATGGAATGCATAATTTCTGAATAATTGAATACTAAATTATTGAAAATGGACAGCGCGAATGTAAAGCAAGCAAAGTACAAGTAACATTTAGTACCCCACAGTTCAAAACTGATATGTGTATGACAGTACGCATTTGGTTTTTCCAAGGAAATCATGAACATTTTCTAAGGGGAAACAACCCGACCTTTTAAACACAGTAGTACATCGGTTCATTGCTCAATGTACACTGAACCTCCATTATTAAAAACCTCAGGATGTGAACACAGACATTTTACGGTTCATTTAAAGTTTAAAGGAAGTCCTCTTTAGAAAAAATAAAAGTTCAGAGCAAAACAAGCCCTACCGGGATAGCTGGCATTCACATTTTAAGTACCAGTATACTATGTTGTACACTATGTGGAGAAGTGATGTATAGGATGTGGTTTGGTAAACTGTATGACCAGGACACCAAAACCAAGCAATTTTCATTTTACGTTACCACATTTTTGTTAGGGGTTGGGGGGGGAGACATGAGAGAATTCCTGGGACACAAAATCTTTGTCATGTTTGTTGGACAGCACTGAGTAAAATGAGATACATGTACAATAAATTTTAAAAATTTTTAAATAAAGAAAAACTGACTATAATTACACAGAATTTGACTGCAGCTTGGGTTTGAAACTGCGACCTCCGGATTATCATTCCGGTGCTCTACCAACTGAGCCATCCAGCCCTATGTTTGGTTCCTCGTTTTTTTCAATGTCTTTATTAAAATGTTAACAAAATAAACTAAGTGAAAGTGTAAATTTTGAGCCGTCATAGTTCACGTACAGTGCTTACATTTGACTAACTTAATTTCTTTTGGAACACTGGAATATTTCTAATGTCTGACTATAACTTTAGCCTGTGTGAGAGTTTATCACGAGTTCATCCTTTCATTTTTGTTGGGAAATGGGAAACAGCAACACAACACATGCAGGAAGAATAACAATGAATTGGATGAGGCCCTGACCTAGTAAGTACTGCCATGGCGTGGGAAAAGTCTGAACCATTGTTCAGAGTTCACACACCGTCAAGTTTCCAAACGTCAAAACATGATGCGTCATGTTTGCATTGACCCGAGATTTGGCAACATTATATTCACAATAGCTTGAAAAGGTGTGTCCCGCTACTTTTAACCCTATTAAGTGCACATGACTACATAAATCCACACCCGAACTTGAAGTATTCTGATGGATGCTGGACGGAATATAAATCGCTAGGGATATGTGCGATGAGTGTGCAATTGGACATTCTGCACGGTGTTGGATATTTTCGTAGACTCCAGAATAAAAGGGAAAAAAGATGGTTTAAAATGTTTAGAGGCGTCACGGCGTCAGCTTGGCACATGTCAGTGCTCAACGTTTGGGGAAAAAGCCGAAATATTCAAAATTGGGATCGTATGTTTTTGACTATTCAATAATAATAATTTTAATTTAATTATTTCATTTAATTATTTTATCCAACGACCGTATGAGTGTTATTCATTGCACATCAGTAAACTGTTTCATTGCACATAAGGAAACTGTTTGAATTGACTTTTATTGTTGGGTCAAACATGCGGCAGTATTGTTAAAAATTTCTTCGACAAAAATTCACAAAGGTGGACACACCGTTAGACTTTTGAATGATTTTTTTGATCAAGGAATGACATCTTTGCTTTCTCTAAAATGACACTTCATACAATTCTACTGAATATGATTAATGTTACAGTATGGGGTTTAAGTGAAGTTTTGGGGGATAAATTTGCCACAGTGTTGATCTAAATTGTAAATTTATGGGGGGGGGGGAATAAACAAAGAAAGCGATTGGAGAAGATTTTGAAGTTGGTTTTGAACTGGCGGTCATCAACTGACTATGCGGTTCCCCATTTTGTCATCACAATTTTAACAATCTCAGTGGTTCATTAGGAAAAAAAGTTGTGTAAATGAAAAGGTCCTTTTTTTTCTAGGTCGCTGTTAGTGGTGAACTGTGGTATAATGTCAAAGGTCTATACATTTACATACATAGATAAACTCAAGACACACAATTCATGACACTTCCAACACGCATTCTTACAGTCTGGTTGATAATTAATTTGTGAGGTATTCAAAGTATTCGTCTTTCTCATGTCAGGTGTTTATATTCAATGCCAAGTCAACATATGTAGTTGGTAACATGATTTTATCAACATTGGAGAGCACCAGGCTATAGTAAAAAGATTTTTTTTTACTTGCCTTTTTGTCGATACAAATTCTACCAGAAGCAAATGTTTCCCAAAAATGATTATGAAATTATTCAAAAGTAAGGGCTTTACCTTAATTTTTTTTTTTCCATTTTAAAAATACATGCAACTAAGTTAAGTGCTTTTAATACGAGACAGTAGAAATGTGAGAAATTTTTCGGAATTGTTTGTCTGGTACAATACATACATTTCTCAGTGCAAATTCTTACAGTAAAATACTGTTAAAAAGAAAATAATAAAAGGGGAGAGAGCCCCCTTTTTAAGGGGTTAGTTAATGCCTACAAGTACTTGCTCACACTCGTTAATTTCTTTGATTTTTTTTACCTCAAAACTGAAAAGAAAATTTGAAGTACTATGTACGTGTATTTATTTAGTGATTTTGTACATGCCTACTCATGCCATCAATAAAACTTCACAATGCATTGTTCCATCTGTGTCACAGCTGTTATCTAAACAAAAAAAATGCTGTGAATCGGGTCACTTGGTTTGAGGTCACTGTACCACCCTGTAACCAAATATTATTGCAAAGGGTCAGCACAACACAATGGCAGTTACCATGCGTAAAATCAACCACAGATCCAACAATACCAAATATGGCGGAAAAGGACCCATTGAACTATTGGAAGGCCATGCGTAAACCTTTGTTTGGCCTATAATTTTGTTTTTCAAATATGCCTGGTTTTTCAAACAAACAAACAATCCATGGGTGTTTTGTGTGTTACGTTGAGGTTACAAACTGAATATGGCTAAACATATGTATTCTTCTGAGAAACACTTTCAGTACAGATTTATACACAGTCAAAAACAGTATCCTGACTATTTCTTTCCTTCTTGTTTTCTGTCAAATGAAAGGACACATCACAGTTCTTTTCTCTCAAAAACTGACTTTTGTTTCAAAAGGGCAAAGAAATAAGGTTCCAAAACACATCTGCATGTACATTATTGTAAACACAATCACACATAATCATTTCAATAATGTCAAGAAAAACACTTGAAAAGTAATAAACTCAAAAATCAAACAAAAAAAATCCATAATGTACATCTGATGTACAAACTCCTCAAAGGTACCGGTAATATACAATATTGGCAAACATCTTCATGCCCAACAACAATTTCATGCCCCAGGGTGGGGATTTTGGTGACTAAAAAACATTGTTACCGTGGACATACTACATGGAAAGGCAATCACTAGTGCGCCCCACGTATGTATGTCAGAGATAGTCACTTAAATTTTGCCCGAGGGGTGGGGGATTTGTCACTTCAAAAGTGACAATCCCCACATCTTAGGTTGGGCAGCCGGGGGGGGGGGGGGGGGGGGGGAACAATTGATAGGCGCATTTACTCTACTAACTCCTTTAAGTTTGGATAAAATTAGACACAAAAATGACTGACCGCAAGCAACTTTGAGTTTGAGCTGCCACATGCACTGTATGTTGGCATGCAAATTACAGTACAAAATTTGTTCCGACAAATACAGTAAAAGATCAGTAAATATCTGACTCCAATTTCACCCATTCCTGCTTTATGTGTATCTATCCTCTACAAAACAAGTTTTGCTGAATAGGTGAAAAAAAAAGACACTTACCCAGTACACCCGACCCAAGACGATCTCTGGCCTCCCATTCCATCTTCTTGTCTTTTGATGAACAAATTCAGGCCTTCGCTGCCTACAAGACTTTTCTCTGCCACAAGCTTCAATTTTTCAGGTCACTTGTTACAAAAAGTAAAAGTTACCTGAGAAACAAAAGCAAACGATGGAATTTGTTCATGGTACTGAAGAACATACTGCCTTCAAAACAAAGCATTTGCAATAACCTACAGAGTGCTGGTATATTACTTGTAAACATAAACAAAACACTATTAAAAATGTGCCTTTTTAAAAGACTTTTTTAAAGTAAAATACCGTACAAGTACACACTATCTTATATTTAACAGAGCAATAATGATTACAACACAATTTGTTAAAATGTTTCCTTCAATGTAGACTACGTGACAAATTATATTAGTTTTTATTTCCATTTATCCACAGTGTCACTTGTACTTTTTTTTTAAACACTTCTAGGAACAACAGGACTCCAACTCTAAAACAGGATGTTAAAAAGCTGTTTCAGTTTCTGCTTTTTTTGGTGGTTTCTAAATCTAAGGCAGAAAGAAACATTTTGGAAACTAATGTTTTCTTTGAAAATACTCTGTAGGAGTGTACTGACTAGCAAGATCAATATCCATATTTGTGTTTGACTTAAAGGTAATATACATTATACAACATTTGCTTTTGTTGTAATTTTCAGAAATGGATGGATTTGGCGGTTAGTAATTTATAGCAAGTATTGTTACACTGACCTGTTTAAAATTTTGTATTCATAGATGCTGGAAAAACCAAGAAAATGCCGTTCTTGTAGTCTGGTTCCCTGACCCTACCCCAGACAAAACGGAGCACTTTATAGACATCAGGGAATTGTCAGGTCAGGGAACCAGACTAGCTGGCTTGTACCCGTTACCGATTGCACACAAAACATGGACCAACGTAATTTGTAAATTGAGGGCAGTATTTGAAAAAAAGTCAGTTTTTTCCTAATTGATGCAACAATTCCACTTTTCTTGAAAATGACAGCACACCAGGTGCCATGATTTCACAGGATGTTTCACTTTTCTTGAAAATGACAGCACACCGGGTGCCATGATTTCACAGAATGCTTGAGAGATGAGACTATTATTCACTTACAGTTAAGTAAGGTATTTCATAATAATTGGGTAGTTTTGTTTTTGGATGTTTGTAAATGTTGTATAGGCCCCTATAACCTTTACTTTTATGAAATATTTGATGAAAAGAAGTATTGGCCTTTTGTAGCAGGGCAAATCTTAATATCCAAATACACTGTCACATCTAAATGCAAAAATTCATCAAAGAAGACAAGCTCAATTCGGCAGTGGGTTTGGTCCAAAATTCAAGCCTAAATCAATGCATGGCTATATTGTGCTTTACACCAAGAGTACATATTTCTGGGTACATTTGAAAATTATTTGACCTACGTTGACTAGTTTAACACAAATTTAGAAGAAGAAAAAAAATGATTAATTTCTTTGGGGTGAAAAAAAAAATTTTCCCAAAGAAATATTGTAACCTGGCACTAAATAAAAACATGTCGAAAACATATTTTCAAGTAGAGAAAGGTCTATGTTGTGCGCTTTCTTGTGATTTGCGCAATCATAAGAATGCGCATGCACATTCTTATGATTGCGCAACCGGATCCTTGCGCAATCTTCGCAAAAAAAACTCTTCCAGATTGAGCGCACATTCTTAAGAATGTGTGACAAGATAACGGTCTTGTCGCTGCCGACCACCGGCTATGCTTGGCAAGTCTAGCTGCATTCTTGTTCACTGATTCTTAACAATTATACTGTTGCAAGGCAAGGTCACTTACCTAGGAAAAGATTTAACGATGAAAAGTAGAGTGGATATGAAAGTACACGTATTCGGAGGACCGGGAAAAAATAAGAGACATAATAATTGTGTAGTGGAAAGAATTCTGATTTTTGGGATAACAAAATCGTTTTTTTCGTGACATGCATATGATACATACAGGGACTTGTAACTTGTCTAGCCTAAACAAAGCACTTCCCAGACTACTTCCCAGTCCTCCGTTATTACAAAACTTCCCATAGTGGGCAGAAAAAAGCAATAATATTTAACAGGTTTAATTTGATTCAAATTATCGTAGTTATACGAGTACAGAAGCATAGATCATTTTCTTTCCTCGTTATATGAATTATTTCCCCTTTAACCGCTATACACTTCATTTAACATAATTATGCCGTGCAATGTTTGTTAAGATTGCGCAATATGCGCAAGTGATATTCCCATGCAATCTTCAGAATGAGTGCTCATTCTTCAGATTGCGTGCTCATTCCTAAGAATACGCGCTCGTTCTTAAGAATTCGCGCTCATTCTTAAGATTGCGTGATTTGCAAGAAAGCGCACAACATATATAAAGTTGTGCAGCAAGCATTTCCATTGTTTACGCAAATAAAAGGAAACAGAACGACAAAAATGTGTTCTTTTAAAAAGTGGTTAGAGCTCGTCTTGACAACTTTTTCTCCCACGTGATGCAGAAGATATCTTTATTTATGCCACAAGGTCCAATCATAGGTCCAATTAACATGAACAAGAAATTGGTAATAAATAGTTACTCACCGAAATTACCACAGGACAGCTGCCCAAAATAGTCGCTGCAAACTGCCCGTACGTTCGTACGATGAATGCTTTGAAAAACAAAAGCATGCGTGCGTCAATACAACTTCTCAGAGCTGAGTGGGCACGAAAAAACTGGTTAGAAACTGAACTTTCGGAGGGCCTAGTTCACTCAAACGGATCAAAAGTGCCGGCGAGTACCCAAGGAATCAACAGTTAAAATGTTGAGGATTGTACTCTGTGAATATCACGGGGTAAACGCTGACACGAAATAAAGAGATTGCGTTGACCCACTGACCTACTTTGTGTTCCCAAGAAATGAACCGTCTGATGACCTTTATTTCCATTGCCCTTTAGCTTGATTAATTACAGGGATTGCTCTCAAGTTGCTGGTGACCTGAGGGTGTGCAAAGCAACGGCGCGCGTGAAAACAACTGGGTCAAGTTCTCCCGCGATGATGGACTTGCAGCCAATCAAATCTTGGAACAATTCCTTAAACTACATAGAATTGACAGAGGGCGCTATTCTATTTTCTGGTTTTAGCTGGCGCGGCGTCGTCTGTTGTTATGCAGAGTTTCTATCATCTGTGGTGTTTTGTTGCATGCAGAGTTTCTAATGGTGTTGTGATATCCTACTGATTCATTGCAGGTATTTAGGTAAGCAAACAGAGCCTGAAGATGAGGAAAATACCACTACACTCATGTGACTTAAAGTTAAATGTGAATTGATGTGTACAAATTAGTTGACCAAATATATGCAGTGGCTATCGTAACGGCGAATGTCGGACACTTCGCCCCATTTGCACGTCGCCCCATGTCACTTCGCCCCTAACCACTTCGCCCCATCCCCACATCGCCCCATCCCCACATCGCCCCATTCCCACATCGCCCCATCCCCACTTCGCCCCATTCCCACTTCGCCCCATTCCCACTTCGCCCCATCCCCACTTCGCCCCAGCCGTTACATGTAAAAAAAAAATCTCATTAGATTCACTAATTGCTAACCAACGGAAAGAATTAGCCCATCACCAAATGAACAATTCATAACCAACCTTTCAAGCTAGGCTCTCCCCTACCGAGAAAAAAGCTTGAAGTAAAAGATCCAACTTTGTTCCCAACCCGGCTATACCAACCCGTCTCCCACTTATCTGAGAACGACAATACCTTTGACATCCTAATTTCACTCTTTGAGGAACCAATCTCATCTAAATGAAGTTGTAAGTGTCACATATCAGACAAATTTTGACGGAACATTTTCCTCAAGGCAGTGAGTTCCTTTTAACTCACTGACCCATACCTACGGATTCTTTTGAATCCAGCCGCTTCCAGCGGCTGATGATTCACAAGCCAATAGGAGAGGCGTCTCTGAATGGGATAGAGCCATCATTTCTCTCATCTGTGTCTCGAGCACCTCATCAGAGAGTTTGTATTTTTCCTAAGTTTCTAGAATTGGGAGCATTTATTATCTGGGGTCTTTGGCAGTTTATTTGGTCTGCACCCCTAGCCTTCACCTTTTTCATACTACATGGGGCGAAGTGGGGATGGGGCGAAGTGGGGATGGGGCGAAGCGGGGATGGGGCGAAGCGGGGATGGGGCGAAGCGGGGATGGGGCGAAGCGGAGATGGGGCGATGTGGGGATGGGGCGAAGTGGGGATGGGGCGAAGTGGTTAGGGGCGAAGTGACATGGGGCGACGTGGAAATGGGGCGAAGCGTCCGACACCCGTAACGGCTGTCATGGCGGTATCGGGACAACTCGTACCCGGGACAACTCGTACCCGGGACGACACGTACCCCAAATTTGTGACCCGGGACAACTCGTACCCGAGACGACTCGTACCCGGGACAACTCGTACCCGGAACAACTCGTACCCGGGACGACTCGTAGTACCTTGTACTTTTCTTACCATTTACTTTTCTGTTCCTTTTTAGTTAGATGTAATTGACAAATCCGAAGATGTGGAAAACCAAAAGCCGTTGAGTTTTGGGGAATTGCCAGTGGTGACAAGCAAGAGATTGTTCTGGAGAGATTCTGGCAGCTGGCCGATGATCGTGGAGTTCGCCAAATTCGCGGAAGGAGCTTTAGCAATCATGAGCTTCGTAACTTATTTGATCTTCATTTATTGCAAAAACTTATTTCTAAAATAAGTGGACCGATTCATTAAAATTATAAAAATGTTACATATGTCACCTTCTACACTTTTTATGACATTAATTTTGATAACCATCAACAATCCCAGTAGCGTGTCAGTCTTTTGCATAATTATGTGAAATAATTCAAAAGTCACTTAATTAGAATTGTTAGCTTAGTGAGTAGCGTGAGATGCCATGTTTCACGCGTCATTGTGTTCCCGTTTGCAGGGCTATAACGCCAGCTACTAGGGCGGAGTTTGCTCGTAACTTATTTGATCTTCAGTTATTGCATTACTAAATAAGTGTACCGAGTCATTATGAAATGTTACATAATAATGTCACCTTCTACAGTTTTTATGACATTAATTTTGTCTTTCATTTCATGGGGTTTTATTTTACGGGGATAACTGACTCAATCAACACAAATTATCATACCATCAACAATCCGAGTAGCGTGTCAATCTTTGCCTATGTGAAATAATTGAAAAGCCACTTAATTACTATTGTTAGCCTTGTATAAGTAGTGTGAGATGCCATGTTTAGCGAGTCATTGTGTTCTGGCCCAATGGATAGTTCTGAAGACGCCGCTCCCGTTTGATCGGGGCCGCCCACGCCAGCTACTGGGGCGTGCAACCCCGATGCGTGGAACGCGACGTCGCCTATTGGGTGGCGGCTCTTCAAAAAAAGAGAAATCTGGAAAGCGATTGGTGGATTAAAAAGTGCCCAGAATCGCTGCAGAAGCCTGCAAAGTCTTCATCGGTTTATTCCAGTCTCTATTCACATAATTCCCAAAAAGAGATTGCATCAGAGTTTCTGAAACGGAATGAAAATAAAACAGTATTAAAAAAAAAAAAAATCTTTAGGCCAACAACAGAGAGACCTATTTAAATGAAAAACTTCTTCTCTATTTAAAAATGAAAAACGGAAATAAAATAATTGAATAATAATTGGTTGAAAATAAGTATGATAACAGTCGGCACAAGTAAGGCACAGATACGAGTACGCTGCACAGTGTTTTATTTTCAGACGGGTACGAGTTATCTCGGGTACGAGTTGTCCCGGGTACGAGTTGTCCTGGGTACGAGTTGTCCCGGGTACGAATTGTCTCGGGTACGAGTTGTCATGGGTACGAGTTGTCTCGGGTACGAGTTGTCCAACATTCGTCATGGCCATGATGGCTGTCAACCACCTTGATTTAGTTGATGAAATATTCCATGTCAGCATCTTTTGCTCTTGGAACCAGACTATCAAACGAATGGTACTCAGACTGTATTTCCCTTTAAAAAAAACATCCAAAGCCATAATATGGATCACTAAGAAAAAAATGAAATCTACTGCAATAAAAAGTAAGATTTGATTAAAAACATAAAAGTAAAGAAAGCGTTAAAAGAACGCAAAAAAAAAAGAAATTCTCACAAGCGTGAATTCCTTCCATTTTTTCCAGGTACCTTGTGTATGGTAGTCCAACATTTAACCATGGAGGTAGGATAAGATTGTGATATAGATTTGCAATGGTGTTTTTGTAATGCCGTAACGATAGCAGATGACAATCGTGTTATGGCTGCGTAACGATAGCCACTACAAAAAACTAATGTAAGAGAAAAAGGAAAGAAAGAACACAGTAACGAATCTTTAGTTTCTCTATCATAATTAGACATGTTCATCACCATGAACTAACCAAGGCAAAGACATCAAAGGCAAACGCTACCTTATCCATCACCATGGCAGACCTGAAGGAAGACTGGATCGATTTTGGCAAATTGGAGAAGGAACTTGATGCGGCTGTGGAGAAAGACGCTCGATACTGGCGAGAGAACGACGCCAAATTTCGTGCTGTGGACCAGCGGGTTGAGACGTATGAACAGTTTAGGTGAGACCAGTGGGTGTGGGAGGCGTGATTTGGGGGAGGGAGGGGAGGGGGAAGAGTAAAAGGGAATCAAAAACTCTGACCTCCAACTCTTTGCAGCACACCAGCAAGTCTCATATCTCTTTGAATGAGAGATTCACCACCCAGGGATGTAGTCGAGTCCATCACAAGTCCCTGGAAGTCTATCACAAGTCCTCCAGTCCCAATTCAACTCAAAGGAGCTTAGACAAAGGCATTCCTTTGTAATTGTTCATCCACTGTTACTTGTGACTGGACTTATAAACTGACTTGTGATTTACTTGTGACTGGGCTTGTGATGGACTCGACTTCATCCCTTTCACCACCTGTCTGTTTAAAAATATTAGGGTTTTAAAAATATTTAACCCTGTTTCATAGCTGGTAAATACCACTGAAGCACTTTTGCGCAACAGTTACAAAGCAGTGTGGGAGTGCAGAAGTGTCAATGCCTTTGGATTTTCCCTCCCACAATTCTATAAGGCAACTTTTGATATCAGCCCAGTGATTTCTGTGAAATCAGCCAAGCAGTGTTTATGATAAAGCCTATTCCAATATTTGTCAAGTACTCATACATGAAGTTGGACCAGTGTTGCACTTTTTTTGGATCCTATACTTGTGTGATGCAGGGTATGCTTATATTCTAGTTACATCCTGATTGTGAAAAAGACAATCTGCTTGTTTTGGGACTGAAATTCTCATTACGCTTTCAAAGAAATCAAACTTGTGTGAAAAAAAATCTACTTGTATCCCAGAGAGAGTTTTTCCAAACATACATGTACACAATCTACTCTGCTAATCTATACGCAACTTTTTTTTACAATGAGGTGTTTATCTCAAATTAGGTTTTGCCCTTCACCGACGTTTAAACACTGTATACTCAGTGTGTTACCTCCCGAGTGAAAGTTGGAAAAAATCACTCGGGTGGGATTCGAATCCATCACGACCTCCTGCTTTCTAGTGCAGATGGGTGGTCGAGTGGTAAGACATCTGCACTAGAAAGCAGGAGGTCGTGGGTTCGAGTCCCACCCGAGTGATTTTTTCCAACTTTCACTCGGGAGGTAACACACTGAGTATACAGTGTTTAAACGTCGGTGAAGGGTAAAACCTAATTTGATTTATATCACCCCGATGCAAAATTCCATGTTATAAGAGTTGTTGATCTGAATACAGGGATATAGTGAAAGCTGCTCACATCAAACCGTTGGACAAGAAGGACAAGATTGGGGAAGGGAAACGCAACCAACCGTGGAACCCTTACACCTCAAAGACGGCAGGTGCAGAGCCTCCCAAATCTGAGGACTTCTCACGAAAGGTAGGGTCATGCGACTAGTTATTGGTAAATAAATACTGTATGGAATTTGAAATCTTTCACTGAGAGTGCAGATTTTTATAAGAACTATCCGAAGGTAGTGTTCAAGTTGAGTCCATCACAAGTCCTCAAGTCTTGCAGTCTCAAGTCAAGTCAGAAGGTATCGCCATGAACTGCGACACTCATGTTACCATTTATCCCCAGTTCAGGCTTGTGACTGGACTTACGATGTGATTGGACTTATGATTCGTTACTTACTTTTGACCAGACTCTACAACACTGTCTGATGCAAAGGCACAATGACCTGCTGAACAATGGAACATAAAAGAAGAGGGGGGGATGTTTAGATTACTTAGAATTTTAGATGACCTTGATGATTTATGTCCCAATATGAACATTTGTTTTTCAACAGGAATCCAGCAGTCTCCCCAAGACCAGCCACGAATTCACGCGAGATTGGAAATCGCGCTGCAAAACACCCAGCGAGAAGTACCACTTACTCATGAGTCTCGGAGGCGAGCAACTGGGTCACATTTTTAGAGCCGAGATAGGCTTTGGTCTCCTAGGCGACTTCGTAACAGTGATGAACAAGGAGTTCCAGGGGAGCAATTTGCATTGCATTGTGGGTATCCTTGGGAGTCTGGCGAGAGCAAACCGGTTTGGGCTGTCGGTGGATTTCCTAAGCAAAACAGAAAGACAAGAGTGTGTGGAGTTGTTTCAGAAACTCCAACAAGCTTCCGAGGTTCAGGAGGAAAGTTCAGCAACTGCAAATGTCCCAAGCGATTCCAGAGCTGAAGAAGTGCCTTCAGAGACAGCAGTAAGTGCTGAACATCAGCTGCATCAAACGTTTAACGAAGGAACTGACACTGTTCAGGAGAAACTCACTTCACTGAGAGAAGTTTACAAGTTATGAGACAAGTAATTCAACAGTTTTTAAAGATGAGTCGTGTTTAAAGCTATGTTCCAAGAGATTGGAATTGCATTTATTTCTGTGTAAAAGTTTGCATCGTCAACCTGCTCTCTCTACCTTGGGCAGCACAGGTCACAAACCACTTGCACATAGCGCCCTCAATAGGCCAGGTTTTGTTACTGATTTCAGAGAAGATGAAAGTGAAAGGCATCACAGAACAAAGGCCAGTCCTTAGAGCCCTTTTAGCAAGAGTCAGGTTTGAGGATTCAAAGTTGCAAATGTTTATTCATTGTGAGTATAGCATGAATATGCAAAACAGCATGTACATAATTTGAAAACTCAACTATTTTATTGCCTTGGTAATATATGCCATACTGATTGTGCCACGCTATGGATTGCCAATAGCCATGAGCCATAATGACGTCACGCTTTGTTTACATGTGCACTTTCTTGTGAGAGCCAGGTAGAGATGAGAGCCACCTAGCTCCCATAGGAAAGCAGATCATGACGTCATTATGCCACAGGTTTATTTGGCAAATTAATGGCATCTAGGATCATTTGCATTTATCCCAAAAGTAACCTACCAAATTATTATTATCAAAAAGCTTACTTGGAATAAAGATCGTACTGGTGCCAAACAACCCGTGAAGTTATTCTGTTTGGATCGCTGTCATTTAGAAGACATCAAGAAATGTAGGTGACTTCCAACGATCAGTCAATTGACTGATTTTTGGAATAAAAGAGAAGTATTGACAAAATCAGGTTTCCTGATCAAAAGGTTGTGCATGGTTTTGCACAGTTTTCTCAAAAAATGTAGTATCCACCGAGTTGAAACTTCAACAGGTTGGGTTTTGAACAGCTTTCTTTGGATTTTGAGTGGTGTTATTATTGGAAACAAACAAACATGCATGAAAAACAAATGATCCGATATACCTGTGAATCAGCCATGTGCACTGAAATATGACGCGGCCCACTTCTTTGAATGAAAGGATAGTTCAGCTGGAAGTACCGAAATTGGAATTGCCACCTTTCTCTTTGTTAAAAATATTATAAAATTCTTCATCACTTTGAAATACTCTTTAGACAACAAAAACCAAAGGAACAAGACAACACAGTTACAAGCTCATCAGAAACATATCATTTATTTATTTGTTTTTGTTTTTGTTTATCTTTTGCCTTTGTACATGCAGGTAACTGATGCTAAACAGACAAGCCTATGGCATTCATTTGTCACACAAATCGACTTAAAAATATTTCTGGCGTGATTTTTTTTACATTTTTAAGAAAAAGTACCTTCATTATGAGGTACAATATTTATTGACAAGATTTTTAAATTACATGATCTCCAAAGTTGTTATCACAAAACACAAAACTACATGTATATCACTTTTAAAAAATAAGGGACAGAATCGAATATTTACGGAGGTGACTTTTTTGGTATAAAGATACATTTGCCATGTATAAATTTACATGCAGTATGGTGCAATAGGAACAAGTATTCAACTACGGACTTGATTATTAAGGGGTGATATAGTGGTAATGTTAAATCAATTACATATTAACATAAATACACAGACACTTCATATGCTTAAAGGAATCATTACAAGGAAAAATTATTATCTTGAAAACGTCCCTTTTTCAGTGCACCAGCTGAAATTTTTTTTTAATTCATTCGAAGAAACAACTGTGTTAAATATGATACATAAAAGAACAAGTTTGGGCTTGTGCCTAATTTGAAAGGTCCTGATACATAATTTGAATTCAAGGATTTTAACAATGAAACTGCTTTCTCGTAAAGGCTTTCTAAAAACATTTTTGTTTTGGGGTTACTTTGCTTCTTTTTTGGATACTTCAACATGATTCATGTTCAAACCCTTAATAGACGACAATGCCTGTGACGACTACTTTGTTACCTATAAGAGTACATCTTGCCACATTTATAACGAGCTTTACTCAATTCAAATATGGAAATTTAGAACCATAACTATCTCAAGTCATTGTTTTCCGTCTGTTTAGAACAATTTACCTTACGCAATCTTTCCAATTTCACTTTTAAAATGCTACAATCTACATGTATGTAGAGTTGATATAAGTGGAAAATAAAACGCAACATTTTCAGTGAAATTAACAATGGGTATTTCAAATTGAAAAGGGAAGGAATTAGAGAAACACGAGAAACATTATTTCAGCACAGGAAATGCAAGATCTTCAACAAAAGTGAACATTCTGGATTTTTTTTTTCCATTTTAATAGTTCATGATGCAAACTGAAACTGAAAATCTAAAAAGTATGCAAAATCTAAAGATGTAAAAATGCTTCAGTAAGACTCATGGGTCAGTATGATTACCCGGAAATAGTTTTACATATTTTTTTAAAAACTTTTTTTGGTTTCTGGAATATTTTCTGTGATGCATGTAGTTGAAAAGAAAAAACAAATGGTGAGACACTTGATATACATTTCTGACTTTACGAGAAAAACTTAAGTATAGAATTTCTTTTCACTATCTTCTATAGATTACTTTTCTTTTACTCAAAAATCAAACTCCAAAATTCGCTTTCTACGAGTAATACTAAATCATTTTTTTAAAGCTTTAAGCCAGCAACAAAAAAAATGAAAACACAACAAAGGCTGATGTTCTATCAGAAAAAGGAGGAAATATGTCAACTACATAGGATTATGGCACATGATTCATAGTGGTTATACACTTTTTTTTCATTGGATGAACTTTCTATATCTCATACAGCACTCATTTTTCAAATGAGATTCAAAGTAAAAGAACAAAAGATCTATAAAAAAAAAAAAAAAAATTACAAAAATGAACAGTGTTAAGATTCGGAAATATAGCATGATTTTTATCTCTTTACATAAAATAGGTTTGCAAATCTAAAATCCAGTTATACTCTGCTAATACATTTGATGTGACACTATGGCTAGCGTGGTATTTTTTCTGATATAGCTTTCAATAAGAAATCAGTGAAGTTGTCATAAATATCTTAAATACTTCTTGTGGACATGTTTCCAGTTCTAAAACAAAAGCCCAGCTTTTAAGGATACACCGTATCATCGTACTATCATTCACAGGCATTTCTACAATATAATTTCAGGTAAAAGAACAAGCTTTCAATAATCTACATTGATGAAAACTAAAAAGTTTGATCACGCAGCTTGCCGACACATTTTCAATTTGATCAGTGTTTTCAAACCACACAAAAGGAAGAGATCAAAATGGGAGAATAAAATATATATAGACAAACAAGACACACAGATAAAACTAAAATGGAGGATTTTCAATCCAGGGGCTGATAAACTCTTTATACATGTAATGATTGGAATCAAGGGAAATTGATGAGTTGTTGTATTATTCAAGAGACGCTTACATAAACTTCAGTCATTTCACTGGCATTTACTGGCCGACGACATCGATATAAACTTCATTTGTGGTCATATTACATCACTTCAAAAGAAAGGCTCCACCACATAAAACTTTCAACAAACCAAAAACAGAACATAACAATCTAAGTATGTTAACACAAGTCTTAGTAATACTAAGACACAATGACTTCATTTATGGTCAACAAGTTTGCCAGGTGTCCTGAGCATTCAGTAAAAAGACTGAATACCAAATATTTGACCCAGGTCAAAGTCTAAAGGTCAGACAGTAAAAGTATCGGATGATTTCCAAATATTCTTTACGACGAATCCAGGCACATGATCACTGTACACTCCGGGGCCCCCTTCAATGGAGAAACCATTGTGTATGCTATTGTAGAAGCTCCTGCCCTGTGACTGATCATCTGAACAATAGCTAGCACAATGCTTTCGCCATTGAAGGGGGCCTCCATGATAGAAGTGCTATTGTGCCCAGTTTGGTCTAAACGATGGTTACAAAATGTTTCCGTTTGGTTTCCTTCAAAATCCACAAATTTCAAAGCATTAAACAGACTCAATATACATCTGAAGATGAAAAAGTACGGGCATTTTGTTTAAAGTGGCACTTGAGGTTGGATTGTGATGTTTATTTGATAGAAAAGTGAACTAGTGGAAGAGCTCTTGATGCAGCAAAGATCATCAACCCTGAAGTCAATTCAGGTGCTCAAGTACTTCAATTCTCTCCAAAATCCACTTTGTACTTGAGTAACGTCTTCTTGTAGATGAAGCTGGGTGATCAGCTCAAGATGGCCATGAGGACATATCCTGAGCGTGCTGTGGTTCACGTGCGCACAGAGTATGTACAATCAATTTAAACTGAATTTGCAGCAACTCGGAGCTTTGCCACATGAGAGGGTCACATGTAAACATCTACACACGATGGAAATGACATATACTTGTCCTCTATTAACAATAATGTTTCCCATTTCCACCAGTAATTCACAGAGCCCATTGTCAACTATGTGGAGCAACCAATTCCATATACCTGCAAACTCCCAAATACTTAAGAAACACACCTACGTGAAGTTAGCGGGTACATCTTTTAGAATTCTAGCTGTTCATATACTCTGTGCGTATACCCCTGTGCATATACCCCCAGTGGTATAACTAACGTACTTGAGGGGCCTACACACTGGAAAATAGTACCCATGTACGATTAGTATGTGGTCCACAACAAAACAACGCTGTGTCACAAGGATCAACTTTTTGGGGGCCGCTGCACACCTGGCACACAGTTCACCGTTCAGTCACTGTACAGCTGTGTGTCAAACACTAGCACTAAAACTTGCAAAATTGTCTTCAAAAACTTTGAACAAGGTTTGTTTTGATATTGTAGAAACAAATAAAGGAAATGTGTTGGCCCACGTTTGGTGTGTCAATGGCTTCCCACAAAATACTTAAGTTATTGATAGAGTTCAGGCATTTCAGTGGCTGTAGGGTTAACAAGCATGCCAGTGTGCAGTCCAATTTACACATATTATTTGGTTTGTGCGTACCTCATGCATCAACCTATCAATTACATTCAGCATCCATTCAAATAACCAAAGCCACAATTAAAGGAATCCTTTAAAACCTTTTTTAAATTTCTTCCAAATTCTATAAGCTACTTTGGTTTGGGAAGAATTACAGACATGTGTTAATAACCATGAATATATCAAACCTCATCATGTCTTCAAAACACCTGGTTGTATGTATACATGTACTTGACTGCTCAAGTACGCAGACACAATCAGCGTGTCAGCATTCTATGTAACACACTATATATGAAACGGTATATACAAGGATATGAAAACTCACATCATTAAAGAATGTCACTGGTAGAAATACAGATTTAAGAAGTTAGGCTAAAGAAAAAAAAAACGTTTTTTGTGCTACTTATTGCTCCCTCATCTTGACCTTGTCAATCAGATCAGAGTGCCCACTGCAACAGGACGCAAACTTCAAATCTGTGTCCATCTACCCCACTCAACTTGGGTGTGTTTTAACTCATTTCAGAGGGAAAAAAAATAAATCAATAATAAATCACAAAATATAACCAATTTGATGCTCTTAAAAATCTGTGACTTTTAGTCATGTTTCCAACCTAATCATCCCAAAAATATTTTAATGCAGATGTCCGCCTGTTTTTAAAACAGACTTTCATTTGCATTTCAAAACGAATTTCAGTTCTCAACAGTTTCTTGGCAACTACCTTTGTGCTTTTTGCATTTGAACCACAATTTTTTTTTTTCTGCTTCGTGACCCAATGACACGCCAAGATATTTCATTCAAAAACAAAACAAGGAATAACAAAAAAGAAATTTGTATCAACTCTGCAGAGCACACTCACAATTCACAAACAAGCCTGCCCATTGGCTGCTCCGTTTATAACACGCTCTCTGATTGGACAATCCAAATTAACTCAACCAACAGGAATTCTTTCTCATCAATCTGCAGAAACGCCTTTGTTGTGCATTCCCATAAAATAAAACTACTGTGTACAACATGGAGGGTACTTAAATACTGAAGACGTAGACTAGTTGAGAAAAAAACTGGGTGCTTCCAACAGTGAACAGGATTTTACCCATGGAAACTTGCATTGAAACTTCCATTAAAATTAATCTCATATATGCAAATGCAGTGGATCTGATTGGCTTATCCTACACACTGTCAGCCATTACTGTCTTCTCATTGGTTGTCGGCTCTGTCAATCATTTCATTGATGAGGGCAGGGAATTTGTTGGGTAATTCTAACTTGAGGTTGAGTACTCTTTCAGCACCTGTTGGGAAAAGGAAGGAATTATGAAAAATGTATTGGACTGTAACAAGAAACGCTTCTTTTTAGGAAAGGATTCCTGTAGAAAGAGTGAGTTTCAAATGTGTGAGTGCGTAAAGGAGACATATCCACCAGTAACATTTCCACAGGCTAGAGGCCCCTTGACAATATCCAAAATCTCCATGATGGACCAAGGTTGAAACCCAGAGTTTTTGGCGACTCCTTCCACACTAGCAAGAATCTAACATGACATCTACATGGGCCCATGCTCTATACGGGTACAATGAACCCTTGATTGGGACCAGGATTAAGAGGCTCTACCAGGGTAGACAGGCCAAAACTAAGGCTGATCCATGTACACACCGGTGTCAGTGTGAAAGCTATGCCTTGGTGGAAGTGTTGGACTGGGCCCAGTTTTACCCACAGGGGACCCAAGTTGATCTTAACCGTTAGGCAAGATGGTATTGTGAAAAGGACTTAACGCTCCTTTACACGTCCCAATCTGTACTTACTCTTCACGCTGATACTTCGTAAGTCGGTGATCTTCATCAATATTTTTGCAAAGATATGTGGCTCTAGAGGGCGGCGTTTCTTGACGTATAGTCGCAGACCCTCCAGGAGGGGTTCCTGGAGTTTCTCTATTTGAACAGGATTCTCCAAGCCGGAGCGATCTATAACATGAAAAGACAATGAATGGTGATAGGGGTGTTTAGGGTTAGTATACGGTAACAAGGTCCAATGCTTTCTTCGGCAAGAATTGTAACTATTGGTGGACAGGAATTAATTCTTTCTGAAACTTGATCTCCAACAGTTACATGTATCTCTGTAGCACTTTCTGTCATTTTGACAGTGAGCTATGACTCCAAAGCTACATGGATGCCCTTAGAAATCTTTGCTGATGGAAAAGTTAAGAGTACACTTGAGTGCTCCAGGACACATGAATTGTTATACACTCTAAAATTAGCTAACCAATGACCATATCAGAACCAGGATCCAGTGTAGGCCATCAGCCTCGGTCCAAAATGTTGGCCACCGGTATCAAATGAGGGGAATAATCGTCATCGCGATTTTTGGCAAGGTATACACCTCCAGAGTTGGAAAATATGTGATAGCATTGCAGCGGTGGCAGCTTTTTGGGCGTTATCACCCTTTTTTTCAAAATGTCCATCAAAATGCTTGTTACCACTCTAGGGGTGGTATACCTTGCGCATGCGCACTATAATCATTTATGCCCTGATTTGATACTGACCAAACCCCCGGGCTGATTGTCTAGTGTGCAAATCGGTCATCTCTGGCTGTGGCTTTTGCAATCAGCCCATCATACTGACTGTCCAAAGCAGTGGCTATTCAGTATCCATGTGAGACAGCCTCACTGCCCAGTTGGACCCAATCTCATGGAGCTGTTAAGCAGGACATATTTGTGTGCTAAGCAAAAAAAACAGTGGGGTACCAGTCACAAGTACCAGTCACATTGCATGGAAGTTTGGCTGGTAACCTGCTTTTTGCTAAACAGATAATGGTCTGTGCTAAGCAAATTCTATGCTAAGCAGCTCCAACATGAGTTGTTTGTAAGACACAGAGCCCATTTAGGAATTTGTGCCCATCTAAGATTCTTTTACCTCCACTCATTATGAGACATCTATAACAAGTAAGTACACCTCCGTCTCACTAATCTCGAGCAATATAATTTTACAAGATACAGAGCCCATGCAGGAATTTGTGCCCATCTAAGAATCTTTTACCTCCACTGATGAGACATATGGCAGATAGCAATGACACCTCAGTCTCATCAATCTTGAGCTTGGAGATGGCCGTCGCAAACTGAAGGATGGTTTCCAGCAACCCACCGAACCCACCGCTCTTCAGCTGACTCTGACTCAGCTTAAGGCCGCTAGTGAACGTCACGCTGCCGTCTTCCATGTTGAAACGGGAGCTAATCCTGAGAATCTGTTGGAAAGGAGACGACAGTCAGGATGGATGGGGGAAGAAGGGATATGGCCTTTATAGAGTTGCCAGACAATAAAAGCCATTAGTGAAATGGCACCAAGTTCACGCACAGGTGGTATGTACACACTCAGTGCTTCCTCTACCATTTAGGACTTGTTAATTACAAGCGCACCTCAAATAAAGAATGCGTGCTCATAAATATGACATTACCTCAGTAATGAAAAACGCCAGGTAAGTCTATAGCATTTCTTATTTTGGTTGACCTGAGATCTGGCAAAATAAAAGGGATATAAGTGCGGTTCATTGACTTTGATCAATGCAATTCTTTCATCCCTGCTGATCAACTCGACCGACTTCTGAAAATAACACACAAGGACACGAGAAGATATTTTTGCTCTCCTAACTTACCCAAGTCCATAAAAATCTGCTCCTACATGTAGACTTTTCAGAATTGTGATGGATCAGAAATGAATACCGCAGAATCATTTAGTTAACAAGACACTTTTTTGTGCAAAGACGGTGCCTTGGAGTTGGACTCAGTGACCCAGTCAGTCAGATAGCCAGTCAATCAATCAGAGGACAATGGAATAGCAATTCAAGTCCAGCTTAAAAGCCAAGAGAGTTAGGGTTAAACCTAGGCAGAGAGAAATGCTAAGACGCTCGTCTTGAGAGATACGTTCAGGAATATGAAGCTCTTACCATGATTTCTAGGCATGCTGCCTTGAGCAACGTGATCTGGTCTTGAGTGGTTAGTCCCAGGAACCCGGGCAGCTTCTTAGCAAAGTCTACAACCATGATGATGGCTTTAGAGGACATGTCTGTCACATAGTTAAACAATGTCAGATTGGTGTCCTTCACGTCTAGTTGCATCGGCGATTCTTCAGGCTACAAGAGAAAACAAGAAGAACGGTTTATTTCGGGTTGCCGAATTATCATGTCACAGAAAAGTTATAGACCGTATCCGAATGACTTGGCTGCGGCTAGCAGTAACATACTAGTATATGGGTAGTGGCTACAGCTGCTCCCATAGGTGTTTGTGTAATTGTTAGCCACAGCCTTATAATTCTAATGCGGCTATACTCACATAAGCAATGTACAAAGCATAATATTTGCTTCAAATGGTTGCAAGTTAAAACGCCAAATACTAATTTTTTTTCTGGTTGGTTCTCTGCTCACCAAATGCATGTATACAAAACATGTTTGTTTAAGTTTAGCACTTCAAATTAGATTCTGCTGAATATACGTGACAGGTACAACTGTACTTATATCTTTGGAAACTCGTCAATGACCCAAAAATGTGCAGGGACGTGAATAACAGGAAACGTCAATACATCTTTGTAAAGGATCATCTTATTTTGAAACAGGTGAAGGAGTGCAGAAGAAATGTGCATAAATGATGGCAGGGAATTAATTGAACTTTTACGTACACGTTAGATATATGTACGTTTGCTATTTATTGTGTTTTTGTCATGACATAAAACAATCCAGTCTTCGCCAGACTGCCACTTTTTCCTTGAACAGAAAACATTACATATTCAAAGTTATGTACGACACTTTGATGATTGAAGAGCTTCAACTCCAGGACACTTCTCAAGAATTTCTTCAAAATGGCCAGAAATGTTCAGGGACTCGAGTTTCTGATATATACCGGTACATGTACTTAAGCCTCAGCTACTCTCCATCATTTTTTAGTCTATCAGTTATATTAAGGGTGCCATTATAAGGGTGCCATTCTAAGCAGGCTATTTGGAAGCAATCTACTCAAGAACACTGTGATATGGACTCTGTCTACAAGTATCTCCTCAACGGCACAGGGAGAATTGGGGAAGATCACTGGGACATTCAAACACACTGCCGACAGTGCCTGACGCCCACGCGAAGATGGCATGTGTTTATGAAGATTTAGAATATAATTAGTCGCGCATACTTCACGCTTGAACCAGTACCGCACATGGTTTGTCCCTCCCACTAGGGCTTACAAAAGTGGTCACAAAAGTGTCATCAACTGTTTGTGCACGGAGACCACTGCATAATACTAAGCCTCGTCAAGCCAACCATTTTGCAAAGGTGAGGCTAGACATATAAACATGCTGCCAGCGATCTGCCAGCAAACCAGCCCTGTCGTCAACCCATGGAACACATACAGCACGTTGGCAATCAGCATGAAAGACCTCAGACGCCCGAAAAAACAAATACTGGGTCCCTGCAGGGTTTATGTTATGACTGCCAATGTGACACACTGAACTGACTCCTTCAGATTGTCAACATAGTTGGGCTGTGCCAATTTTAATTTTTTGTTTTAAGTGAAAGCAAGTGTAAAACGTTCACATTCCAGGTACTGTAAGTGACCTATGGGCTCCGTGCACAAGTACCCCCTCAACGGTAAGGAAGGGAGAGTTGGAGGAGACCACTTAAAGTGACATTCAAACGCATTGCCAACGACGCCTGACGCTCGCACAAAGACACAATGACTTTACTTCGTACTACTTTTTACTTCGTGTACTTCACGCCACATGTGAGTGAACCAGTACATGTACATGCACATCGTATGTCCCATCCATGGGGCTCTCGAAGATGATCAAAAGCGCCCTCTCCAGTTCGCGCACACGGAGCACATAGGACAAACAGACTACATGTTCAACTCACTCAAGCCAACTCGAACCTAGTTGCAAAGACAAACATGACTTCTAACTTGCCAAAACTACAAAATGCTTAAGTGATGACTTTAAAACAAAAAAGTTTTCAAATTGCATTTACAAAACTGTATTTCAAACCACTGCGATTAAAGAAGTCTTGTCATCTGCTTCTTTTAAACTCCACTGAGAAGTCACACATATCATTAAATTTAAACCACAAAACAGCCGCATGTAGCTGGCTAGTATCGGCTACACTAACAAGTACATGTACCATACAAGGGGTTTTTCTGCTTCACATGAGAGGTACAGATCTGCACAGTCCAAAGGGATAAAGAATAGAGCAGAAGAAACAGCGAAAGCCAAGCCCAAGTCAAGCAAGGAAACTTGTCTTTGATCAAGAAAAGAAATTTTTGATTTCCAACTGAAGAAGGCTTTCATTCAAAAGACTCCTACATATTCAAAAGAAAGATCCAAAAATGTATTCATGACTCATCATTTGGAAACTCATGATCATGTATCTCATGTTGTATTGCCATGAATTAACATTCAGTCAACAGATGGCAGTAAGTCAAACACTGATCAATAATCAAAATGACTTTCATGTTAAGGACGGTTTCACTTAAAGTTTCTATATTTTTTTAAAAATTTTGCAGTAAAGTCCGGTGGGTAGCACTGGAAAGGCAAATGCAAACGACAAAAAAAGTGAAAAATCTGTAAACGAAACTTGACAATTTTCAAGAAAGAATATTTCCCTCAGTTCCCGAATTTGAAGCCCAATCATAAAACTATTCATGTTCCCTAATGAAAACTTAATATGCATCACTCTCAATCATGCCTGAATGTCAAATTAGAAGGAAAAAGGCAACTATTCCTTGTTAATAATGCCCAGATGATCACGAATAAACCACATGCCATCTAAATAAATCAATCGATCATCGACCTCTGGGAGCGCCTGAACACATTCATGTTTGTTTCCATAGGGACAGCACCGCATGTGCAGAACGCTAACGCATGCACGATGCTCGTGTTCATGTAGGGCAACGTTAAGCCAAGAATTTAAATCACAAGTTTATATTTTCTTTGGCCCAGCATTGATTTATTTGTTTACCTACCCATACGCCTAACCTTTTGCCGTCTTGCCACAACATGAGAGGGCTCGGTTACTGTTTTTCTTTCCCGAGCGCGATCATAAAAGGAGGACGACCCTATGCGTGAAAGGTTACCCTCCAACCCAATGTGGGGAATGTGAATGTTTCACATGAGAATGAGAGAGATTTATGACCAGCAATTATTTGGGTCAACATAATGATTTCAACCTGAATAAACAGCAGGGAAAAAAAGTGTGGAGTAACAGAGTCCCAGCTTTCTGTATTCATACTGAACCTAAATCCCAGTACATGCAAGGCACATTAAATGAAAATGTAAGAGTGTTTTATTTAATACATGTACTGATTTGAAGTTTGGGACAGAAATATAAAAAGATATTAAATCGAACAAGCTTTTCACATAACACAAACATGTTCGTGTTTTGCTGGTCATAATCAAGGATACTTGTAAATGTTTATGTTTTCATGACAATTACAAATGCACTAAGAGGAAGAAATGGATTAATTTGTGTCTATTGTCTACTCTAAATACACATCTGCCTTCCTCCAAAAAAAAAGACACTAGAGATATTAAATGCAACCACAACTTTGTGTAATTGTAACAGCTCTGACTTCCTTTAAAGCTCCTGTAAGTTTGATCAACTCTTTCCTGCAGACTAGCAGTACCGGGGTGAGAACAGTCAACTCACCACAATTGTCCCTTTGAACCCACTTCAAATCCAAATCAGTCTTCCCAACCTACCCTGCCCTACTTCTATGTCCTTATGACCCAGTCACCACGGCTGAAACCGGTAACCGCACACTCCCACAAGTACATGAGGATTGGAAACCACAATCGTTGTTGGTAGCCCGTGGCTCAGATTTCTGGCAGCAACAGAGATTCAGGGTTTTTTGGCGTTTATTTCCTTCTGTTTGTTTAGTTGCAGTTGTTTTACTCAGAAAATACACGGGGAAACAACAGAAGTACATACAAAAACACTAAACCTAAAAAAAAATAACTTCAACTTTCATGAAATTGAAATTTCATGAAAGCACTTTCACAAAAATATCATTCACTCACAATCTCAAAGTAGATCACACGTATTTCAATCTTTCGAATTGGATTAGTTTCACTTTTGAAAAAGTACATGTACAATGAATGTTTTCATACAGGGGTTAATGTTCCGTAATTAGGTTTTCATTTTCGGATGAAAGAAAAAGTAAAAGTACAGGCAGACCTTGACCGTTTGGCTGTTTTCGGGATTCGATTCACAACACTAGGGCTGTTCAAACGACTGAAGAAATTACCAGAAATGACAGATTTATTCGGCCAAATAATTTTGTATTGTTTTTCCTGCTCTGGAGTGATTTACGGAGTCAGTTTCTTGACTGGACTAACCTCTTCCAATACTTGTTATAAATTACCCAGGCACTGACGGTCAGTGAAAAAATTGCAAAGTGGTGATTATGTCTCTGTGTCATTTTCTTTTTTCTTTTTTTTTGCTTTTTATGGAGAGAACCATGATCAACTTCCCCAGATAGAGGTGAAATTTCAGCCAGGCCAGGGTTCTGAGCAATTGTCACGAGTCCTCGCAATTTCCTTTCTAACCTGACAAAGATCTGTTTTTGGTTTGAGGACGGTTTTGTTTCGTAGTCCTACACAAGGTACTGATTTGATTCCTAATAACATCCCCTCCCTCCCCTAACCCCCCCCCCCAAAAAAAAAAATCTAATAAAAGAGTAGAATAGAGCGTTTGAATTTATTTCTAAGAAAGTAAAAAAAATCAAGGTACCTCTGGTCTGATCAAAATATTCTGAACTGATCGTTGTTTATAGTGCTCTTTTCATCAAACTACATGTATCTTCATACAGCTTAACCAACTACACTCCTGATATCCTTATTATTTCCATTTACTTTGACGGCATTTTTACTCTCATCCTATCACTTGGTTGATTTGTTGATTTTCAAAATGTTATCATTTTGTATACAAAAACAGAATGCCTCACTCTTGGCATGGTTCACGAAAGACAGACAAAACACCTTAGTTTGCAATTTGCATCACATTTTTGGCCACTTGCCCAACAATAAATGTGTCATACATCTATTTACATGATAGGAAATAAAGCGGTTTGGTTTATTTATGTATTTTATATCTTAAATGGTTGTTACTGTATGTAGAATCCACGAAAAGATATGTATATGTAGTAAACTCAAATGGTTCAACAACTGAAAGTCAAAATCTTCAAGGAATTTAGCATTTTCAAGTGAGCAAATGAAGACAATGGTGATAAAAGCAACATGATGCAATATAAAGGTATTTGGATCAGGCAAAATGTTGGTAAGATGACCCTAAAAAGGAGAAACAATCAGTGGTGAATGAGGCTAAAAAAGAACGATTAGGATGAAAAGGGTATTAGTCTAAGCCATGGTATGATAACATGAATGTTCGTTTTGAAATTTAGATGATTTGTATTAATGACAGGTAAATGTAAAATGATACAAGGGATGAAACAAAGCAAGATTAGCAGAAAATGCACAGGAATCTTAAAAAATAAACAGCCAAACAAAATGCCACTGAGATTATCTCGTGGCGATTTCATAGGAATATTGTGATTGGAAATTTTGTTTTTGGATTTTGAGTTTGTCCCCACCACTGTTGGCTTGACCAGGCTGGCGTTATCTCTGTTATTAGCACATCCCGCCGTCTCGCTCTTGAAACTATCCGCCACTATCGTGTGAAGATTATCGGAATCATCCTCCATGTCCTATAGATACACAAAGAAAGAGCAACGGGATGGAGGGATTCAACAAACCAACGTGGAAAAGAAAAAAGAACACAATATCTGGTGGATTTTCCTTTTGTTTTCAAAGGAGCCACCTGGATCAGTTACATTTGATGGTGTGCAGTTAATTATGTGTAACTCACAGCTAATTCTTGCAAAAAAGAATACGTAAAAGTACACGTAGGCACAGTAGGCACAGATGTGCAACAGCACTGCACTATGCCTTAAATCAAAGTTTTCTTTCAGTAAAACAAGAATTTTCCTTTTTTTCCCCCAAATGATTTAATTTTTTTAATCCCAAGATTTCGTTTTAAACAAGCGTTTAGTGATCAATGGATAATTCTTATAACCTTCACAGTGCCTTTGTTCGAATCCTGCCAATTTTCTTATCCCAACTTCGTGACCCCAAATCGGAAAATCCCCCCAAAACCTTTAAACTTCCCTTTCCAGAAAGGTTACTGCAATAAATCTCCACAAATTTCAGACCACCCACTTCCAATTTTAGACCTAACCACTTTGATAAGAAACAGCAATCAATCCCAGGTCAAGATTTTTTTTTCAGGTAAACTACCGAAAAGGGGGAAAAATGCCTGGTTGTTAGATTGCAAGTACGGTACTTTATTTTTATCCTCCTGTGTTCAACCAGATAAGCAGAAAGGAAGAGCAGTAATCACTCCCATTCCCTAATTGGAGTTCTGGGAAAATGAGCCCAAATGTTAAAAGGTCTTTCCCTGGGTTTTACTAGAGAAAATGCCCCCCACCCCCCACACCAGCTGGGTTACAATGAAGACATCACTGCATGTGATAACCCTTACTGACTGCTACCATGAGCTAAAATGCAAATTTACAAGTAACATATTATGGGAATCAAAATATATTTTGTGAACTGTGAATTCAACAACCCATTTTAAAAAGTTCTCACATTACAATTTTCTGTCTTTAACTTTTTCTTCCTTTATGCTTTTGAATAACTTAAAACACCTCCATGTAGAAGCAAGGCAATTTTTCTAGTTTCTGAGGATCTGGTTAATATTTTATTTAATTACTGCATTATCACTTTAAGCACAAGACATTTTTTACAAGGTCTTTGAGTTAGACTGTGAATGTGGCTTTGCACCCATCAGACATACATGTACATGTATTTGTCTGTGGCTATGGATAGCCTCAGTAACACACTAATGGCACAACTTGAGCTATAGCCACAATACTGAGATGGCTCATAAACATGTGACACAAAAAATGGCCACAACTGAAGTAGTGTGTACAAGTGTATGACTCATGTAGGAGTGCTCCTTCTGTGCTAAGTTCCCTCCCTCTTTTTTTAGTCTCCTTTTCTCATGTAAGGGCATTTTTTTATCAACTTCTTCTTCACCCCTAAAACAAGAGTTCAAGCTTATGCTGCTAAAAATAGCCCCAGAAGCAATTACGCTCCAAACCAAAGCAAATAAAATCAATCATGTTCAAGTCTTGAAGTGACTTAGAGACCGTAGGGTCAAGAGTTCACGCTATGCCTGGCCACAGATGAAGCCATTCAGTGGAGATTCCGTTACCGTTACCTCCTCATGGACTCTACCCAGTGTATGCAATACATGTTCAGAATAAATTGCTGCATTTTAAAGTGCTCATCCTTTTCCCAAGTTAGGGGCTTTTTTAATCCTGTGTTTTGGATTTTTCCACTAGATGCAACCAATGAATGCAAATTCAACACAGACGAGGTTTCTATGGCGTAAATATTACAGGAACACTAATGATACCAGTACATGTAAATGTACACATCCCCATTCATTTATCATCAAACCAAAGTGGAGTTTGTTAATTACAATTAATTTTCCGATTCCACAAAATTCAATGTCTTGAAAGTTTATTGTTGGGTTTCCATCACCTCAGAGTTGCGCCTTTTACAAAAATTGTTTACCGACAGATTGTAAGAAGATTTTTTTGACACTGGTTGTGGTACCCGTACCTGTATCAGATTGGAATGGGCTGTCTGAACTAAGCTAGCTCTGTGGTTGTGTGGTGCAGACGTCTGCATTGATAAGCAGGTCACGGGTTCAAGTCCCACCCAAGAAGGCTTGTCTGATTTTTTCTCACTTTATCTGTTTTTTACATTACTGATTGTATATTTTGTGCAAGCTACTGAGTAACACATGTGCAAATCGATACATTCCCGTTACTGTTCTAACACCAATGTGCCATTACCTACTAACACACAGACCACGCAGCGGGGCAATAGAACAGCACTGGTGCAGGCGTTAGACAAATAGACAAAGATGCCATATGCTACCGGTACATCAATTAGTCATCAGATCACGTTCTTTCTTTTAAAGGGTGGGGTTTTCTGACATGAGCAGCCTAATGCCACAAGGTCAAGTTCTCAAAAGGTAAAAGGTCACATATCTCTATGACCTCTTTGACTTTTCCTCTTTTTCTAACTTGTCCAAGACAGGGGCAAGATGCTTGTTCAAGATAGAGAGGAAATGCCAACCCAGCAACAATGATAACTCACCACCCAAGGATTGTTAAAAACATGCCAGACCAAGACAAGTTTACACACAACAAATACCACAATATTAATGTGCCAATTAATCCAACTAAGAGAGACAAGCCAGTTAGTCATCAGCACAATTATATTCTCTAAGCCTTTGTGAGCAGCTTTGGTTCGACTAAATCAAACAGCTGATTCCAAAAAGTACATTTCCCTTGTTTGAATGTGATTGGAACGATCTCATGGTAAAGAGTAGTTGCAGTTACAAAATGTGAAGTACCCGGTACATGTACATGTAAATAAGCCTCTGTACTGTGATGACGTCACACTTTGTTTACGTGTGCTTTCCTAGGGTGCTCAGTGGACCGTGGGCCCCCACTGGCTCCATAGGAAAGTGCACATGTGAACAAAGTGTGACGTCATCAGTACAGAGGCTTATTCTAAAAGGTCCAAGACCAACACTTCTCTTAAAGACTTCACTTGGTCTATCTGCTACCGGTACCTTTGCCCAAATTCCCTTATTAACCACTGCTTCTTGATGAACCAAAAGCAAACACACAGACAAAAACACCCAGACTGATGGAGAAAAAGAAGTTAAACACAGGGAAACAGAGGCTTCACTTAGCGGACCAACGTACCACACTGAAGGCGGGACCGATAGGGTCCGCAGGGAAGGTCTCTACATGAGCTTGAAGCACTTTGTCTACGATGTCTTCAATCTCGGGCGGTATGGTCTGACTCTCCGTTACCTCTTGCTTTACTTTCTTCTTCTTGTTCCTATCGTTTCTTACACCTGCGCAATGCGATAAACAATTGGATTATATTAGTGAGGAAAGCAACGGGTCTAAAACTACCGGGCCTAATGTTATGGTGCTTCTAAGCAGTAGATATTGATTCCTTAGCAAATACATGAACTCAGCCGAGTACCAGCCACAATTAATACACACTGTATGAAACGTTGGCTAGTAACTTTTTTTGGTAAGCAAAAATTTTCTGTGCTGAACAAATTTCTCTGATAGGCCGCTCAAGAAAGTAGTCCCTGAGATTGGCAAGGAGGAAGAAGTAAGGACTAATGGGTCTGGGGGGGAAAAAGAGAGAGGTGGTGAAATGGAAAGACGTTTAAAACATGAAGGCCAGTTCATAATCAGCGTGAATACGAATGCAAATTTGTGACGTCCAGGCACTTTTTGGAGTGTAAATTTGCAAAAGTTGAACACGTTTCAACTCTGCGTGTTTTGTGACATCAATTTAGCATCGCTTTCACATGAACTATAAACTGGCCTTTAATGAGACAAGGTTATTTAAAAGATTGGCTCTCTACTATCCAAGGCAGGGGTGAGTCAAATGAGAGGTGCTGTGGAAATCAGGTTAAGAAATTAAGGGGGGGGAGGCTGGGTCATGGGGGAGATCAGGGGTAAGGAGGATTGAGAGGAGGGGCGAGATGTCTTTATTCAAGGATAAGGGTGAGTCACAGAGGGGTGCAGATGAGATGGTCAGGGAATGAGGGGGAAGCCTGGGTCAGGGGGAGGTCAGGGGTTATACAATGTAGGATAGTAAACCTGGGTGAGGGGCAAGATATCCTTGTCAAGGGATAAGCCTTAGTCTAAAAAGGGGTGCAGTGGACAGCAGGATCAGGGAAGTGGGGGGAGGCTGGGGTCATGGGGGAGGTCAGGGGGTATAAGAAGAGGACGGGTTGGGAGAGGGGGCAAGATGAGTTTGTAAAGAGACACAGCTGGGCCAAGGGCATGATGGGGTTTGATCAGGGGTACGCATGTATGTAGAAGGGGCAGGTTGGGTGAGGGAATCAAAGGAGATGACAAACTGAGGTACTTGACTAACTTAAGCTGGCTCAAAAAGGGTAAGAGTATGTGATATGGCTTGATGGCAACCAAGACAACTTTAGAAATTTGTTTGGTTTTTTACATGATTTTTTTTTTAATTCTGAAGAACTTTTTACTTATTTGTTTTGGGAGAGAGAGTTTCAGAAAACTTGTCATTCACCCCCTTTTTCCTGGGGGATAAGGCTACAGAGAGTAGGGGCTACAGTCAAACAAATGAAGCAGAGACATTCAAAGTTTGTTTTCTGAATCAGGTCTTTACGTATCACCATAGGACCAACGTCTTGTATGACATGTACAGTACATGTACATGTCATTATCACACGCTGATGCCAAGATTTGTAACCCACGTCTCCTACTTGCACTGCTGGAAATAAGACCACCGCGTAAAATGTACACATATGTCACATGACGTGAGAGGCAAATGTTGATGGACCGTTTAAGGAAAGAGGTGCCGGAAGTCTTTGCCACAAACGCCAGTCAATCTTAATTACAGTTTCTCAATTAAGGAGTGTCAGTGCCTACTGCTGAAGGGATCATGTCACAAGATGACTAATCATGTGCTGATAATGTGGGGCTCTTTTTTGCCCCTACAGACCTTTTTTCCCTTCTCTGTCAACCTTTTTTGCCCTCCGGAGTGTGAATCATTCATGAAAGGTCCATTCATATTACACCCACAGAGTTGAAGCCGCAGCACAACACAATTTATTATTATTTTTTCTCAGATCAAAACAGGTGGTGTTGACAGCTTGGGAAATCTAGAAAGATTGAGTTTGTTTCCAACTTCATTTACATGTAGATATAACTTTCTATCATAACCTTCTCTAACTTAGAATAACTTTCTCTCATACACAATGCTGGATTACTCTTTTGAAGGGAGAGACTTTTCACAACATGTATTAGGCAGTAGCATGCCTTTGTGACAAAATTATTTGGGGGTACGTTCCACATTGGTCATTAGTGAAGTAGTCTTTTCACCTTTTCCCAGAGTGCTCCAACTAATGTCTTACATTACACAACCACCCCAATGGACTCTGTGCACAAGTACTCCTCATGGTGACAAAGAGAGAGTTAAACACACTCTAGGACACTGAACAACAGGTGCTAATGTGAAGATGACACACATCTGATCATAGTCACATGAAAATTGTTTGTGTGTACTTTGCACCGTAAGCATGCCAATGAGTCCGTGTATGCAGTGTCTAAAGTGAGGAGCACTAACTGTGACTGTGAGTGGTCACAGAGGACTATTTACTGTTCATGCACGGAGTCTAGACCTTATGCGTAGCAGCCATCTTAGAGGGCAGTGCCTTAGTTTAGCTGGGATATGCATGAGTGAACCTTTCTGAGCATTCGTTGTTACTGCGTAGCAGCCATCTTAGAGGGCAGTGCCTTAGTTTAGCTGGGATATGCATGAGTGAACCTTTCTGAGCATTTGTTGTTACTGCGTAGCAGCCATCTTAGAGGGCAGTGCCTTAGTTTAGCTGGGATATTCATGAGTGAACCTTTCTGAGCATTCGTTGTTACTGCGTAGCAGCCATCTTAGAGGGCAGTGCCTTAGTTTAGCTGGGATATGCATGAGTGAACCTTTCTGAGCATTTGTTGTTACTGCGTAGCAGCCATCTTAGAGGGCAGTGCCTTAGTTTAGCTGGGATATGCATGAGTGAACCTTTCTGAGCATTTGTTGTTACTGCGTAGCAGCCATCTTAGAGGGCAGTGCCTTAGTTTAGCTGGGATATGCATGAGTGAACCTTTCTGAGCATTCGTTGTTACTGCGTAGCAGCCATCTTAGAGGGCAGTGCCTTAGTTTAGCTGGGATATGCATGAGTGAACCTTTCTGAGCATTTGTTGTTACTGCGTAGCAGCCATCTTAGAGGGCAGTGCCTTAGTTTAGCTGGGATATGCATGAGTGAACCTTTCTGAGCATTTGTTGTTACTGCGTAGCAGCCATCTTAGAGGGCAGTGCCTTAGTTTAGCTGGGATATGCATGAGTGAACCTTTCTGAGCATTTGTTGTTACTGCGTAGCAGCCATCTTAGAGGGCAGTGCCTTAGTTTAGCTGGGATATGCATGAGTGAACCTTTTTGAACATTCATTGATACTGCGTTGTTTTAAAATAACTAAAGATGCCCTCTAAGATGGCTGCTATGCATAAGGTCTTTTCCAGAAATGTCAGAAAACCTTCACTGCAATGATGAACTTAGAATACTCCAAGCCCTTAAAGTTCAAAAGTCAATGGCACATACTGAATGATATATCAAATGTGAAAAACGACTCAAAAAACGAGTGTAATTAATTACAGCAGCATTCTATACATGTACATTCCTCCATCTGTTCTGTCAATACATCAAACAGTTAATGGTATCATTTTGTGTGTGTTTTAGTTGCTCCATCTGTCATGTTACTTTGAAACCTGTTGATCTGTTCATTAAATAACCATGAAACAACAGGACTTGATATTATATTACGATGAAAGCTTGAATACATATTTTAATGGGGGCATCTATTATGGAGACTTCATTAGATATTTAATCTTTATCGGTATGGTTCTTTTGAAAGAGAAATAATAAAAAATATTTTAAAAAATTTAAAACATCCATAGGTAACCTTTTTTTTAAATATTTTTTAAAGAGTTTTTCCTTATTATTTGTACAGTGGGAGACTAGGCTCAAAGCAATTACTGAGCTATATGATGTGTCAGGTTTGTGGTTTCTTCTCCATTAGCCAAACAATGGTGTCCTGCCGGCTGTACTCGGCATGATCGTCACACACTCTCTGACACTCTCTTAAACTTTCGATTTCGCAGATAAGAAAAACCCAAATGGAACAGCAAGGCCTAGTTTCGGAGCCATGATCCCAATCTTGCAACAGATACCGATCAGCCAACTGCTGAGTTCAGCTCCCAATGGATCCCCCCAAGAGAACAGGGCAATCTAGTCCAAGTAATCGCGGTTTCAAATAAAGGAAATACTTGAAAATTGTCTTGCAATAACTGGAAAAACTGATACAGTTCTGTGCCTCCAGTTCCGTGCCTTTAGGAAGTTACACCGTACACGGAAAAATTTCTCCCTTTTTTGACATCACGGAGATAACATTGACTACACGCTGAGACAAGTTACAGAGTGTACATGTTGGTTGAATCGATGAAACAAGGTACGCTTGAGTGACGGTGACCGATATTACAAACGATAACCTTTAAAAAGCCAATTTATGAGCTGTTTGGTCTGATCGTGCTGCACGTCACATTGGGGCTAACAACGTTTCACAAATACCAAAACGGGACACCGACCCAATTCAAGATGACAGATCAAATCGGTGACAGGAAGACTTGTGGGAGAATGCTTTTTAGGAAAAAAAAGGTTTGGATTGGATTGTCGCAGAGGAGATAGACAAGAGAGCCATGCTAGCATGTACATGTAGATGTGTGTAATTGATTATAAGCAACATGTGGGCAATTCCAGTGTCACAGACATTTGGCCTACACTTCTTTTTTTTTATAAAATCTAATGTTCCTGCCAGAGCCAATTAACCATAATATCTAATTAAAGTTTAGGAGAAATTATCCAAGCTCCTAGAGTGGAATCTCCTTGACCTCTACTAGATGATAGATGTATAAGATTTGAAAAATAATTGAGGTTAATTCACTGAGCTCCTTGGGTGGAAAAAAAAAATTGTCTGATCTGTGATGTCCATGACCCTGCCATTGCCCATGTGTCAATTAACACTCTCAAATTTTTGCAGTCTGGGTCAAAGAACATTTCATGAAATAACATGGTAATCATTTAATTAATTGTTTACTTGAGGTAAAAAAAAAACGATTCTGAGCACGACGATCATTGAAATACCACTTCATTTCAAATTACTGGGAAAATGTAATAATTATCAAGGGGGCGGGATGACAAGGCCCCGCCCACTCCTGATACTCACAGTCTTTTGACATCCCCACGTCAAAGCACTTCTGAAGCCGACAGTACTGACAGCGATTTCTGGTGACTTTGTTGATGACACACTTTTTGTCTCGGTGGCATGTGTATTGCATGCTTTTTTGTACACTACGTCTAAAGAAACCCTGCATTTGAGAAACGCGAATACAAAGAAAAAGCATAATAACTTCAAGCAGCCATTTTTTGTTCAATGACTTCTCAAGGAATTACAATGAGGCGGAAGGTGAGTAAAAGTGAATTGAAATTTGAGCAGTCAATAACAGACAGAGGAGGGGCACGGTACAGTACTTACAAATACCACCCTGTAGTGGGACATCCAAAAGTCACTTACATGTAGTGAAGGAACACAGTTTTGAAGGGGAGGGGGCAGATTTGCAAACCCCCACCCCCCTCTTCCATCACCTATACAGTGTGTTTTATCAAGAATAGCTCAGCTTTAAAAAGTTGAGAAAAGTTCATATTCAGAGTACCTGAAAACCTGGAGAATCTTGATGACATTCGAGGGGCGTCTAGACGATCAAATACATGTAGTTTACCCCTCCAGTCTCCACCCCTCCCCTCCCCCCCCCCCCCCCACAACAACAAAAACAATGGTTTCAGTGCTTCAAAATGTTGAACTTAATTAAAAAATACCACATTTGTTATTATTTATGTCTTTCTGGTTTGTGAGCCTTATTTTTGCCCAGCACTTACTTTGCAACCTTCGCAGGCACTGACGCCATAGTGGTATCCCGAGGATTTATCCTCACAGACGAAGCAAGGTTTGTAGACCCTGGGCGGGGGTGACGGCGACTCACAGGAGCTAGTGGGAAGACCAGACATGGGGGATTGGTGTATCGCCACGGGAACGGGCATCTCGGAGGGCATTGTATACTGCATATAGCCTGAGTCTGAAGGAACAAACAGACAAACAAAAGCTACAAATTAAAATCAGTGATCAAGAAAATATAAATGAAATCTGATGGGGTTCAATTAGATGTGGGAAAACTGTACTAAAGATTGCAATAAGACAGAAGCTGCTCAGAAAAAAATGACCAGAGGATCAATTCTTTATACTGTACGATACAAAATTTGTTCGGACAAACAGGGGGGGAAACAGTTGGTCACTGTCCAATGTGCAACCTAAATTCAACCTCTTCAAAAAAAGAAGTACATACTATGAATTTCTTCAGTAATTTCTTTGTAACTCTCCAAAAATTAAACCTCTCTGTCCAGCAAAAAGTTACTTTTTAGCCTCCACATTATGGATCTGAAGCTGGACCTGATCAGATAGAACAAGAGGACAGTACATCAAGTTATTCTTTACTTTACATGTAGCATGAACCTCCTAATGGTAATTTTAAAACAAATACCTTGGCAAGAAATAAAGACGTCTTGCTTTGCAAAATCTTCATCAATGAAACTGACATACTGTACTACATGTACCTTGTTTATTTCCAAATTAAATGTAAGTTTTAAATTCCTTTACAATTTGTCTTCTTTGAACCTTACCTCATGTATGTAAATACAAATTTTGGAAATATTTTCTACTGGTTGGGGTCAAACCATGATAGTTCTTTACTAAATGCCAACAGTTCAAGAGAAAGTGCAGTACGTCTGGTACCATGTAATTTAATAAGACTCGCAGGAAACGGTTGAGATGAGGTCTTCATTTGATTCTAATCAATCAAGGTGTGAGACTGAAAGCCTGAGGATTGTCACAACATAACAAGAACTAATTCCCAGCTCTGAGTCATCTTATCAAAGGTAACATACACGTACATGTAAAGCAACGCCTGCAACCGTTGCATGACCGAAAGTGATTGGGGGGGGGAAAAAACGAAAATAAAGTTCATTTGCATAGTTCATGAAAACACAGATGTAACTATAACATGTAATCAGAGTCGACCTTGAAAAAGTGCAGCGTGACTACATGTACCTGTACGTGACCCATCCAACTAAAAAAAACACTACATATAGTTAAGCGCTAAGGAGGAAAATGGGAAAACAGGAAATGAGAAAATAAACAGAAAACGAGAATATAAACAGAAAACGAGAAAATGAAAATGAATTTCATAGTAAACAAATACGAAAACTGGGAATTACGATGAATTTATATTTTTTATAGGGTTTTACCCTCATTTCTAGTCAACCACAGCCTTGAATTCAATCTGAAAACCAGATGTTGGTCTACAGGTACATGTACATGAATTAATTAACTACAGTTCAAAAGCCTCATTAATAGAGTGTGTACGCTTCTGTGGTATAGGCCTACATGTATATGTTCAAGCTTTTATTAAAGATTTGTGTTAAGAAACTGTACGCAGGGTCAGACTAGGAACCAATTTCAAATGCCTGCATGTACACAATAGATTTTGGTATTTTAAACGTAACTCTGATTTTTTTCCCTGATTTTTTTTTTTCAAATTCAAAGTCACAGAAGCAAAACTGTACTTGGGTCTAAAAAATAAAAAAAAGAAATGTAGGGCCTACACATATTCAATGTACCGCCTACACACATTCAATGTACCAGCACGTTACACCTTAAAGTGTCACACCATTTTGTTATGTTTGAACATTAACACGCATACATGTTTGTGTACACGTTCGTAGGCGTTAGTTATTTTAAAATGAAACTTCACCTGCAGCTGTCTTTTAGATCTTTTATTACATGTATAATCAGATGATTTCGAGTTTAAATAATCCTGCATTTAAAGTTAACGCTGTGCATGCATTATCATTGATGATAGTGTTTTAAACATCATCCGACCATGATGCAGTTTGTAACATGCTAAATATGCAATGCTCTAATCAAGGCAATTCCAACATTATGGAAAAAAATGTAATGATTCATAGTTCAGATATATGACTTAGTCTGTAATCTCCTTGAACATTACTAGATGATGGATGTATAAGATTTGAAAATACATTTTCTGGTTTATTCACGGAGCTCTTAATTAAAGTACAAAAATAAAGTCTGATTTGTAATGTCCATGGGCCTTATTCACGAGTCGGCCATACTGAATTAAAAGTTAAGTAAAATCTTAATTTTTGGAACTTGCGAAGAGAAATGAAAGCAAGTCAATTACTAATTAATTCAAGTCTGCTTCAATGAATAATTTTAAATTTGTCATTAAACATTCCCTAATGTTTAAAACCATATTAAAAAAAAAATGGCAGTAAAATAAGGCTACATTGTGCCTGCATAAATACCGGTAGTCTGGCGCCATCCCATTCAACAGTAAACAATTAATGAAATACATTCAGGGAACTTGACAAAAATGGCTAACTCGGGAATAAGGCCCATGATGTTGAAATTGACCTTGAGTTCCAGTCCTGGACTTGAGTCCTTCAACTTGGGCTACATGTACCACTATTATATTTGAGAATCTTTTCAGTGAATTAGGCCTATCAGTACTGTCAGTATACCTGTATTGCTTTAATTATTCAATATAAGTAGTCAAGACAATGATTGTTTCAGAGCAAGATACACGTAACGGTATCAGATTATTAATTTACATGACGGTTGAGTAAGAATAGAAACATAGGAGCACAAAAAGGTCAAAGTTCTTCCATGTTATAACTGCATGCTAAGAACTCCTGAAATCATTATCCAGGTACCGTAGTCATGAATTGACACAGGTGGATGCTGCCAACATTTTCACAATCACAATCCCTTTAAGGACACGTTAAGCTCTAGGGGGGTCAGCACCACCCACATAATCCCAGGAATAGAGCCAGCCCAATAATCTCAACAACTCCACCATTCAAGCACGACCACCCAAAAAAACCTCAAATTACAGCGCTTCCACTCTGGCCAAAATAAACTTACTCAGCTGCTCAGTCAGTCATATTATTATATAAAAAAAGGAACATTTGCCAAAGAATACCAGTGAATAGCAAAAATGTGTCAAATGTGGTTTGTGTAATTGTTTGAAAATATCCAAAATGTTTGCAAATCTCAAAGGCAAAGCCAGTCCTAACAGGAAAGTTGACACCTTCTTAAATTACAAAAAAAGGGATTTATTTGTGTTTTGTTTCCCATTCAAGTAAAAAACAAATGGACTTATTCAAATGAGGTCTGCTGACTTAGATAGAACTACATGTACATCCTGGCCCCTGGGCTACTTTAGAAGAAAATCATAGAGTCTTTTGTGTTATGGTTCATTGGAAGTATCTGTCTGGAAACCCCCCTCCCTTTCCCCTCCCCCTCTTAAAAAAGCCCCAGCTGGTCTCCATCAAATCTGGGAGTAAACAGGTGTAACAGTCTAGTCCTAGACAGGCCTGGGTCAAGGGTCTGGCTAAACAGGGTAAGGGATTGGCTCAGGGGAAATGGAAAGCCTTACAAAACATGATATTGTCTGAGAGGTTTTTTTTTTTAGCTTGCGAGGTTCAAACACCTGCTTCAATATAATGAAATACATGTGTTAGAATGTACTACAATATTTGATTCACCAATGGGATACATTTTTCTTAAAGGCTGGTGGAATGAAAATGAAAAGTGAATTTGACTTTGCAAAACATTCACTGCCAATTTTGCTGAGCTGAAATGTGTTCAGGTTTTGTGACTTTGCAGCAAAAATACTGGCCACGATGGCACAAACGCAAGCAAACGTACCGTACATGTAGCAGTAATATCAAATGACATTCTACATTGATACATGTACGTAGGAAGAAGTTTTGGTCACGGAAACTTTGCTTTTTAGCTTAACAAATTTGTAAACTTTCATGTGGATGGAAACATTTGGCCTGGATTGATAAACAGATAATGTAACAGACTGACACTGTGACAGACCTGTCTGCTTGCCAGACAGACATATCATGGCAGTTGGGCAGCACTTTCACCCACCCACCCACCCACCAGTAACAAATGTCAAGTCAATGATTAACTAGCACAAACATCTATAGGTAAGGCTGGTCAGAGAACTTCCTCACACATACAATAATAGGAAAACCTTTCAGAGTTTTCCTTCTGCTAAAGCTGACAAGACAGAAGTTTAATTAGCTATCGAAAACACTTTGGCGTTTCCCTCTCCCCGCCCCCCACTTCTGTTAAGCTTTTACATTTGTGGGAATATCAATCCATCTAAAGATCAATGAATAATACTGACACTGGCATAGGAACATACCTACAAGGCTTACAAGCATTTCTGCAAACATCACCGAACAAATTGTTTTCAATGATGAAAACAAAATACCGATGTGAGAAATGCATCTGGTGACAGTTTTGATAAAATGATACTACTGATTTTTGGATTCTATTCACAGCAGAAAATGTCAAATCGATATGAATAATTGTACAAATGTACTGCACGTGTGAGCATGAAAACTGAAAAACCACAATTTTGAATTTCCTTGCCTTTATCTCGTTGAGCAAACTAGGAAGGCATAGGTTTATTTAGATCCATATAGAAATGAGGTAAACAAAAATGGATTTGTGTAAATTTTTGTAAAAACAGCTGTGCTTCCTGCGCAATTAAAATTGAAATCAACTGTTGACTCCCAACAGACTGCATGTACATGTAGGATGCGATTCAAACTGTACGTGTAACATGTTGACTTGCTATTGCAAAATACATGTACCTGATCAGAAACAAGTACTGGTACAATGTACCAAAAATGCATGTCCCAATAGCCATGAATGGTACATCATGTACATATGGTACTTGTTCAAACCGAACTACCGGTAACTTTTATGCAGATACCGGTATTCGGTTGAACGTTGCTCTCCCTCACATATTTAGACAGGAAAATACCTTGGTAATGTGAAATTTGATAACTTGTCAGTTTGGAAGTCATAAGATCTACAAGTATTTGAAAAGTATTTGGAAATTAAAGTGCCCTCAAAATTGCCCAAAAACCTCTTCCTAAAAGCTTCCATTTCATTTTTTAATGAGAAACACAACGTGCATTCCGTATGGCCCCCGTTTCATTCCCACACTACCGGTATTCAAGCCCTGCACCCAATCTCCCACAGAATCAGCTTAATGATATAATGTACAGCCCCGGTGCACGTGGCACTCCCCTTGAGCCTTTCAACCCCGCTGCCATACATGAATTGCAGATCTTTTTTATCCTCCCGTTTTCTTTCAGGTTTAAACTTTCTGGAATGTGCCTGTGTGTGAGAAAATGAGAAGACATGCAATGGGAAACCTGTGTGTGCAATCCGATAGAAACACACCACAAGTCAGAGTAACACTCTCCGTGGCTCTTTTTTTCTCTCTCTCACAAAACCTGGGAAGAATTATAATTTCCTAGGATTTTTTTTTTTTCAAACAATAATTGAAAGGTAGGGTAGATCATTTGTCATTTGTGCATTTTTTTCATTTGAAGCCAAAAAATTCTCAAAATCTAAAGACGGGTACTTAACAACTAACCTGATGAATTTTTAGCTCTGTGAATGCTGTATTATATTCTAAGAAAACAATATTCTAGGATCTCGGTTTCAATTCAAAAGTTGCAGAGTCATATTTTGAATTGCACCCGCAATCTAGATCCGAGACACGTTCTCATTCAGCTAATTGCAGCTACACGATCTTAAGCACAGAATCGACGAATAACAGCAACATCGTGTGCATGTGCGTCGTGTTAACACGTGCGCACACCCATTCATGGATTCATCAAAATTACAAACCAACTACAGTACTAACGGAAATTTCAAAAATGCGTCACCTGACGCATCTTTGAAAATTGTTTTCTTTTATTGATTTCTTCAAAATGACAGCATGCCAGAAAGAATAGTTTCGCAGGGAGTTTATTGCCATCACTGCATGTACCGGTACATATATTTAAACCAAGTAAACATTTTAACAATAATTTCATCAATTACTTTTTGAATAGCTGCACGTATACTTGTAATCTACTCTACCTGTAAAAGTAAATTCATAATGTACATGTTATGTTCATAAATGTACATGTACATGAAGTAATTTTCATGTACAATAAAACAAGTTTTCAAGAATTTTTTGGTGGAGGAAAAAATACCAGATTGGTTATGGAATTAAGAAGTGTACCATCTGCTGCACTTCATCAAAAAACAATCATCTCATATTTCAAATTAGGTTTTGCCCTTCATCGACGTTTTAAACACTCTATACTCAGTGTGTTACCTCTCGAGAGAAAGTTGGAAAAAATCACTCGGGTGGGACTCGAACCCACGACCTCCTGCTTTCTAGTGCAGATGTCTTACCACTCGACCACCGAGCTAACGGGATTGGTTGGCTGGTTCAAATCCGATGTACATAGCAGCGGGTACCGCATAAACTATTATAATATGGAACTTTTTGCGCCGGGGTGATATAAATCAAATTAGGTTTTGCCCTTCACCGACGTTGGTCGGTGAAGGGCAAAACCTAATTTGATTTATATCACCACGGTGCAAAAAAAATTCCATATTATAATACATCTCATATTTAGCTCTTTTGAATCAAATCAATGGCAAATGACAGATAGGTTTTGTTTCTCTGACTATCTAATCAGATGTGACGCTTGCTACAACACAAAGAAAACTGGGTTGGTTTCAGCATGATCTGAACAAACTTCTTCACAATTTCCACACAGGCTGAAGTGCAAGGCAGACATAATTGTTGTATTGTATCACAGACCAATGACAATAACGCTGGCTTCATTTCCTACAAAATTATTTAGTTAGATTCAATCCACTTGCTCCTTCCAAGGAGGCTGAAGGTCTGTCCTCAATTGAACAATTCAATTCAATTCAATTCAAGAAACATTTCTTTCCACCAAGAGCAAAATATAAGATTGACACAAGGACAAGGAGTCAGACTATCAGATGGAGGCATGATTTGAAAAAGCCCCAGCTTATAGGGGCATGCCTTACATTGATTGCTTCTTTCAATCACTGATGTATTAACTCATGTGATGAAAGAGTCAACACCACAGGCCAACATTTCTAGGCTGTCATCTTAAGAGGCCCAAAATGGACACAAGTCTGTGCTTCAAATCTTGATAGAGGTGATGAACAAGTAGCTAAGGTGTCAAGATGCCTAAAATTTAAGTGACTCACACATGGCTTCACTTTTTCATGTAAGGTGATGGACATGCGCTATCCAGTCAGTATTAAAGGATAAGGGCGTAAGTTCCACTGCGTTGATGACAACAGAACTTGAAATGTTTGAGACCTTGAACATCTAGACACTTGCGTGTCTGACGGAAATGAATAATAAGTTTGATTGATAGCCCATTAGGTAGATGGGCCTATTGTTCCGTCACATCACTCCACTGGCAGCCCATTTGTCACAAATCGCATTAATCCTATGAACTTTACAAATTACAACATGAATGCTCTGGGTCGTGGTCTTCAATGTCATTCCAAAAAATGTACTTTTGTTTTTTATTAACCTTCTCACTCTTGTACGTTGGGTCTGAGGATGCGGGGTGCAGGGGGGGGGGGGGATCACATTGAACAGACCAGTATGGTGACAACGCCTGGTCATACTTACAATTAGGGTTCATGTTCATGTTCATATCGATGCCACACGACACAGCAGCAGATGTCGTTGGTAGTGTCGTCTGCTGTTGTTGCTGTTGTTGTTGTTGCTGCTGCTGCTGCTGCTGCTGCTGCTGCTGCTGCTGCTGTTGCTGCTGCTGCGGGACCCTTATTGGCTCCTGGATGCCCCTCATGGCCTCGTGCTGGTGATGGGGTATGTGATGTACCAGGGAAGAGGCTACCAGTTCCTGCTGGGCCGGGTAGCCCCCGCCGCTACCCAGCTTCTGTTGGGCAAACTTCTCCACTTTGAACTTGAGTTGGACCCAGCTGCTGGGGCTGGGTGGGGCCGAATCAGAGGGTTCTGTCTTCACTACCCGCTTGTGGGCGTGACCCAGCTTGGGAGAAGGCGGTACATGTAGGTTAGCTGGAAATAAACCAAAAAAAGAAGAAGCTTAAAATCAACCAGTTGCAAAACGATACAATCTAGGATAAAGTTAGTGCATTTTTTAACTCTTTCTAATTGCTGGGGAAACAAATATTTTGACACCCATCTACATATTTATCTCATTACATTACAAAGTGATTATTACATTATTTTACAAACCACTTTCAGCTGTGATTTCTAGGTCAAACACTGTTCATGTTGAGTACAAAACTACAAAAGGATATCTTGTTTCCAATTTACACAGAAAAAAAACTAATCATGTTTGCCTAACATAATTAAGACCCAGCTTAGGTAAGATGTTGCACTTCAACAGGCTTTAAGAAATAAAGTTCTGTTCACATGGACTGGAAGTTCTTTACTGGAGTTATTACAATGACAAAAGATCCAAGGAGAATGCTTAAGAACACATGTACATGTATACACACATAGAACTTTGTTGTTTCTGATGTGAGAACCCAACAGTCATGCACAGTCATGTGCAACTTGGAAGCATCCCCTTTGAACATAAATTTCAACTTTGACACAAGGGACTGACTTGCACCCAAAAAAGGTCAAATACTTTCTTGTACATCAGCCTATAATCCCCTGTTATTCCTACAAATTCTCACAATACAAGCTGCCATTTCCAGAGTTGTTACTTTCACCACCCATCCCTTCCATCAATTCTCCGGTTCCCTTATGATTGCAAAATACCACCACGTCAACCAAAATTCCCCGCAGCTACCGGTTACAAAAGGGCACACCTCATCGTGAATTTGTCACGATAAATTTATGATGCAATCCCCAGAGAGTGTTAACATCTGCTTGGGACTGCCCCGCAACCGCAACCGGGGAAAAAGCCCATGGACTTGTGGTAAGTCCTCCACAAGAAACGACAGACGCTTAGAAGTCCGCGGATGGCACAGTCAACGGTGTATGATCATATGTGTGGTGTCCAGGATAAATTGCAGCACAGCATTGACAACATGCAATCTCTGTCTGTGCTTCCATCCTTTATTTAGTTACAGACACAAAAACTAGTGCGGGATGAGTTTCTGGGCCAGGGAAGTGACTGATTTAATTCATTAGAAAAGGTAGAAAGTAGGGAATTTACAAAATGCAGATTGGTGAGAGCAGGCTGTATTAATAACTCAGTTTCAGTTACAGTAGGGATGGGAAATGGGATATTATTTAAAACTTGAATAAAAACTGGTTGTTTACCAAAACAGATTAGACTTGTAATATTAACATGTAATGATCTCTTGCGCGACAGAGGCCACAGACTGGGACAAGTCTAGTGAAGTGACTGCCTAGTGCAAAAGGCAAAAGTAACAGAGAGACAGCATAAATATGGGTAGGGACTAGCTGTACCTCAGTACCATACATGTGGTTCTCATCAGCCCTGGTATAGTAGACTGTATGTAAACTCTCCCTCTCTCCCCTCAACCCCCCCCCCCCCCCCCCTTCATCATCATTCTCAGTTCCACTTCTTATCATCACTCATCAATCATTTTTGTTAGGGGGGTCCTACTCTAAGGTCAAAGCCAACACCAAGATCTGTGCCCATCAATTGTGGGAAAGTGGCGTCAATTTTACGGCTCTCTGAAGTTCTAGAGCACTGTTGGGGCCTGAGGTGCACAAACAGGCTTCTGTTTGCAGTTTCTTCTTCTACAGAGTCTGCATCCCTGAAATTATAGGAGGATTCACCTGTGATGAGTAAACTACATTATTCAAGCCGACAAAAATTGAACAAGACAGGATACCGTACTTGCAAGAGAGGACTCGGCAAACTGAATGTACCATGTACGTGTTCTACTTCCCAAACCACATACATGTAATGAAAATCGCTACAGCACATAGACGTTTCCCGTGTTAATCAACAAACCACAGCGTTCATGACATCATGACCGACCTTGCATAATTATCACCAGTGATTCCTGCTGGAAATGGCCAAATGCAGGAAAGGAAATGACACCATTCAGAGGATAAGAGCATGAAAACAAAGTTTGATAACCCAGTCTGAAAGCAGGTCACTGTCTGAAACAATCAGGATTATTGTGATGTGTAAGCAAATATATTTAGAACATCTACAAAAAAGAACAAACAAACAAACAAATTGAAATAATTTTGGTGTTTGTTGAAAGGCAGAACTATACAAAGTATGTACGGTACTTAAGAACAACACATCAAAATATGTACAGCCACGGTACAGCATACATGTGAACATGCACATTTGTAATGTACAGTGAATAAACACTTCAATAATTACAGAGAAACTACAACAGGATTTGACCCCCAACAAACCTTAGCCTTGAAGTAGTTAAAAGGCAAATTCTCAAACACCAAATTCAACTTTGTACAGAAATACAACAAACAGAACTTCACTATCAACATTTTGTTCATACAACACAGGCTGTTCAAGTATTTACATACGGTAATTTGTGGTCATAATATTATTGACACTGATACTGATACTGCATGCAATTAATTACTATTTTTCATAGTTTGGTGGTGACTTATGGCCTCAACCGCATAAATCAATTGGCAGGTTCAAAGCCACGCTGGAATGGTTAAACCTGGTCCTTATAGTCGATGGCTGAACCTGAACGATTTCTTAAAGTGGGCAAGAAATTTCTGTGAATCGCTGACAGTTCTTCAGACGCTGAAATTTTGTCAGGACTACATGCAAGTGTGCAACTGCATGAGAATAGACAGTTCCGTGTACACAACTGAAGACATTTCAGTGCAATTCAATTAAAACCAGTAACTGCACAAATCAAAATGATCAGGCAACACTTGTGTTTGGGTTCAAGATACATATTTTAACAACCCCAAAAGTTAAGCAAGCATCTCACATTACAGTTGACACTGTACAATGTGCATGTTCAGTAACCATACCTGTTATGAATATGCAAGTTGTAATTCATTTCAAATTAATACACATTTATCTTCTTGATAATTTCTCCTGACCACGACTGCTCCTTTAATATCACACAGAGGTATCCCCCATCTCCATTCATGGCAACCGCAATTAACATGGAATCCTGGGTACCCCCCCCCCCCCCCCAACTCTCATCCCACAGTCTTGCTTGCCAAACCGCAAGAATGCGTCTCCAGCCGGGGATACACCTCTCTCATCTAATTATGTCTGCGGTCGCTCAGGCATCTTCCCGTTTCTGTCACGCTCCTCGACGCTCAATATTCGACCGAGATCTCTCCTCGTTTCTCCCCTCACTTGCTTCATGAGAAGAGAGGCTTTTCTCGCTCTCTCAGTCCAACCGCAACTCATCACCATGTCTGGTGCCCTGTGGCGATTAAAGAGCTACTGACACCTTTGAACATGCACCAAGACATTTCTCCAAATGACCTTTTTCTTCTTAGCAGATTAATTTTTGGGTTTTACAAAATGTTTTGAAATGCAGTGCTAGGGAAAACGATAATGTTCACGATGCTTGTACATAGTATAGTGTGCGAGCCAAATGTACACACGTGTAGCCTCATGTAACAGGGCTGGTCGTCTCCTGCAGCAGAGAGTTAGAACTACCATACAATAACTCATTTGTTCCGACAGCAGTCGGTTTTTACAATATGAAATAGTCTTCTCATTGTATTCCAGTTCAACTTTTAGCCATATCTTTTAAAAAACAAAGTTCTTTTTTTATAGTTAAGGTTTAAAATAGAAAGGTTATTTTTTATGTGATTGCTTGTTTTATTGGTTTTAATATTTTTAACACGCAAACATTTGATGCTGTGAAGGTAATTGGATGTCCAAGCATGTCTGTATTGTCGAGGCCATTTTTAATTTCCCTGAATGTGATAAAAGTTTATCTATCTATCTATTTGGACATTAAATTTGCAAAATAATATTCACGTTCAACATGTAGGCCTAATTACTTTTTTTATGACCATTTATGAGTGACATCTGTGATGTATCCATGTTAGTCTCCCATTGTGACTAGAATTTAAATCCTTCAATGAAACAACTGTCTGGTTACAAGCACTCCATCAGAAATACTAGAAAGTTCCCCCAGAAAATGCACCAGAATTTATCACATGTGAAAGTCAGGCAGTGATGAATGCCAATTCTTGGGAACTCACAAGCAAACCTCTGTCAACATGATGAACACATCGGACATGATGACACAGAGTTTGGATTTATTGGGGAAGTAATCTATCTACTGTGTAGCTTATCACTGACATACCAGTACTTTACTCTGGCAAAAAGAAACTTGCGTGAGAACGCAAGATTAGGGTCTACAATGTAAGCCAGAAGCTAATTGGAGTGATCAGGCACATGTTCACAAACCCGGTTTTTCCCCTTTTTTTTCATTCAAAGATTTGATCACACCAATGATCCAATGCAATCCCAGGTGCAAAAACCTCACCCCCAAACTAGAGACTGCATAATCTTGAAATAAATGCTGGATTATGTTCAGGTAACCATCAGCATTAAACACCAAATATGGTGGAAGCTGTTTGCACGATTGAATGACAGCCATATCCGGCGTTCAGCAGTTGTTAAAAGTTCTCAAAGGTAGAGTAGATCATTTGTCTTTTAATGCATTTATTTGTTTTGTTTGAAGCAACAAAAGTGCTCAAAATCTAAAGGCGGGGTTGCTAACAACTGACTTGATGAAGGTTTAGCTCTGTGAATGCTTCCGGGTAAACAATATTGTAGGATCTCAATTTCAATTCAAAATTGAAGTGAGTCCAAAATTAGCGTCCGGAACACGTTCTCATTCAGACGATTGCAGATACACAATGTCACACACTGAACTGACAAATAATAACAACCGTGCGCGTGTGTGCGTCGTGTCAACGCTTGCACGAACCCATTCACCGATTTGCCTCATTACAAACCAACTACTAACACCCAAAGGATGATGATGATGATGATTTCTAACTGAAATTTCTGAAAATGCCTCATTTAAGTCTCATCTTTGGAAATAACTTTGTGTTGTTTTCTTCAAAATGCCAGCATGCCAGAAGGAATAATTTTA